TAAGTGTTACTAATCGAAGGAAATGGTTCTCTAGGGGGGTTGTAACCCTTGGGCGTCCTGGGACGGGTCTTCTCGTATGCTGCCCTGTTTCGCTGAATCGACTTAATGCCCTACTAATGGTAGTCGCTGCTCAATGTAACTCTGATTTCTCCCTTCACCACTCAAGGACAACCCTGTTTTTTATAAAAGTTTTTCAGGGAAGACCAACAGAAGTAAAATCAGACAAAAACTCAACTCTATTCAATTATCGCTCTAGCTAGATACCCTAAATTAGCATATAATGTTTAATTTAAGCAAGGAGATGCCACTTCAACCACAATATTAACAAATAATAGGCTTACATACGGCCCATTGATCGGTCCTGGCTTCGTCAGAGGTCATAACAGAAGCGGAACACTTCTAGTTCGCGCGAGAAGACATCCATCTGTGTTAGATTGTAATTTACTATTATTTGAAATATATAAATGTACATATTGTAAATAAAGACTTTTTGAAATCAAATCAATCGGAGTGACGGCCACCACGAATTCCTACTTCGTTAAATTTCGATTTTGTACTTGGTGTGGATTCATTTTAAACGAACTAGAGAAACTAATTTATTGTAGAAAAGCAACTAGCCTATATTTTACTATACTGAAGAAATAATACCGAAATCGCTGACTTTTTAATTTTGTAAAAAGTGAACAAAAAATAATCATTAAAAAAACATGTTTTATTTCTTATACAGGGTAAATATCAAAATATTTTGATTATTTCTGTTTTTAGGCGAATTACAACTATTAGAATTATACGATACTTGCTGCAAAGTGTAGTTAAATATATTCGTTGATTTTTATACCTAGATCCTAGATATTTATAACAATTTTTAATTTTATTTTGAAAAAATATCAAAATTTGAAAAAATAGGACTGTTGTTTATTTATTTGAGATACATTTTATTTATCATAATATATCACCTACAGTTAGAAAATTCGTTATCTTTCCGCTATTTATTTTGTACTATTTTGATAACATTTCAGAAAAGTATGTATCATCTTTAATAATAAAAAAGGTTTTGCTCGTGGTTGTTCTCTTAGTATTTATTCTATTTAAAACTAATCAAAAAGATTATTGAATTCAAATGTTTTTTACTTTTATCCGCCTATGAAAGTGTTTGTCAATGAAATCACAATGTTTTTAATTTTGACAGAACACCAAAAAATTGTTCAATAATGCATATAAAATAAATCAAGAACCAGCCACATATTGATTGAACCTTCGCCAGATTTCCTGGTTTTACATTTTTTTTAGTGAAATTATTTTGTGGTCGTAGGAAAAATATTGTACATCACTGTGATTTGTGATTTTTCACACTCGTAATGTAATATACTATTATTTTCAGCGCCTTCTTGTTAATACAAAAAGATTACCGAGATAAAATTATTCCTAATATACCTATCAAAATATTGATATTTAAGTTTTGCAATATTTATTTCAATAATATATTTGAAAATCAGCGTGTCACTGAGGGCATTTTTTCTGATAATTATATTTATTTTTCGATTCTCTCGCAAAGAAAAAGATACCATGTTACGGTTTTCACTGACAGAAATGTTTTCCTCTTCCTCTGTAAGTTAAAAAATTATACGGGGCCATTTAAAACTTCCAATAAAACCAGTCGTTTTTTGTCAAACAGCGCTCTCTAGCTGTCACTGTGAAGCTGATACATACAAATTAATGTAAAATATTAAACAAGAAAAAAGTCGAAGTTTAAACAAAAAAATGTTCTACGTTCCCCTACCATAGTCGCAGACTACGACGGGCCCGGGGTTCGCTATCCCCCGGAGAAACGTGAAGGTGAAAAAAAGTTTACGGCGCGATTTAAAACTGTCAATAAAACTCGTCAAATTAGAAGAACGAAACATATAATTGAACTTATAATGGAGGATATGCCCTTTTTTGTTTTTAACCAGCGTCGTGGTAAAAGAAAAAAAAACATCAATCGAAATTCATACCATTTAGGTTTTGAGAGAGGAATCCTTATAGAAGGTTGCATTTATTTAGTCTAAACTGAAATAAGTACAAAACAAATAGTACAAACTGAATTTATAATGTCATTTATCAGGTACTGTAAGAGTACAATTATACCAAGACATTTTTCTGATTTGGAAATCGGAAAATTCTTTTCCGACACTGGATAAAATAATGAAAATTTGTCTGTACTAAACATCCCTTCTTCAATAATATCAACATTCTACTATGCTAAAATTAACAGTTTTTGGGAAAAAAGTCATTGAAATTATTGATGTCCATATATGACCATTTGGAAATTATTTAATAAACAATAGCATTTACCGCCATAATACGTATAATAATCGCATTTTAGACATTCACTCATGGAGGTATAAGGTAGGGAGACGTTGTCACGTAGTTCAAGACGGGTTCACTTCCGCCATATTTGTGTTCACGAATCCTTCGAACAGCCAATCGTGGTTTCAATCAACGTTTTTTCTATTTTTATATCGTTTGGAAACTAAATATATTGTACATATTAAAAGTTAAACAATGCTTGCTTGTCCTCAACGTTTTTGTAGCAACCTAATAGATATTCATATGAAGAAATTATCTAAAATAACATTCCACAACTAAGTATACAACATAGTAAACAATGTGCAGAGCCGTATTTGGGAAATTGAGATATTAATTGTACTTTGAGTGAAAGTGTTGTAACCATATTAGGGTTTTGTAAAGATCAATTAAAAATGAAAGAAGTTGGTGCAAAAATTTGATTTAAAATAATCATAAATAATCCCTTTGTTATCTTAAATTCTAGAAATTTACTTCAGTTTCATTATAAAAGCATTTGTATTTAAAAAAATTATGAAGGTATATAATTTTTTTTAAATGACATAGATAAATATATTAGTGCCTCAAAAACACGTAATTTACAACAACGACTCACATTTGCAGTTTTTAAAAATATGCGAAATCTCTCAAGACCACATAGAGCCGTTCTTTGATTGTTTTCACTCACATGAAGGTCACAACAATAATTCCAGCGGTCAGCAATTTCTGGGAGGCTATTTTTAAACTCGAAAGTGATTTCTCTCAGGATTTCCATGAGAAATGTCATACGTCATCGTAAACACAGTATTTTTAAGCCAGTGAAAATTCGCGGACTGTTTCTTTTAGTTTATTTCGAGAGGATTAAATTTCTCCCAAGAATTTAAATTCTCTTTGGCTTTAAAAATACTGTTTTCACGTTGACATATGACATTTCACATGAAAATCTTGAGAGAAATGAGTTCTTTTAATTTTGAAAATCGGTGGGATTTTTTCATTTAATTTAATTATTTAAAATTAATTCTGATGCCTTGGTAGGATTCCCCACTCGACCATTCACTGTTGGGTTCTAATTAACAGTGCTGTTCCTAACGTGGCGCTGGGAAACAGTAACAAAGCCTACACAGAACACGAGGCTAATGGCCGTAGTAGTCGACGCCGATGACACCAAATTAAAAAAAAAGTCCATAGCTCACAAAAATTATTAGTAGGTTCATGTTGAAGTACCTGAAAGTTTTCGTGGACATTACATTGTATTCCTCTAGAAAGGCTTCGAATTTTAAAATGTCCTGTTCGTCAAATCAACGAATCGTCAAGATACTATAGAGCTCTTGGCTTATCAGAAAGTTACGATAGTGCCCCAGACAATACTGAGTAGGATCAAATAATTTACGAAATCCCACGCCATCAGGATGTACAAAATATATTGTTTTACATATATTTAAAGTGACCATATTTTGATAAGTTGAAAGTGGGACAAATCGAAAACAAGGAGATATTTAAAAGGATTCTCTTTGCAGTAGTGAAGGTTTGGTTCATTGAAGAGTAAAAAAAATATATATAAATAGATATATAGTGTGTTGACACGTCACCATAAAAATTGAATTTTTTTTGTTAGACAAAAGCGGAACACATCATAAATCGGGACTAGTGGTTTAAAATCTGGACTGTCCCGCCTAAATCGGGACGGATTATCATTTTATATAATATTCTCTTAAAATAAGGCTTATTTATGTACAGACCAGAAAGCACTACAAATATTTTCGTTTATTGACAAAAAAATTAAAAGAGCATAGTCCGTACCTGGCGGATCGGCCATATTGGGTTGACGACAGCCACGCCCAATGATACCGTTTTGAATGTTTGAAAAAGATGCATATAGCGTCTCCCTATCTTCTAACTCATGGCATTCACTATATTAGCCTCATGTTGTATGTAGGTTATGGAGTACTAGTAGTCTAATACCCCATAGTGCAGGAGTGCTAGTACTCTAATACTCTTGCACGCCTACATACAGGCCTTTTACTGTCTCCCAGCGTCACTTTAGAAACATAATTGTTAATTAGAACCCAACAGTGAATGGTCGGAGTGGGGAATCCTACCTATAGAATATAATTATTTTTAAATAATTAAATCCCGGCCAAGTGGGATTCGAACCGCATTTGGCAATTTTGAAGTGTCATATTAAATAGAAATTGAATTTTCGTAACATACCAGTAATTCTTCTAATGTTATATTATTAACGTAGGTATATTAGATAAATATTTTTTAATAAATTAATTCGAACGGTTGTTGACCTGTTATTAAATAATAATGTTAATGTTTCTGTATTAAAATCAGTGATAATAAAAACTAAAGTTTTAAATATAATTTTCTTTACCGCAAATACTTCAAATAACTAAAAAATAAATTATTTCATTGGCATATCTTGATATTGAGTACCTAGTTCATTTCCAAACAACATACGCTTCTGAACGCAAACAATATTTAATGGTGATCATAAATATTTTCCGGGCGTTTCGACTATTTAATTAACTTTCATTCACTCACCATCATCATCAACATTGATAGTGATGAAATAAACAGTCTTATATTAAATAGTTTAAAAATCCTTTGAAATAGAATAATTTAATAGTTACGATTGACTGGATAAATACTAAATTTTGATAATTTTCTAGGTGGAATCATTTATGATTGATCAGGAGTTCGAGGACGATCCCCAGGTAGAGGCGGCCAAATTTCTCCTCAACCCTGACGAAGACCGAGCCGTAGATCCCGAAACACAGGCGCGTCTGGAGCAGCTCTTGCAAGCAGCTGGTAAGACCAACCTTAAATTTTTTATTACAAAAATAAGAATAAAAAAAACTATTTTAGTCATTCCTATTAAACATTTGCTCTTTCCTTCTAAAACTACCTTGTATCTTTTCTAAAAATAACCATTTTTAAAATTAGCACTCCGCAAAATTCTTATGACTTCAGCTATCGATCTATCCTTGTTCTTAAATTTATCTACTTTATTATAGTATTATTTTTTTTGTGATAATGACCTCTTTATTAAACAATCGACTATTTATTTAATTACAATGCAATAGATAAAAAAAGAGCTAAATACAAAGAAATGTGTAACAAACAATAGCTTATCTGTGAAATATTTTTTTTTTTTTTTTTTTCAATAAAAAATGTGCATCATCAATTATAAACATGGCAATATAATACAGTTTTGTATAGTTCTGAATCATTTATTTAAAATATATTGCACAGCATTCTTCAATGAGCAATAGGTTTGTTTTGTTTTAAGATGATGTTCTAATGACCAACTATGTTCTAGTATTTCTTAAATTATCTATCGACTTGAAGTTGAAAAATACATCGAACTTTGAAGAAATTTTGAAAAATATGTTTATACATTGAATTAGAATTATTTTGTTTACATTTCATTCATTACATTCTCTTGGCCCTGACTCATTGACGCAATAGAAGAAATTGTTTAGTCTCTCAGTAAAAAAACAACAATAAATTTCATCAAAATGGTAGATTCTCAAAATTAAAATAAAATATATAATGTCCTTTAATGATTTAAAAAATAAAAACACAAAATTCGGCAGATTTATGGTTGCATTTTGGTCATTTAATTTAGTCAATTTAAAATTGGTCGCAAGCAATATGAAACTTTTTTTTAAATAATATATAGGATCATCTAATCCCTCTTCTCGTCACACCAATGACAGCTGTAATAATTCAGTTAATATTACTAGCTAGCTGAGAAATATTAAACAGATAGTTGCGTTCGTTTTATAATTATTATTACATTCTTCGAATTTGATGTATGGGAGAAATTATATAAAATAGCGATTGGAAGTAACAACTTAATTATACATCTATATAGAAATATTAGAAGTTAAATTATAAATTAATCCTCTAATGGCAAAATGTATTTAGCAAAAAACATTATGAAATACACTGATAGACTAGACTAAATATTTTATTCACTCATGAACGTACTTTTTTGTTTTTAATCGTAGGGGTCGATATTAATAATAATAATAATAATACGTGATAAAAAAAAAATAATAATAATAATAATTATAAAACAATAAATTATATTATTGGCATCTTTACAATGTGTTAAATACAAGTAAAAAGTATAACATAATATATTCTCGTACTGTAAATTATCCGAAAAGGCAGAGTTCAACCCTATCATATGGGGTGACAACATCGATAGTTGCAGACCTAATTAAAAAACATTCCCTTGTGAAATTCAAGAAAAGATGGGATGAAACAAGAAACTGTAGAGTTGCCAGGGAGCTTTTAAGTTATCCTGACAACACTGCAGCAAACAAATACTTGACTATGACTAGACAGAATCTGCGCCTAGTACGGAATCATTTCCATACCATGGGGCTGTCAGAATCCGCACTCTACAGGGGGTGCGAACAAGAAAATGAGACCATCGACGCCATCGAGCATATACGATTGCTTGACACTCTCATTTATTAGAAGATTTGTGTTCGGCGAGTATCGGCTAACACCGGCCGATATAAGAGAAGCACCTCTTAGCGACTTTGTCAACTTCATTAAATCTGTAGGCTGGCTCACGAGCTAGGAGGTGCCTATCATCTTAGGAGGATGTACAATGGGCCTAGTGAGGCCTAGGTGCCGTGGGGTGACCCACAGATATATACGCAGATTCGTGTTCTCTATATATTTTAATTCACATAGTCTTAAAACTAGTCTTTACTACCAGATAAATACATCTAAAGCTACTGATTTTTTATTATTTACACCAATACTGTGCGTATTCATCTAAACAAAATAATATTTTGTAACAATTTCAATCTTTATCTATTTAAAGTCTTTTGATCGGGTTGTAAACTATCTGTAAACTCAGTTTAGCTAACAGCAGTTTCATTTTTAACTGATTATATTTAACCTGCAAATGTCATTTTTAAAATTGTTTATTAATAACCAATGATTGTACAAGAGGTTCACAGTTTAAAAAAAGATTACATTTTAACTGCCTATTATACAACCCGCCCTTTAAGTCGTATATCCTTTTTTTTAGGTATTGGCCAACTTGCGGCAAAAGATGGTAAACACTTAGGCGACCCCGAAGTTTTACGTCGTCTCACTTCCAGTGTCAGCTGCGCCCTAGACGAAGCCGCGGCAGCTTTGACGCGCATGCGCTCAGATAACCCACCGAACCGATCGAGCAACAATAGCGGCAACAGCACTTCAACAGCCTCCACCAACGGTGCGAGCAGTCAGACTCAACAACAACAGCAGCAGCAGGTGTTTATTATGATATGATTAGTTTACTACTTTTTTATTGTTTGTTTGAATAACGCTAAATACAGGGATTATTAGAGAGATATTGCAAATTTCTATAGCGTCAGTCAGTAATAGTGACAACGTAATTAGAGGCAAATAAATTCTATGCTAAAATAAGACTTATTGCAAACCAGAAATTTTTATAATAGAGTCCTTGTCCTTATACATATTTTCTAACCTTATTTTAAAAATTTTAAATTACAGTCATCTTTTTTGTTGTTTATAATAGTACATAATATGGAAGATGTATTAGAAATTATCATTTTAGAAGGTTTAGATGACGATAATATTAAATATTTTAATTTTAAAAAACTTCGTAAACTATAAAGTCGCCACTAACTGCTGTCCTTAAACATCCACAATTAAGGATAGGCACAATTTTTATTAAACTCAGTTCTAGAATGTAAGTGATATGCGCATGCTCAGATGTCAAAATAAGAGCGCGCGCTAATAGTGACTGACCTTAAGTGGACTTGCAATAACTCTCTAATATGTTACAAATATATAAAATTCGGATTTATATAACACAACTTTCTCTGTACTTCTTTTAGCTCTTTACACAAAATTGTTTCTGTAATTAACATATATTTTATCGCAATTCTTTTGGATTGAATCACCGCGTTTAAAGCAACTAATTGTAAAAATGGCAGATAGGCAAATCTAAACAATTCATTCAAACTGATTCACAACAAGCAAATGTCTTATCACCAAACCAATATTTAATTTTGGCAGATTATAATTTGCGATTCAAGTTAAGCGTTACGCCCTCTGGGAGTACATCTGTAAGTATTCGAAGTGTTGCCTTGCGTTGTTATTAAAATTGTAACAAATCTATGACTATTTTATTAAAGTGGAACTCAAAAATATAATTCCGAAAGTTATAATTTTAGTGACAAAGGTACCACTATAACAGCAATAACCAATGTACGGAAATCTTAACTTACAAATAAATTAATTTGAATCGCTAATATTTAGAATATAAGATCCTATCAAATTCAACCAAACCAAAGATAATTGGAAGTAATGCAAAATTAACATATCCAATAAACACAATTTATAAACTTAGGAGCATTGTTCTGTCGTTGCGAAATAAATCGTAGTTGCATCACCACTCTACTTTTTTATACCAGCTTTTGTCGACAATTGGTACGTTCGGGCTACGCACTCTTTTCATTCTATTCACTCCTAAAGTACCAGAGAGCGTTCCGGAAAGGAAGAAAATAAAATAAAAGTTCCTTTTTGAACGTTCGGTCATTGAGCATTAGGTGATTTAAATCGATGATAAAATAATAAAAAGCTTTTATGTTGTTTTTCGTGACTATCATGAATTTAGAAGAAACTTATGATAGTTACAGATAAGTATGATTAGGTCTAAGTACAGGTATGTCACATTAGAGTGCAGCGTTGATATTAAATTGAACTTACAGAAATGCAACAGGATTCAAAACAAGGGATTTCAGAACCACATACCTAAAAAAAAGTCTGGCAACATGTCGCGCCCTCCCGCAACCCCTTAATATATTTTGTTTTTGATTTTAAGAATATAATAGAATATAATAATTTCAGATATTTTTTTTTCGATTCAATTTTTTTTACCTCCGCAAGACATACAAAAAAATAAATATAAAAATCTGATGTGTCCAACACATGACTTTCCTATCTAGTTATTATAGGCTTTTTCTGGTTATTTTGTACAACCTATTGCAGCACCTCTATAAATGTTTAGAGGATAAACTAAATATATACATTTTCCACATACATCTACCTCGAAACATTTTTCTATAGATATTCATTGAAAACGAAAATACTGGAAAATTTTAATTTTTCCATTACGGTCCATTTTAGAAAAATCATGTATAAACAAAAATTATAGAGATCGATATCGCAAACAACTTTTAGTTCAACAATTTTCATAAAAATCAGAATTTTGCACATTTTGTCAAATTTCTCGAATACGGACCATTTCAGGAAATTTTGACATAAAGCAAAAATTATAGATAATAATAGAAGTAACTTTTATTTGAACAATTTTATTCTCCAAACATAAATAATAGATATATTCCATAAAATATAAAAACGGCCTCCCATAAAGTACCCCAGATGTTCCGACTTTGTCCAAAATCTAATCATTTCACGTCAGGCCGAAATAAAACTTAAGTTTAAAATTTAATGTTTTTTCTTTATCCGTTTTTGAGTTTTCTTCAAAATTACACATTTTCTCAAATATCTCGAATACGGTCCATTTTAGAGAAATTATGTATAGGATAAAAATTATAGAGAATTATATTACAAACAACTTTTATTTGAACATTTTTTATAAAAAATATTTTTTTTTACATTTTGTCAAATTTCTCGAATACGGACCATTTTAGGAAAATTTTGTATAGAACAAAAATTATATTATTTTTTTGAGAAAAAGTTTTGATATCTAGTTGGTAGGAAAAAAATTTTTTTGTATTAAACCTTGGCATCACTTTCTTGGAAAAAATGGTGTTCCTTATGACTCAATCGCTCCAAGACTGTCACAAGTTTAACTGTCCTTTTTACAGCTTAAGTGTAACAAGGGAACTGTACTATTTCCTTAACGACCAAAGAATTTTAGTGGTCATTGACAATTTCTAGCAAATCTTCTTCAGTTACTATTATTAAAAGAGGTGGTTGGTTCTGTGAGAGGAAACTCCTGCCAGTTTTGAAGAAGGTCACAATAGTCTTCGGCATTGAAGTTAAATTTCGTTAAGATGCATGCTCGAACTGTTGTTTGAGGATCTGTTTGATTTATAACTTTAATAATGCCTCTAACTGCCAGTTCACGGATAGTTTTTGCTCATCTGTCAACAGCATATTCTCCGGATGGCTAAAATAACCATTTCTCTGAATAACGTGGTAGATTACATTTTTCAATTCAGGGGGAAAATACTTTGAACACTGAATAGTAGGTTCTTTCGTTCGCTGTTGGTGCAGTGTCCACCAGTGTAAATTACACCAGTTACACCACCTTATTTACCTTAGTTTACTTCCATCCTTATTCCTTATACACATTTCGAGTGTAATTCACTCCTGCAAAATAGTTGGTGGAGAAAATATCCACCAGTGGACACCACATCGCCGACAGGAAGGTTTAGCGGATTTTACACCGGGCCGAACGAAAGGTTTAGTGTACGTTGGTGTAGTTCATTCCTACACCAGTGGAACGAACGAAAGAACCTAGTAAGTCAAGTCAAAAAAAATTAACTTTTGCAACGAGCTCTGCCAAATTTTAAGAATATGTGACGTGTCATGTGTCAATACATAGAGTCCCAGGATATGATTTGCGCTGGTAAGCAATCGGGAGTGCAATTGGTTGCCTGTTTAGAAACTCGTCGTCTTAAACACCGATCGAGACATTTAAAATAGTCATCACATTTGCAAATAGCAATATTAAGCTAAGGTTTGAGTTTCTAAAATCTTCAAGTGTCGTTTGAAAATATTGCTTTTGTGAATCCCGTTTTTAAGTTACTTGTAGTATTCGATTTTGGTATTGCTTAAGCAAAAATATAATGCTTGTTCTAGAGACGATCAGAATAGACGCTCAGCTCCAAATATTTTCCATTTTACTTGCTACAATAACTAAAGCTTGAGAATTTATAGTTTTTATTTACGTACTGTTGTTCTAGGCTGTACTAAATTAACAAAAAGTCTAGTTAAATATTATCGGCGGGACTGGAAGATAATATCGCAGAAAAATGTCAAATAGCTAAAATATAATATGTATATTTTTTATATTTTGAAAGGTATTGGATTTAAAAAATTGATATAATAACTTTCAAGGGTGTTGCGGGGTGTAAGTTTTTAATAAAAAAAATACTAATTCAACATGTATTACTAAACAATAGTAACATTTTATTCACTATAACTTTCCTTAATTAATATTTTTATTTTGGGAGATGGGGTGGCCCAGTTAAACAAATCAAATCAAAAAATGCTTTATTCTCAAAGACAGAATCTTGTTGAAAAAGCTGTAGAAATATAAAATACAAAACAAAGGGTACAAAATAAAAGGTATAAAATAAAATATCCAGTCAGACAACATTTGTTAAAATAAATAAAAGACTAGTACCCTCACTCCACTTAGACCTACTCTGGACTCACCTACTGATACTGTGAAGATTTTGGTGCCTCTTAAGTGAGGACACCACTTACGAAACCATTATTACAGATTTATTTATATAATTTGATCCTAACAGTTACCGCTCATATTATAAAGAATTGTGGCTAATATATATTTTTTATAGAAATCAATAAAACTGCGAGAAAATACTTACAAGTATTATTTTTTTTTTTTATATTAGTGAAAACCGCAAATAAATTTATAAATTCGTAAAAATTATTATGAGTATAGTATGTATCTGTAGATCAATAGAATGCTCTTGGCAAATAACGGAACCACTCTTTAATAATAATTAATGTTAACTCAAATTTGTAGATTGAATAATATTTATTAGTATTTATTCTTTTATTTTTAGCAACAACTTCAACAAGCGCAGGCTCCCGAAAAAACTTCCTTGGTGGAAGCCTGTACAGACGGGGATGTGGGCACTGTGAGGAAACTCCTAACAGAAGGAAGATCTGTGCACGAAACTTCAGAAGAGGGAGAGAGCTTGCTTTCTTTGGCGTGTAGTGCTGGCTATTTTGAACTTGCACAGGTAAGAAAAAAATAAACCTGACAAAGTTTGTGGTTGCAATTGAAAACTTGGTTATGAAGCAACTTCACGATGTAATTGATTCACTTTACAGGAACGTAAGATCTATAGTCAAAAGAAAATCGATCTTTTCAGATTTCCTCAAATATCTTTGAAACCAGACCTGATGTCTTGAATTTCAAAACATCAGTTATTTAATTTGGTATTTAACTTACTGCACCTCCAGTGGTTTACTAAATATAAATATTTTTTAAATGTCTTTTTTTTATCATATCTCTTGTGATAGAATAGAATGTATTCATTAATAAAGTATTTTTCTTCTTACATTTTTCATGCTTAAAAAAACTTATCAGACTAGTCAAATTTTCATAGTCAGCGTTCACACAGTACCACCCTACACATCCATACAAAACACATTCATATTATCCAGTTCTCACATGTTTAAAATTATAAGTATTGAATTGAAGAGTTTGAATCAATTTTATTAGGCTCTTTTGTCACTCAATGACTCGACGAAAAAAATAATGAATTAAGAGAAGTGTAAGAACTGAATTCAATAAAATTTAGTAACTAGTATCTCAACATACCAGCGTTAATCAACTTGCAATATTTTGAAGTCACATTTCCAAGTACATATATGAAGAGTTCATATATAAATTCAGTTAAAAAATTATTTTTTTACAATTTCAGGTACTTTTAGCCATGCATGCGAACGTAGAAGATAGGGGAATTAAAGGAGAATGTACACCCTTAATGGAAGCAGCATCTGCTGGCCACCTCGACATTGTGAGACTCCTAGTAGCTCATGGGGCAGACGTCAATGCTCAGTCGACATCAGGTAAGATGATATTGTTAAACCTTTTACATCACTCGTTTTTAACTCATGAATTGTAAGGTGGCCGTAAAATAAGCTTCTGTTACGTTCGATTCATGATTTAAAATAGCGTGAAATTCATTTTCCTGAAAACACGCCTTTTCTTTCATATTTTTCGTGTACCTAAACATGATATTTTATACATTAAGTAAAATAATGTATCTTTTTTGTTTCTTCTATTAGGCAACACCCCCCTTATGTATGGCTGCGCTGGCGGTCACACTGAAGTCGTGAAATTCCTCCTGGAAAACGGCGCCAACGTCGAAGATCACAATGAAAACGGGCATACGCCCCTCATGGAAGCAGCGAGCGCGGGTCACGTGGGACTCGCCAAGATCCTTCTAAGCCACGGAGCTGGCATCAACACCCACTCGAACGAGTTCAAGGAATCGGCGTTGACGCTTGCTTGCTATAAGGGCCACCTGGACATGGTTAGGTTTCTGCTCGAAGCCGGCGCCGATCAGGAACACAAGACCGATGAGATGCATACCGCGTTAATGGAGGCGTCCATGGACGGACATGTCGAGGTAAGCAATCAATAATGTATTGAAATTATTAACCTGGGTAAAACTACTTTCTTAAGTTTTGGAGATGTTGGACAAGCTGTGGTAGAGAATTTTCAGTGTACTACTGTTGAGTTACTTTTTCGTTGTTTTTGGAGCATAATTGTTTTGATCAATCCATTGTAACTTGATAAACCGGGCCCTAACCTAGTTTTCCAAATACCCTTAACCTTGGCCTAAATTTCGTCTAGTGGGCCCCCCACGAAGTGATGTTAAAAACCCCCAGAATTACGTTTAGAGTTCAATGTAGCTGTAATGGAGGAAGAACAAAGGAAACACCGAGATTAATTTTGAATACTGTTTATTTAACATCTGTTCTTTTGTACAGCCGGACATTTAGATTATGTGCCGTTTTTAGGCTTAACATTATGTTTATGTAGGCTTTCCAATGTGTTATTTCTAACCTCAGAGCTTTTAGTTCCCATAAAAGGGTAAAATAAAAGTTGGAAGTACTTTGGTATATTTGTTTGTCTCCTAACATACAATCACACGTTTTCCACAGAAATACTGAATTACGCATTGTCTAATAAAGGAGAGTACAGCGGTAGCACGAGGAGTGTTGTGAGATATAAAATATTGCGTCAAATTGAAAACCTCCTCCTTTTTTGAAGTCGGTTAAAAATAATATTTCTAATATGTGTAAAAACCGGAGTGTAGATTTACCCCACCGTGCGTCACGCCTTTCTCTAATATTCCAATGACGTAATGTACTGACATACTCAGTCCTGTATGGAAAACACTGAACGGTCGATCGGAGAACACCTGATATAAAGGGGGATGCCCGTCAGGCCCACTTTTGGGGTATTTCAGTAGAGATCCATCCAAGCCTCTATCAGGCTTTAATTTACATAGCCGCAAGGGAAATACCATTTTTAGGCCCTTACTATTGAGGTCCCTGGCGGTCTATGGTGGCCTAAGGCTTGTTTTTCGACGCGATGCTCTTTTGCTCTGTCGATTGACAAATCAGTGTTATTATTCACAGTTCTGAGGATAGGTTAGCTAGTCCGCAAACACAATTTCACCTATTTATTCTAAATAAATAACAAACATACCGACTACTTCCGCGTAATGTCCCGCTAAAGATATGTGGATATGTACAAATAAATACGACCCACCTCAATATTCATGATTCTACCCGCCGCTGTACATATCTCCTTTTTCCCGAAAAATCGATACACAAAACTAACACTCCTTACGGCTAAAATGACACATTTGTCTACCCAATTTTGTTTTACAAAGAATGACAGAAAACATATTTTTTTAACCACAATCTAACTTTAAAATATATACAAATCAAAGCATTTACCCTACTAATCTACATCTGTTTGCCATTTAAAAGTAAAACCGAAAGTGCGTTTCATCTTTACTGAAAGGGGCAGTACTGTTTACAGACAACCAAAACTTTACAATTCGCCCTTTGGCCATAAATCTAAATGACTTAATTTATTACTTGAGAGTGTTGACCGACTTTACAACAATTAATATTTATAACATCACTATCGATTCTCTAAATAATATAATTTAGCACAATATAAAAACCCTATAATTTTTCCCACAATAAACGTTTATCAATGAATACCAAAAATATGACAATAACACACAGACGCGAATTTTCCCGCTAATGAATATAAAAGTAATAAAGTGATACCTGTAACCCATTAATGTTAGTCAAACTCTCCCCCGGAATATCTGAATATTAAATACTAGTTTGATTACTTGAAGGGTGACGAAATCCACTACGAACGTCCTTTTACTTATATATAAAATATAAGAAAAAGGTGGTCATCCTAAGGACAACTGGATACCTATGCAGAAGCCGTCATTTATAGAAACTAATTTCTCTACTCCGTCGATATCTTTTATTTCCGTTGTCAAAATATAACAAAAGCGCGGCCACCGTAAGGGTAGCGATATCTCTTTAATTATATTTGAAGAATATAAAGAAATTGGAGTCACCGTGGCGGTAACGTGGATATTTGCGTTTTTTTGTTAAGATGAAAAAGTTAGTGTTCCCCCAGCCCTCAAAAACACCGGTATTTATACTTAAATTTCCCATATATGCAAATGTATCGGAAAGAGAATGACTGTGACTTCGGTGTATAAAGACTATAAAGCCCTGTATTAATTCCTGAATATAACCCTATCGGTTAACATGTGGTTTTTTAGCTAGCGGCCGTTACAGTCTCCACGTCTTCTTTTCCCAGAAGTAATTAAACGGCGCCTACGAGGCGGGATACGCTGGGATGTTGTTTGAATTCTAAATAAAAATTTGAATATAATATGTAATATATAAGAATCATTTAAATTAATTATCAACCCCCGGTTGTCGGATTTCACCATGTTTGCCAAAAAAAAATTACTAACATATTTTTCTTAACTGAACATAATTGCTTCACAATTGTTGTCGCCTTATTTTATTTTTGTAGTTAAAAGTTACATCATTATCATAGTAGTAAGTTCAGATTTTGTCACCTGCTACAATACTATTAACACTCAGAGAAGTAACATTTTGATGTTCTAGGATTGTTTTTCACCAAATTACTCGTTCTCTTTCGTTATCTGTCAAGTCATATATGGAGGAACATGAGGTAATTGTTTCCCATAAAATACGTGTAACTAAAAATGACACCACTGAGTGTCAGTACCTAAGATTTGTTGAAAGAAATAATACATGATCTGAAATTAATCTGACTTATTTAATGCACAAGCGTGACTCATACATTGTTACGTTTTCTTGCGGAATTCTTGCTTGAATGTATTTCTAACTCTCCTATTTGGATCACTAACTTAATCCGGTATTTCTTTGAAGTTGGTTGGTAAAATTGCACATCGTGTCTCATGTACGAATTTGGACTCGTGTTGGAACAAACAGAACAGGTTTTTGATAAGTCAAGATTATGCACAACTGAAAAAGTGCTATACAGATTGCATTAAGTAACAATTTGTAAACGGTTTGCTGACTCACAATCATAATAATATGTAGAAACAATGCATAAGAAACTTAGGAATTGAATTGCGCGGCATTTTCATTCTGTAACGTTTAGGTCTGTATTTATGAATTGGTATAGACCAAGACGGTCTTTTGAATGAAAATCGAAGTTTAAGTAAATATAAAGTGCCGTATAGTACAAGAAATTTGTTACTACCATCTCTAAATTCTCATCCTTTGCCCAAACTTCGCTTATAATAATTTATTAAATATTTACAAACATAATATAATAAAAGCCACTCTATATAAAGTGACAGTTATATTTGACAATTACAATAAATAATTTTACAGATAATAGTAGATAATTATTTAAGTTCCTTAAATTATTTTTGCACCTAGGTGATGAACCTGTATGTGCATATTATAATATTGTTTAAAAAATTAATTCACTTTCCGTTTAAAGAAATGTTAATAGTTAAAAATTAATTAAAAATTTAAACTAAAAAGTAAAAACTAAACATTAAAACTAAAAACTAAAAATAGGTGAACATATTATTTAATAATTTAATTTGAAAATTGAAATAAAACATTACAGTAATGCAAAGATTTAGGTGTTATTTAAAAGGTTTATTTATATGTAGTTGGAAGTTTGTAGCTATACAGGGTGTCCCGAAATTTTAGACGGTCATATTTTAACAGCATAATATACATCCTAAAATAGGAGTAAAAGTATAAACATAGGTCCGAAAACGTTCCGTTTTCGAGATACAGGGCGTTGCAAGTGAAGTCCCGATGGCACATTTTTGTAAATATTTTCAAAAATTTCTTTAGTCACTGGTTTTCCAAAGTTAAAAAAAAATAAAATTTCTGATTGCACAGGCCTACTAATTATTGGTACACTTTCGAATAAGATAACATCAACTTATCATGAAATTTTCAAATGCTTTTCTCTTGAAAATGGTGCGCCCTAGCGAGATGCAACAAAAGTAGCTTTATTATAAAGAAAACATTGGTTTTCCAAATTTTAAAGTCAAAAATGTAAAAAAAAACAAAAAAAAAACAATTTTACCCTAAGCCTTCCTAACTTACCCACCTATGAAAATGATCAAAAACTGGGGTTTAGACCATTAAATAGAGCGTAAAAAGGTAAGCAATTGTACCAAATTTCACTTAGTTAAAATGTGCCATCGGGACTTCACTTGCAACACCCTGAATCTCGAAAACGGAACGTTTTCGGACCTATGTTTATATGAACTTTTACTCCTGTTTTAGGATGTTGATTATGCTATTAAAATATGACCGTCTAATTTCGGAACACCCTGTATTTTTACATTTTATTGAAATCTGTTTGACTTTATTTAATTTTCTGATATCTAAAGGCAACATATTGTAGATTCTTAGTGCAAGATTTCTTAAAAATCTCTGAGTCACGTCTCTTCGACAGTAAGGTACAATTAGATTTTTGTCAGATGCTTGTCTAGTTTTATAGCCGTGTGAAATTATTTCTTTTATGATTAAGGAGTCAGTTACTTTGAAAATATAACATTTTTACATTAAGTATTCAATATTATACAGCTGATGCAATCTGTATTATTTTTAACAAATAATTTTTGAACTACTGACAGGGAATATAATGCGTTACTATAGAGGCCACCCCAAACTTGAATGTTAGATGTTAATACTGACTCTACTAAGGTTTTGTATATAATTATTAAAAGCTGTTTTTTTCATAAATTTACGTAACTCGTAGAATTTGTATATTAATCGCCATTTAGATTCGCTTCTTGTGTAGGCATTCTTTGCTTCGGTGCAAGTAACGAAAAACTAATTGGGTAAAAAAAATAATACAACAATTATTATTGCATTTGATGAGTTACATAGTCAAATAATTTATATCTATTTTTGGAACTCGCAGTATAATAAATTATATATATATATATATATATTTTTTTTTTTCAGGTGGCCAGATTGCTTTTAGATTCCGGCGCTCAAGTTAATATGCCCACCGACAGTTTTGAATCGCCCCTTACTTTAGCTGCTTGCGGTGGTCACGTAGATCTGGCCATGCTTTTAATAGAAAGGGGCGCTAATATCGAGGAAGTCAATGATGAGGGATATACGCCTCTCATGGAAGCGGCGCGGGAAGGGCATGAAGAGATGGTACACCTATTGCTTGGCCAAGGTAAGTCATTGGTTAATTTTATACACAATATATAAATATGAGAATGGGAATTTGTTACACAAACATGCTGATGCAATACATTTCCCATGGGTGTATTACAGAATTAGTTGGGTGTCTTGCCAGAATGGCTATCTACTGCAGTGTTGGACTATCAGTTACTGTTTCAGAAAAAATACGGTTTAAACTAAAAGATTCATATTTGTTGAGTTCGTTTATTGCACATATTTCTCTTCAGTTCAATTTCTGATCAAAAAACGTTCGGTATTGCCACTTTTGAATCTGCATTCAGAAATAACAGATTTATGTGAAAATGAGCACATCGAATCGCTCCGTAGTTAACACAGCAGACATATTTCTTAATGACATTTTATCGTCGATATCATTTTCATCGTTACTCGTCAAGTGTAGTAAGCAAATATTGATGGGCGTGAAAATTGTATCTATGTTAAATGATTTAGGTCAATTTTTAACCATCAAATCGCAATTAACCTAACCACATATAATTAATTGCCAGCTACTCGTCTTTCGGCGGCATTTTTGAACTTAGAAAGTTGCAATTGCTTTGGATCAATGACACAGTCTGTCAGAGCTTTGATACTATAGAGCTAAAATTCTCATAAATTGGATAGATGTAGCATTCACATTGCTGCCGAACTCCACAAAACAAATAATATATTCTTGATGTGTTCATACATTTTTGTATTTTATGATCAAAATTATTAAATAAAAAATACTTGCACTTATCTATTCACATCTATCGGAAATATAAAAAACTGACACTACAAATGTTAGAATTGTTTGTGTACTTCTTTGTTCCACCACGAGTGAAAGCATGCATTTTTTGCGGATTTTAACAACATTTTGAAATCTAAAATGTCTGAATTAACTGAATAAGCTCCTGCAACTACTACTTAACTTGAAGTCACTGTCTTGACCATATATAATGTCTGCCTGCTCCGCCAAATGTGCGGTAGGCAATGCACGAACTTTCCATTTTATGCCAAGGAACACTGGTATTGAATAAGCTGTGTCCTGTGTTTTGACAGAAGACAGGCATAATATGTCAAGGCGTTCGGGAAAGAAATATAATCCAAATTCCTCGAAAATCACGTGATTAACATTAAAATCTTTGTGCTCTTATCTCTGAGGTATAATACCGAACTCGATGATTATAGCCAGGACATTTCATTTGTTAGATTGCATACATTATCTCCAGTATCTCCATTAAACATTGCACAAATTCAGAAAAAAATATTTCTTTATGGAAATAAAAGTAAATAAAATAATACAGGGCGATAATTATTAATTATTAATTATTAATTATTAATTATTAATTATTAATTATTAATTATTAATTATTAATTATTAATTATTAATTATTAATTATTAATTATTAATTATTAATTATTAATTATTAATTATTAATTATTAATTATTAATTATTAATTATTAATTATTAATTATTAATTATTAATTATTAATTATTAATTATTAATTATTAATTATTAATTATTAATTATTAATTATTAATTATTAATTATTAATTATTAATCTATTGTTATTATTTGTAGATAGTAAAATTAACAAACACAAATTTATAATATTCTAGAATGAGCAACTTACAGGTGAATTGGTATTGTGCCAATAAACACTATTCTAGTATAAAATATTTTTAGTCATAAGGTATCTCCTAATGATTCACTCTACGTGTACAGAGATAGACAAACTGGCTGCACAAATTAGCATTTTTTAAGACTGTTATAAATCTTAAATTAAAAGCTGGCCATACGCCAAAGGAAAACACTTAATAATGATCTTTTATTTTTAACGAGATTGCCGGATAACCTTAAAACTATGGTCTCTATTGATTTTTAATGTAAATAGAATAATATAAAATGCCGAATTTCATATAAGACGTTAAAATATTTCAAAAAAATTGTATTCATTACTTTTTTTATACCCCTATGCCTTAAAAAATTATAATGCTTTTATAGTTTATCAAACTATTCTTTCATTGATTTAATGTTTTATTTGACCGATGTGACATGATAATGTTTGTTCAAGCCCTATATAATTTCCCAACTAATAGACCGTCAGATAGTGACGGGTTTAGGTGCCCCATTTTTGCATAAATGCCTCTAATAGGGATGAAAAGTACATCGATTTGGAGTAGAATGAAAGGAAATTTACGAGTGGCTCCTAGGGATAACATGGAAAATTCGGTTTTCCCTAACAAAAATTAAAGATTATTTATTGCCCATATTTTCATGCAAGCCGTGTTCACTAATTGATTGACTAATAGAACTATGCTTCAGAAAACCGCAAGTGGCTAAAGGGTAAAAATAAGGGCGTAATCTTGTAAAAAAAAAAAATATTTTTCTACACAAGCCGATCGAATGTATTAAAACGTACATCGTTTCTACTCCGAAAAACATATTGGCTTGAATGATCGGAATGGATAAACGCATTTTGGGGTCGGAACATTTTTCTGTAAGGAAAATCGAATTTCCATGTGTTATCCCCAAGAGTCATTCTTAAATTTTTCTTTCATTCTACTCAACATCGATGTACTTTTCATCCTTCTTGTCACTATCTGACGGTCTATAACTAGAGAACCGTCCTTAAAACAATTCCGCGAGAATTATAACATTTTTTTGAGGTTTTTTTTTAATAAAATAAATTTTATTAATAAATCGACCTAAAAGACAATTTTACTCATTTCACCACATATCTAACTTTTGTCCATAGGAGTCCAAAATAAAGATGCTGTGAATTGTCGAAATAGAATAAAGATGCCATACAAAAATAATCCAAACTATAATAACTGAATAATGGCACTTTTTGTGTTCATTTTAAACATGTATATTATGTCAAATAGTTAAATCTATGAGTAAAATCAAAGCCTCACTCCTAAGCTACGTCGCATTAGTTTCTAGTTTCTATATTACGTGCCCTAACAACTAAATGTTCTGACAAACAATAATTTATTGAAAACGTTAATTTACATGAACTAAATTATTAAATTGAAGAACTTCATTAACGATATATTAAAATCTAATATTTATATTTAATATTTAAATGGTTTGGTTTTTAAACACATTAAAATACACTGTATGCGAATAAATAAACAAAAATATTGCAGAATATCATGACAACTAAATGTTCGGAAAATATACAGAATTACTATTTTAATATGGCGTTACATCTCCACGAGCTTTTACAACCGCTGCAATCCTATCTGGCATTGTTTTTTATTAATACATAAATCAGGGTCAAAACTTTGCCATAACTCATCCACTTTCTTCTTCAAATCGGCAACGGTTCTTTGGGGATCATCACGCAATTTTTGTTTCATTTTATGCCATAATGTCTCAATAACATTAAGGTAAGGACTGTTCGAAGGCCATGAGAGGACATTAATGTTATTATCCCCAAACCATTTTTTAGTCACAAGACTATTTTTCAAAATTTCCTGATATTTTGCGGCATTAATTGTGCCTTCTTCCACCTCATAACTTCCTAGACCCACTTTGGACATGCACCCCCAAATCATTATGCCTTTAGGAAATGTTACTGTCCTTTTGAGGCAATCTTTATGAAATGCTTCATTTTTAGTTCTAATAACGTCAAACTTCGCCTCGTCACTATGACTTTGGACCAGTCTTCAACGATCCATTACATCTTCGATTTTGCCCAATTAAACCGATTTATTTTCTGCTTCTCTGTTAGTAGAGGTTTTTCTTTCGCCTAAAATATTATGAATAATAAAAAATCATGAATTTAATAAAATCTTTTGAACCGACCTTATAGAAACTAAGTCCTGATTTGTGTATCCACTTTCTACAGCACTCTCTCGATAAAAGGCGTTTTCTAATATTCAACAAAATGATGGACTGATGATAGATCACGTGACCAGTAAATTGCCGATTGGTACAATCGTGATTTTTATCTGATGAAAATTATTTAAGAACAACTGACATTTGTGATTTTGTAATCTTAACTGTGAAACTGTCTTTATTTAATGAAAACAAATAAATCTAAGCCCTTTTTGATAGGCATAAAGACTAAAAACAAGTATGGGTAATACAATAATTGAAAAAATATGTACTTACCTTGGCCGAAGTATCCATCAACAATGTGATCACCTTAAGATGGATCAAAGGTCAAGCCACATCGAAAGGTAACCATCTTGCTGATTCACTAGCCAAGAAAGCAGCCAACCAAATACTTTTTGGACCTGGCCCTTCTATTGGCCTGACAAAATCAATAGTGACAGACCTAATCAAAGAACATTCTCTTGTGAAATTCAAGGAAAGATGGGATGAAACAAGAAACAGAGTTGCCAGGGAGCTCTTAAGTTATCCTGACAACACTGCAGCAAACAAATACTTGACTATGACTAGACAGAATCTGCGCCTAGACACAGGCATTCTGACTGGTCATTGCGAAGTACGAAAGCATCTCCATATCATGGGGCTGTCAGAATCCGCACTCTGCAGAGGGTGCGAACAAGAAGATTAGACCATCGAGCATATACTTTACGATTGCCCGACGCTCTCATTTATTAGATTTGTGTTCGGCGAGTATCGGCTAACACCGGCCGAATATAAGAGAAGCACCTCTTGGCGACGTTGTCAACTACATAAAATCTGTAGGCTGGCTCACGAGCTAGGAGGTGCCTATCATCTCAGGAGGATGCACAATGGACCTAATGAGACCTAAGTGCCGTGGGGGGTAACCCACCCTCCACACTTTACAGATACAGATGTACTTACCTTCATTTGCTTGCTGTATATCTAATGTTGACAATCTTATTTTAAAAGTTAACCCACTTATTTTTCACTCATTAAGAAATTTGAGCGAACTTTTCCTATTTTCTTATCTGTTTAATAATAATTAATAATTTAAGGTTATGTCACGTGATCTATCAGTGATCCATCAGTGCTTCAACACAATAGAGTCGATGGATTTGGTGACAACCATCTGAGAATTAGGTTGAATTTAAGAATATGATGTATGACTCATCTAAAAATTTTTGATGAATAAAAGAAGGGTTTTGATGGATGCTAGATGGCATCGATGAATATGAAACGCCTAAAGTGTGTACTGTTTCTGCATTCCAATCTGCTGTGATGGCCCTTAAAGTGTTACGACGACCCCGTTTGCAAATTTTTATAAGTAATCGTCGATCCCTATCAGACACACTTCTCGGTCTTCCCAAACTTTTGCCTTTAGATTGGACACTTCCACTCTCATGATAGTGCTTAAGTGTATCCCCAACTGTTGACTTAGCCAAATCTAATTCATCCGCAATTCACGTATTTTTTTACCCTGACAATATTTTTTGATTATCAGTTCATGAAATTTTACATTTGTCACACTTTCTCTGGCCATTTTGGACTAAATTTATCAGAATTTTTGGCAAAACGGTTTCTAACAAGTAACTGTCAATTTAATTACCAACTTACAATAAGTAAATAACAAAGTCATAGAATAACCTACCTATTATAATTATAGTTATTCTGTGACAAAGATATGTATTTTATACACGGCAACTAGATAAATCCGAACATTTAGTTTTCACTATATTGTGCAATATTTTTGTTTATTTACTCGAATACAGTGAATTTCAATGTATTTAGAAAATAAATATTTTAAATGTTTATTATAAATGATAGATTTTAATATATTGTTAATGTAGTTCTTCAATTTAATAATTTAGTATATGTAAATTAATGTTTTCAACAAATTATTGTTTGTCCGAACATTTAGTTGTTAGGGCTCGTATATAAAACATGGCTCTCAGAAAGTCTAGATATCGCTATGGGTATGCTGTCAATACAATAAAATGAAATGAATACTTTAGGAACAAAACTTTGACAAGTTTTGTTCAATCAGGAACGGTTTTTAAAAATTCTCTTTTTTGAAATGCTATTTGCACACTCTATCCAATTATTAATAAATGAATTCAAATGAAAATTATACAATTTTTATAATTTAAAATCATCTATGTTTAGCAATGGAGATGTATTTAATTTTAAGTATTGTATTAAAATGTTTCGGTTTAATACTAAACTGATTGCATCATCCATTTATATTAGATATTAATGTGATAATAAAAAAGAAAACAGTTCATTATTGAAACAAATATAGATAAATTAATTCTTACTTTATTAGTGTTAATCTCGCAGAGAAAGTTGGAAAAATAAAATGTGTCATTGCTTTTAGAAACCTGTAAGTAGAAATAAGCACCAACTTAAGAGTACAAAGGCCCTAAGCTCTCTTTCGGTAACTAAACTAAAATATTTTTTGTAACGAACGAAACTGTTACCATATATCCTAATTAAAAATTTTATACAAGTTAAAATTTTATTTCAAAATATATAACAAAGCAAGCCACTACTGCATGGCATCACTTTAACAGTCGATTTATTGCATTAGACACTTATTATTTTCCTAATGAAAGTGTGTTTGAATGTTATTTAATATACTAAATTTCAATATTATCAAGACAGATTAATTTTAGAATGCCCCAAAGGAAAGGACCAATGTTTTTTGCAATTTTCCTGGTCGACTCGACCAAAGCAGTTTTTCGCGGTCGACCGTTGAATGCGTGAAACGTAACATATAGTTAGGGTTGCCAGATTTATGAAAAGGAAAAGTGAGACAACGGTGACGACAGGTGATCAGATTAAAAAAAGGGATGTTTATAAAATCATGTGGAGATCTAAAAAAAACGGTCCTCTGCTTATATTTTTATAAACCTATAAACTTCTCAAAAAAAATCTTACCTCAAATTTTTTTTTTATTTATAACTTAAAAAGCGTGGCATTTGAGTAAAAGACGAAGCATTTGAATAAAAAGTGTGGCATTTAGGTGAAAAGCGGGACAATTGCGCCTAAAGCGGAACTTATGGCAACCCTACATATAAGGCAAAATTTCAAACAATTATCAATGGTCTCTCTATAGCTATCAACTATTAATTCCGAAAATTATTTATTTCAAGAAAATATTTGTAAAAAGTTACTCCTACCACCTTGCGCCGATCCTGTCTTGTCAGTAGTGCCACCTTAAAACTCACTTAATATGGCACCCAGCATGAAGGGGGTCAAAATTTCAATGTTGTATCTAGTGTTTCTGAGAGCTATGATATAATATAAAAAAAAATTATTATTTGGTTAACCCTTAAACCAACTTGATTCTTCATCTAACTATAAATAACCAGTTATGTAACCAGGTTATCCAATCGAAAAACTACATTTTTTCTGCTCTAGAACAGTTCAGTGCTTCTGTATTTTCAAAAATAACGTCAAATTAAATGTTATACCATAACGAGTATAATTTCAGTTGCCTTCAACGAGAAAAGGTACAAATATTTACCTCAAGTTTAGACATTTACAATTGGTGAGTGTATAAAAAAATGGTGAAGTATTGGAAAATATTAACTTTTGTAAACAGGTAATTTGCGAAGAAATGGCATTTTTTTAAAGTAATTTTAGTTTACTTAAGTATTGATAAAATTTACTATAAAAACATCAGTTAAACTAGTTAAATTCAATTTTTGTTTTTTAAAATATTAAATAATAACATGTTTGTGCATTAATTGTACAATAATTCCCCAATTAAAAATGATCGTTTTTTTAGACAGTTGTATACTACCCTTTGACTAAAATATTTGTAAAAACTTCATAAAATATTAGTATTTTAAAAATACAGAATATATTTTTACATGTTAAACATCAACTATAAAGTCGTGAATTCTTTTAAAATTGTAAATTATAATTTGGCATGATTCCATATTCCAATAATGTAGTTTCATCCTATCGTCATTTTTTCATATTTTCTGTAATATTAATATTGATTTTATTGCAAAAACATTTTTGCTATTTATCAAAATTCTTATCAAAAATAGTTTTTAGTTTATTTTTTGTTGCTCCTGTAAGTGACATCTTCGAAAATGTCTTATTTAGAATTTCTTACTCCTGTTAGTAGCTTTATCATGTTAAACATAAAAATATTAACTGGAGTTAGATACCATATCTGGTGTATTTTTAACCAAATGTATTAGGTTAACAGTACAATTTTATAACGTATTTCTAATCTTTTATAACTAAACCTGATATAATAGGTCTGTTCCAACACGCGCGAAAACCGTAATATTACCGTACAAATCATGCGCTGTATACAATTTTTGGGTAGAGCGCACGATTTGTACGGTAATATTACGGTTTTCGCTCGTGTTGGAACAAACCTTAAAGTGTTTTATTTTGATATAATAATAAAAAATACATTTCATTCATTCAGTTGAGTAATTCAACCAGCCATTGATGAGTGAGAATTAAACATTTTGATATATATCGTCTTGGTAGCTTAGTGTCTCGAGCGGCCAGTATTCATTTATGGGCATTTTAGTAGTTCAGCGATGCACGGCTTCAGATCCTAGACCAAACCATGTAGATTAATTTGCATGATTTGTTGTAGGATTTGATGGGAGCCATAATAGCAGAAATTTAATTTCTGTTGATAGTACAAACAGATTACAAATCGCAGTGTGTTACCATTTCGATGATGCATGGTGGATGGGGTTTCCCTCACCTGGCATCATCGCTGCGGAGCGCCACGACAAGTAATAATAGTATCCGTCCCTTCCCTGCACAAGCTAAATCGGCTTCTAGGGTTCAAATTCACTTGTAAATGGGTGAATTATAGGGAGAGTATTATTATTAATATTTTTATTATTAATATTATTAACATTGTTATCAATTTATTATTTATTAATATTATTATACCTTCTTACTATTATTTCAGCACTATTCCTATTTTCAGGTGCAAACATAAACGCTCAAACCGACGAAACTCAGGAGACCGCCCTCACTTTAGCCTGTTGTGGAGGATTTACAGAAGTAGCAGACATCCTCCTGAAGGGAGGTGCTGATATCGAACTGGGTGCCTCTACCCCACTTATGGAAGCTGCCCAAGAGGGTCATCTGGACCTAGTAAGGTATGAAATCTTTTTTCCTTCAATAGAAACTTTCCGTCGCTTTTAGATGAAAAATTTGTTTCTAATTTACACAATTTCATTGTTACAGGTTTCTATTAGAAAACGGCGCCAACGTACACGCCCAAACACAAACCGGTGATACAGCATTGACGTACGCTTGCGAGAACGGCCACACCGACGTCGCTGATTTGCTATTGCAATACGGAGCGGACCTAGAACACGAGTCAGAGGGAGGGCGAACACCTCTAATGAAGGCGTGTCGGGCGGGACACATGTGTACCGTACAGTTTCTCATTTCAAAGGGAGCTAACGTCCGGTAAGAATTTTCTTTTTATTCTAAAAGTTTTTAGTAAAACAAATGACAGGTCTTTACATTCATGTTTCCTTTTTTTATATAGACGCCAAACTACAAACAACGACCACACGCCTCTGTCCCTAGCGTGCGCTGGAGGTCATCTTCCCGTCGTCGAACTTCTCCTAAGCCACAACGCCGATCCAAATCACAAATTAAAAGACAACTCGACCATGTTGATAGAGGCTGCCAAAGGGGGCCACACCAATGTAGTGCAGCTGCTACTAGATTATCCACATTCAATGCAACCTATGATGCTGAACCAGCACCAGCAGGGCGCCACTGCCGCTACCAATTTGTCCATGTTACCTGGGCAAGTGGGTAGTAGGGACTCCCCTTTACCACCTGGGACTATGGCTCCCAATTTAGCCAACCAACCTATTAATTTCTTCCAATCGCCTACGGGTAAGTAGTAGTTCTGTTTCGGTAGAACATGGTCGCAAGACATAAGACGAAACACCAGTTGTTTTTTTTTTTGTTGAATGTGGTAAAATTTTAGCTTTGGCTGCTTCATACTTATACATGGCCCTTTAGTGAAATATGAAAAAATGTTTTAGATAAAAGTTATAAGTTCGCTTTTTTTCGTATTTCTAAAATATTTTTTTTTTTTTAAGCAGCGACGTCATTTTGTAGCCAAAAATGTGAATAAAATACTGAAAAATTGTTCATGACAAATATTATTAAAACAACTGTTGTTGACAGTTAAGTTTAAATATTTGGTAAATACAAAGATAAGGGTTAACTAAAACGTCTTTAAATATCTATAACTCCGTTTTTCAAATTGAACACCAAGTTAATTATTTCAGTATTGGTTTCTATAATATTGGCCCTAAAAGTGATAGATTTTGACTAATTTTTATTATAATAAATTAAAAATAAGAGGAATAAAATAAACATAGGACTTCCACGCACTAATGGGGAAATACGAGTCAAATAGAAAACTTCCGACCTATCACAATTCTTTCATCTTTAAAATTATGTTTTTTATGATAGGATCTATTTTTATGTGTAATCCATACTAATTTATGATCAACACGGCTTTATCAATAAAAAGTCAACAATTTTAGATATTTTTGGATATTTAATGACTATGTTGCACATTGACATAGGTTAAAACGATATATATACTGATCTAGCGAAAGCATTTGACAGTGTCAGTCATATAGCAACAATCTTACTCTATTGAAAAAGTCCTATTTATCCAATCGTCGACAATTTGTTCAATTAAATGACAGTAATTCAAAACTCTTTACAGAAAAATCAGGCTCGATTATAGTACCACTACTATTTGGTATTTTTATCAATGATATACATGAGTGATTATTTTAAACAATCAAAATTTTTATTATATGCAGACGATATTAAGCTGTTAATGTCGAATTACTTCAAACTTCAAAGAGATATCACATCAGTATCTAAATACTGACATGACACTGGAAAGAAGAGCCCTATTTTCTAACCATAAATTATTTTCACTTATTGCTAATTCTCTTCAAATACTAACTAGATCGGTTTCTGATTAACAGTAACATTGACCTTTTTAATGTGTCTCTCAAAAAATTGAAATCAATATATATGATAAATATAAGACATTTTAACAAAAACTATTCTTAATCAAAATAATTTGTATAAATTTTAATAATACATGTGTTTTATATTTTTTGTAGTATTTTAAATATTATTTTAGTTTCAGTAATTGTAAATAAAATGCCATGCTATATAACATATAAATGGATTGCAGTCTGTTTGTTTTGCAGTATAAATAAATAAAATAAGTAAGACATTTCTTGCAGCCGTGTTACAAGAAGTTCCCGACGCGGTGCGTATAGTCCAACAGGAAGATGGCACTAATCCCTCGATAGACGTGAATAAACAACAAGTGCAGCAACAACCCAGTAGGAATACCGATCAACAAAAAGTCTCGATCGGCAGGAAAATTTTACCGAAGAGTCGATCAACGGGTGCCGTTTTTGATGGCAACCTTACCTCGGCCGAAGCCCAACAAGTAAGAAAAATGAATTCTTTTGAATTATTGATTGTTGCAGCTGAAAAGAAAACTATAATTTTATCAGTTATCATTCAATAGAACAAATTGAAAATATTTTTTTTTTATCTTTAGGTGCGGACCCAACCCCTCGAATTCGAGGATGAGGTGTTCATGGCGAATGCAGCTGCCGTGGATTTCCTCAACAAGGATGATCCGAACAGTACATTAATAGATTTCATAAAAAATAGGAAAAAACAGCAATTTAACGGGAATGGAGAGGAGGGTTCGAGTCAGAAGCAACAAATTCTTGAAGAGTTGCATGTAAGTTTTTTTTTTAATTAGAAAAAGGACAAAGGATTAATTGTATAAAGAGAAATTAACAAATTGCCAGTAAACTGATGCATGGTATGTCATTACTTTATACTTAATTAACATTTGATACATCCTTATATTGAAGTCTTACTAGTAACAAAAACAGTATTTTTGGTGCTGTATTTTTTTATATTTTCAAATTGATAAGAGTAGAGTTAATAGAGATGTACAGCACTCATCAATTATTTCTTCCTAGGGTGAAAATAAAATGCATTGGTCAAACAAATAAGATTCTGTAGTTGCAAAAAGGAAATAACATAATAGAGAGTTTTCGCAAAAGTTACCTAACATTAGACTACATTCGCGTTTTTGCTTTCAAAGACAATAATATTTTACCTGTCACCAGCTATACATGTTCGATGCAAATTTTAATGTTCAACTATTGGGAATACATCTAAATTTAGGAAACACCTTTATAAAAATTAATTGCTGCGAATCATGTATTCTGGTAGACCTTGAAACGCATTATTTTTAAAGTATAAAAAATTACACGTTTTTGATTCTATTTCGAGTTTTATTGATTTCTAATAGCCTCAATCCCTATTTTTACTTCTGAAACCGTATATTAATTTTTATCTTATATCCACAATAAAAAGAAAGCAATAAAAAAATATATGTTATTTATTAGCGAGTGGAAAGGGATCTTCACGGTAAGACTCAGGCTCACAACCACGTGTTCCAGTATGGAATCACACAGGAACAGTGTCCTTCATCAACTAACAATACACTGCCTCATATGTTGAATATTGACATTGCGATGCAGCAACAGAAGCAGCAAGGTAAGTTGTTTTAGATAATTTGCATTTTAACTTGAATTTGAATCGCTTGTTCATGGGGACATTGCAAGGAAATTGTAGTTAAAATTTCCCGTATTATTTGTTATATTGTTCCAAGGATATGACTCTCAAGATGAGAGAAGTATTTAGCTCTTTTGTTTGCATGTATATATGCATGCATGTTTATTTCTGTTATTGAAAGGCTTATGTTCACCCCATAACAGAATGAAGTGTATTATGAAATTTGAAATAGGACTTTATTACCAATCCAAATTAAAGGTTACAAAATAATGCCTTTAAAATTATAATTTATCACTCGGTCTTGTCTTATTTCAAATTTATTTTATTTGTGCCGATGTTTCCGTTTGAAACGGCATTGTTTTTAATTCGGTTTTTGTCGCTTATCAATCTCAATTCATTACGGAAATAACAGGAAGGTGACTCTATGGAAGCGCTGTTTCACATTAAAATGAAGTGAGATCATTGCTGTAATAAATATCAATAACAAAAATTTTAATTGTTATCAAACCTATTTTGTAGCATCTCGAGAGTCCATGAGGTTCAATTATGTACAAGTTGCACACGAAGCTTCGTAAGACTGCTAAAATTGTCTCATAATTAAAAAAGTTGAATTCATCATTCCTTAAGTCAATATATTGAATAATAAGTAGCAACCAATATTGATGACACTAATTTTGTATTGTTTATACTACTTTATGACCCATAAGTCTACATAACTTTTAAAATATTTTCCCTGTATATTAGTATAGTAGGGTTAAGACATTTTATCTTTGCAGGATGCCGAAAATGCTTTGTTTCCGTTAATTGACTAGTCTTGTGGGAATGGAGATTGAAATTTTGGATTCATGCTAAGAGGTCCAAAGACACTTCATTATGATATCAAAAACTGAAAATGTAATTGAAGTCTGTTAAAACATATTGATTAACTTTAACACCCTGTATCTCGGAAACCAAGCGTTTTCTAACCTAATATGTTAATTTAACAAAAAAATTTTATTTTGTCCCCTATCACCCCTAAAACTTTGTCGGACATCCTGTATAAATAAATTAGTTCCTATTTGATATTGGTTGTAGCTGAATGAAGTTTATTTTTGCAAGCAACGATTTGTAAGAATACAGTGTATAATGAGATGGGTGGGGTTTTCCTGATTTTCCTTACCTGTAAGTCAAATGGCCCCATCAATTTTATGTAAGCCATCCCAGACCGTTGTGACCAAACAGTAACTAGAAAGAAAATATATAACGCTTGGTATTCTATATTATATTCTTCACAGTTTAATAGCTCTCCCTTATCACCCCATTTTTAATCAGATTTTTTTCAGAATCAATAGAGCTTGATTTTTTCTGAAGATTCAAGTTGATTTTTTTTGCTTCTGAATTAGTTTTTTTTTTTAATATTTCTTTTTGTTTTTGATTTCTATTTTTCTTTTTTTCAGCCCCTTCTTAACCCCACATTTTTATTCAGATTTTTTTTCAAAATCAATAGACTTCGTCCCTTTATAGAAATTTAGTTTTGCTAAAAATTTCAAGTTGATATCAATTTTCGTTTTTCAGTTAGGATTTTTTAAATATTTCAACCCTCTTATCCCCCATTTTTATTCACATTTTTCATAGGCTTCTTCGTCCCTTTATAGGACTTTATTTTTACTAAAAATTTCAAGTTGATATTATTGTTCGTTTTTGAGTCAGATTTTTTTTAATATTTCAACCCCCCTTAACCCCCTCACTTTTATTCAAATTTTTTCACAATCAATAGGCCTCATCTCCTTATAGAGCTTGATTTTGTCTGAAAATGTTAAGTTGATATCGTTTTTCATTTTTTATTAATGATAAATTTCTACACACCTTTACCTCCCATTTTTAATCAGATTTTTTTTTTCTTCTAAATTAATAGGCTTCGTCCCCTTATAGAGTAACATCGGACGGAGGGACGTTTTTAAAAGTTGATGAGAAGGATTTTGGTACAAGTTTGTTTTAATTTAGTTCATTATTAAAAATGTTGGTTTCTCTATAATACTCTTCACAGACTACTATGTGTAGAATATAATAATAGCTTACTCTCCCCCCACAAGCATCAAGGGAGTGAATTATAGAGTATTATTGTAGTATATTACCTATTCTAACTTGTACAAACTCACTATCTTGTTTTTATACCATTAATATTGTAATTTGTTTTACCACCCTCAGCTTTGTGCATGTTCTGAAAATGGCCTTTGTGACACGTTAAGGAGGTTCTAGGCCATTTAAAATCGAAACTCTGTATGTATGTTTCACTTAGTAAGCCGGCATCTTCAGGAACAGTTTAAAATACTTTCAGTATTGCTCAAGAGTTGCTACAAAATCGGTTTCTATGCATTTTTTATTTTAAAACAAGAAAAAATTATTTCTATAGAAAATAGTGTTTACTTGCTGTTTCTATTCTTAAGTGATACAGTTTAAATGCGAATCGTTCATTCTCAGTAACAAAACAGAAACTTTGTGGCTTTAACCAGAGTATAACTGTATGATCTTAAAATTTGTTTTTATCAGTGTAAGGTAATTCTTGTCCCACAAACATCAAAATACCGACGCAAGTCGTTATATTCTGCTCTGGAATCTGTTCTGTGAGCTTGCCAAAAAACAAAAATCAAGCAACTTAATTGTTAGTAATGACAGTGAAAATGTCTAACTTAAAACTCCAGTTTTATAAAAGATAACAGAATATTCCCCTTTTTTTATATAAACCTGCATCTGCAGATGTCCGTCGAACTTTTTCGAGTAGTTAATGTAGATCCCATCTTCGATTACAGTACTTAGGTAGGAATGGAATATAACTGTCAGCTTAAAAACGCGAAATATTCTGAAGATCCGAGATTGGACTTGGAGTTTCGACAAATTCTGTGTGTAATCAAGCAGTTCATTTTGCAAATAAACTCGACTCGCCATCTATCTTTGTGCCGAAGCTGGCTAGAAAAGCTCAATTTAGAAACCTGCAATAAGAATAACCGAAACACATATTTAATAGAATTGGCTAAACAGATCCAAGCTAACGCATTAGCTCCGCCTTTTGACCAGGAACCTTGCTCAGGTCCTTTGAGACCCTTTCCTGAATATTCAGTAGACATTTGTCATAATATTCGAGAAGTTCATTCAGAAGAATTCCAACCTAATTCAGACGAAGATTTTTATACTGCTCCCATAGAGGAACGGCCGAGAACTGTCCAATGTTATACAAATACCCCTCCTGCATGTTTTCCTCGAAGAAAGGCCAGAAATTATAACCAAAACATTGAAAGTAAAGACAACTTATATTACCCTTGCCAAGAAGAACCATTTGTTAAGAAACTCTCAGACGAAAGCTCGTGGTGTGATCTAACGGATATCAGTAGCACTTCCATAAATCCCGTAGGCGCTGGGGATGCTAGAGCAAAATATTTTTACCATAAACCAATTATGGATGATTGTAATAATGATGAACCAAAAAAACCTACCGGGTCAGACTCCCAAGATAAGAAACTATCTCTGAAGGAAACCAAGTTCATACCAGCTGATTGGAAGGTGACCATAGAGTCTTTACAGTTAAGGCTTACGGAAACGCTAGGTCAGAATAATGAATTAAAAAGTTTAGTTGAAGATTTAAATTCAAAGCTAGCTAATGAAAAACAGCTAAGGCAAGAACTTGAAGTTAAATTAAAAAAATCTGAAGTACACGATAAACAAATTGAAATTACAACTGATAATCAATTACACACTATACAAAAAGCATACGAATCGGAAATCGAACAACATTATGAAACGTCAGAATTGAAAATTGAAGAAATAAAAGCCAGTTATGAATTAAAATTGAACCAAATAAAAGTAGAAAACGAGACCTTTAAAACAGAAAAGGAAAAAGAAATCAGTAGACTATCAGAAATTATACAACAACAGTGCTGTAAAATGACTGACGAAATCTTCAACTTAAGAAAAGAAGTAGAACAATGCATCGTAACAAGAGGCGATGATAAGATAAATGTCCTAAAAAAATGCATCTCAAAAATGGACAAACTCTTTCACAAATCAGAAAGGGAGTACCTCAAACAAATAGAAAAACTCAAGCAAGATTTAGAATTGAAAGAAAAGGTACAACAGATTCAAATGATAACGCAAAGGGCTGAGATTGCAGCACGTACCAGTGCCGAAAAACAAAAACAGGTTGATGATATTATGAATAATTTGGAAGTTAAATACATCAAAATGTTGGAGTTTCATGAGAAACAGGTCATGGATTGTAAAAAGCATGATGACGAGCGAATCGAATACTTGTCTGAACTATTGAGAAAACATAATATTCCATTTAATATTTTTTGATGTATCCGTAATAAAATGTGTGTCTATAGAATTTATACATTGAGTACTTATCACTAATACATCATGCAATGTAGCTTAAAATTGTAAATAAGGATTTCTTCTGAATGTAGTTTTCTCATTCTATATCAATTGATTTAAAGAATACATTTTTCCTTTTAAAGTGTATTAAAATATGTGTATCTAATAGTGGAAGTAGAATCTTAAGTATTTTTAGTTGCTTTTACTATTATTGAACATTTTCCAAAAATCCAAGCTCACGTAACACGGAAATATACGTCACAACACTACATACATTTTGTGATTGAAATCAATAGAGAATGTGGTGAAGAATATCAAATTTGTGCAAACTTTACTGATATTTTTGTAGGATAAATTATTTTAATTATTAAAACGCTACTTTCTCAAATTTAGTTTATAAAAAAAATATATATTTACAATGGACAATGTCCTTATTTGTTTCTTATGTGACAGATCTACTATTTTAGACATTTTAACAATAATTTCAATTATACAGGATTCTCCAATATCAAAGTTAGGTTTTTTAAATAAATTTTATAGTTGAATTGTTTTCGCTTTTCCCATTATTACAATATATTTTTCAAATCAAAATAAATACAGGGTGGGTCAAAACTCAAATAGATCATTTTCTCATTTTTTAAATTGACCATCCTGTGTATTGTGTCACAATTTAAAAGTACATTAATTAAAGTTTCAATTGAGCTAAGCATTCACCTATACCTAACATTAATAATTTTGGGAGATTTTTAAATTTAACTGAGATAAAGATAATTCACTAAAATACTTTAATTTTAACTGGTTACATTATAGACTGTTAATTGGTAATTGGAATTTAACCACCTATAATTAATTGTTAACTGAATAGTTTTTGACAATACCTAATGCGACTTTTACATATAGTAAAAAAATAAAAATACCAACCAAAATCTTCACATAATACATACTTTATTTTAAATCTATTAAGTGTTATTTTGACAGATTTTATTTAAGTAGAAAAGTTTCTCTAAGTAACCTCGTATAATATTTAAAGGTCTAAAGGTGGTTTTCAAAGGTCCAATTTACATTCCTAAGCATTTAAGTAACGCTCGAACTGCCTCTCTTATTCACGATTAAAGGTCGTATTATAAAACTGGCTAGACTTTTTTAAAAACAAATATCGCAACACTAATGACGTTAGTAATAACGATCTGTCAGTATTGAGATTTCAAAGTCAACTTAAAAATATAATCAACATAGAATAGAGTAGGTATTATAATGGGGTTAGTCTATGATTGGTTGCTATAGCGCAAGTAGAAGTTGAAAAGGCTTTTGGTAGGTAGCGAGGGGGTAAACGTCAAACTACGTCGGACGGATTCGAGAATTTCGCAGTAATGTTTACCTGCTAGTGTCGTTTCATAGAATAAGTAATTTTAAATTGTTACCGGCGGAACTGGACAATCGCATGTATTTATGGACTATAAATAATTATTAAACATGTATTATAATATTCAAATCAAATTTTACAAAATTTCAACAGCTATTAAGATCTATAAAATAATTTTGTACGCCAATGTATCGCGTCAATTTATGTGTATAAAGTGGGAGAACTGGCAAAAGCCTTTCCAACTTCTTCTTGTGCTATACTGGTATTTATTGTTAACTGAATTTTACAGTCCTATTAAAAATTGTCAAAAACTTATTCAGTCGATAATAAATTACAGCTGGTTGAATTAATATTACTAATTGACAAAAAGTCTTATTACCTGTTAACCAGTGACCAGTTAAAATTAAAGTATTATGTAAATTGTCTTTTAGTCATTTAAATTTAAAAATATCCCAAAATTACTAACTTTGAGTATAGGGAATGCTTAAATCAAATGAAACTTTAATTAAGGTACCTTTGAATGTTGATATAAAATAATGGGTGGTCAATTAAAAAAAATGAGAAAATGATGTATGAGTTTTGAAAAAAGTAGTGCATCGAATTAAAATTTTTCGATTAGTATAAAAACCTTTTACCGCAAAAGTACTGGTTTTCAATCGTTTCTTTTACAGTATACAGGTCATTGAAATCAATACGATTTTCATATGAAACTGGTTACAGGGTGGGAAATACCCTTAATAATATCTTACTATTTGGTATTGTTATAATGGGAAAAGCAAGGGAAATTCAAATACAAGGTGTCCCATTTAAAACAAAAAAACTAACTTTGATATGTATCACTTCCTTGGAGAACCCTGTATAATTGAAATTATTTATTAATTCTTGTCATTTCTGATATCTCGCTGTGAAAACGGATTAAAAAAAATAGTTTTGGCTCTACAGACTGAGACGTTATCATTCATTTATTAAAATAAATTTTAACAATTATATTTTTCTTGATTTGTAAATTTTTATAACGAGCAATTAAATACTTTGATACTGCTCACTAATAAACACATTTTGAATACAAAAATTCACAGGAAAAACTATCTTTACCATTTGTTTAATGATTATAACCAACTATTTAGAAAAAAAGTTGGTGTATTAATTATTGTATTCTACAGTATGTTATGTATCTAAGAGTTAAAAAAAAAACTTAAACATACGTCGTGAAAAAAAAAACGAATCGAGTGTTTTTGTTTTGTAAGAGAATGGACCTTCTCACAAGTCCCCGATTAGTTACTTTTTTAGGCATGGAGAAACTTTATGACCGTAGTATTAAATGTATTAAGAGTTAAATGGTTATTATGTTGAATAAATAAAGAAACAATTGTTTCAAAATACAGTAACGTTTTCTACGTTAGGCTAAGAATATATTAATTCGCTCTCATATAATTTAGGTTTGCAGTGAATATAATGAAAATAATTATTAAGTCAGCTTTGAAAAGATAAGTAAACTTTTTTACTTCATTTCAGCGATTTTGACATGTATGATATTTCTATTTTATGAAATAAGTAAACATTGCAGTGCTAAATATACAAATCGTTGACTTTATACACTTTCAATTTCATACAACTTACCCAAAGCACAAGGGTACAATCTCACAGTTTGCGATTAATTTCTGATTTACAGAAGAGTGTTTACAATTTTCATATAGTTAACTTTTATAAATTGCAACGGAATACTTGACACATATGATGAACTTTACTGGAAATTTAATAATAAATGTCTGATCATATCAATATTTAAGAAAGTGATTCGCATATTATTACACCAAGATCGCTGAAATAGTTGTCAATAAATGTTTTGTTTAAAATATTACTTTCGAATTCACCTAGTGTCAAAAATGTGTTTACCACAGTTTGTATACTTCGTTTTAACCTACCAATTTAGTACCCTGCAAATCTACAATTAAGCTTTTTACTATATTAGCATTTTATTTAAAGGCATTGGAAATTTATTTTACAAATTTAACGCGTCTAATTCGAATCAAATAGAAGATATTTGGCTCCAAATGTGGCGACCGTGACGCAATAACAGCCGAGCTCTCTGCAGCCATATCAAACCAGATCGCACCCGCATAAGTTGAGTTCAGCATCTCAGATTCGTTCATTCCAAATGATTCCATTTTTAAATTCATGCTATGAAATTATTGAATTTATTAGCGACGCAGTCTTATTTTGACGAATCTGATATGACGTCACGACCAAGACTACGCCGATTTATAACTCCTGAACGGTAACTGAAAGAGCGGTGCTGTTTTCTGTGTTGTAACTAAGATGAATATAATAATTATTTAAAAAAAAAATGTTTTTTAAGTTGCCATTGCCTTTAAGGAATCTCGTATTTTTTCGCCACTCATATACATCCATTTTTGCATGTACCCTCGTTTTTCCTTTCCCCAAAGATATGTGAATCTTTTAATAAAAATGGTTTGGACAATTTTCTTGCTCTAGAGTTTATATCATTATTTTACATCGAATAATTATTATTAAAGAAGCAACAAATTAGAATATGGACAACTGCATAAAAATACCTATTATTCTCAAACAGTTTTTAACCATTTTCTGGTGTTGTCATTTTCTGGATTTTGGTTTTGGTACATACATGAATAAGACATTTTACACGATAAGACAATTTAAAATTAGGACAAGTCTGTCAACCCTGTAGAAACCTTAACGGCATAAGTGAATCTTAAACTTTGCAGCTTCATTTCTCAAAATATGGATAATAGACATTGGGAACACCAAGCCCCAGATATTGTTCTGAAAATACTGCTAAGAGTTTTGATAAAAAATATTAAATTTCAATAAAAAAATTGATTGGGGAAGAAATTGTAATATTTTTTTATTTCTTATTAAATGTCAATAAAAGTATTTAGGGTTGTTATTATAGTTATTTATAACTAATCAATGTATAAGAGATGCAAATAAATACAAATCAAATTCTCACACTCCAAACTATGAACCCGGAAATGCTCTTTTATGTTTTCATCAAAATTATAACATTTAATTTTTGAAGGACAAATTGAATACACTTAACTTGTAAGAATTCTGTGATTCACACATCTTGCTCCTCCCACCATTCTTGGCATAAGGTTTCTCTGACGGGTTGCATATATATTATCAGGGCTGGGTACTGGCATGCTGTCGGGTACTCTTTTTCCCGGCCAAAATCTACAAGTCCACAATGCTTTCTACGCAGGAGGCAATTCTCAAATAGCTGTCACGGGCGCCCCATGTCTTCAAGGAAGTGCCGCTGCCAAGCTTCAGTCCTCCGCAGATCAATCGGCGGCAGCGGCTGCAGCTGCTGCCGCAGCCGCTGCTTTCGTTCAACAAAACCAGAAACAGCAGCAGCAACAACAGCAGCAGCAGTCATACTACTTTTCTTCAATGCCATCGAATTCGTCTGCATCCGTTGCCGTCAGTTTAGCCACTGCCAGCGCCGCTGCGAGCGGCAGTCCTCAACCGGGGACGGTCGTCACGGCCGTAACAAGTACTAACCAGCCACCGGCCGCTCCAACCGCCCAAGTCAAGTTCCAGAGTGTAACGTCACATGTGGAAGTTAGTCAGGTTAGTATTTTAGTAGTTTTTATATTAAAAAAAAAAGAAATAAATAGTTGTTTATCCCTCCAAAATGTAATTTTTTTAGTAATAGAAAAGGTACCCTCATAATTTTAACAGGTGATTAACAAAAATACTTTTTTAGGTATGTCCTCTATCTGTGAGGGAGGGTTGGTTGCCCCTACAACATTTAGGCCTCACTAGGTCAATTGTGCATCCTCCAGAAGCATATAGAACCTCTCAGTTTGTCAAAATTTTGCAGGCTAATAACATCACTAAAAGGTGTTTCTAGATGCCCCCCTATTTTGGGAACTGACCATTTGGTGGGTTTTTACCACCACGATGGTAAATATCCAGTTGGCTGTAAACCGCTATCAACTTGAAGTCCTTTTATAATGACTACAAAATTTTCCTTAAACATCCGTATGCTCTTTTACTTCTGTAACCATCACGTTTCTCACAAAAGTGGTATTGTAGGAGTGTGTGCCCTTCTTAGTGAAGATCCTCGAAAAAAATTGATGATGTCTTTGACTGTAGCAATCGTGTTTCGTACTTCAGGGATCTTATTTAGATAGTTAATGACAAGATTAAGTTTGTGACTTGCACAGTGAAAATAAACGCCTTTGGGCGTCATAATGGGCGTGTTTAGTGAAATATATTTTTCTAAAAGCTAGCACAAAATCTAATCTAAAAATATTCTTTTGAAATTTTTCTCTTTTCAAATTTTCCTACAAGAATTTTTTAAAATTAAAAAAAATCAAGTAAATTTGAAAAGCGTGCCACAATCATTTTTTTAAACATCATCATAATAAAAGCCTAAAGTCTGATTGGCTAATTTATAACCTTATGGACAATAGTCGATGTTTTTACCTTGTTGCCGCTTCTTATAAAGAATTATTGAAATTCCGGATAACCGACAATTTAAAGGTTAAGATCGTATAATTTTAACACAAAAACATATATTAAAACTAAAACAATAATTGTTTAAATATAGTTTTTATGAAACAACTTGACACTTACTATTTCAATAAAGTTTTTTCTTAATCGAAATGTTATTCAAAGCATAATCGCCATATCGTGAAATATTTTATCTAAGTGGTTTCATCTGTACGTCTAAATCCTAACATCGTTTTCGATTGCAAGATTATTTTGATTTATTTTAAAATAGTTATTTAATTTTTTTAAAAATGGCCAAAGTACAAACAGAATTAAAAGAAGAAACTTTAGACAACTTACCCAAAGTGGATTCTAACATTAATTATTAATAATTAATAATTTTTTTGTATAAATAATATAAAGTTTATTGGCTCTGAAATTCGCAACGTAAGTACACGTTCTAAGCTCTAAATCTTTCTAGAATTATTGTATTCAAAGAGATTTGTGTTGTAAGAAACATTTTTTTATTATACAATCTCATTACTCACTATTGTTGACTTTTGCTATTCTATTGTAGGTCTTCCAAGGAAATGCACTATCATATGTTCGGTTACCATTTGTAACATTAAAGCTAGAATTACACCAGAACACAAAAAGTTTATAGCGTTATTCAGTAACAAATGAACAAAAGGAAAAGATCATATCTTGTAAATTCACAGAATATTCTGCTTTCGAAGGTAATTTCAATTCCTGTCAATATTAAAACGCTCAAAATAAGGTATTTCTATTTTTTTAAGGTGGGTGCATAGTGTTGCTTTCTTTTTGTGGATTCTTAACACCATCGAAGTGAATAACTTTCCATCACATTAACATTGTGTTGTTAAAAAAGGCCAATGTTGTCAAAAATTTGAAGTTCTAATGATTTGAGGGTGTCGATTCTTTTTCTAATTAAAAACATTAAATGTGTGCTTTTTATAAATAATAAGAGTGAATAGATTTATATCGAGTGCAAAGCTTTTTTTTGTGGAATTTTCAAATTTTGAAATAAATAAGTTCAAATATTGGAAGTTTATTTTTGATGAAAAAGTACTAAATGATATTATGAAGCCGGCAAATATTTTTTGGATGTGTTATATATTTATAATGAATTCAAATAAAAATAAGTTTTGTTGTTTTCTTTATATTTATCAATTGTCTATTATATTACCGTTAATCGAGTCTTTTAAAAAGGTTTATTTATGGTAAGACATTGACAGTTTACTCTATAGGTATAGTCCAGGTGTTTACTTTTGTGAAGTTTGTATAGATTTCCCAAAACTATCAGAATTAAAAAAAAACTGATTTGCATATTTTAAAGGAATTGTTTTTTAAATACATCTATTAGCTTTTGTTAAAGACATAATAATAGAAACATTAGACTGGGCCAAAAAAATAAAACAATTTTTTTCTTAGCGGTAGGTTTTCTCACCTATGTACCTATTTATAAATTTATATCAAATTGGAAACGAAAACAATTCAATTTTATCTTTACTTACATTAAAATAAATACAAAAGCACAATAGTGATTTGTATTTTGCAACAGCCCTTAGCCCACTATAATTTTTGAATGCCTAGGTCTAGATTTTGAGGAACTTTCATAATCATTTTATCAGATTGACTTGTTTTTTTTTACTTCTCATAGGGACCAAGTACTTGACCAGATATTTTTAATGTAACGCAAAATTAAACAAATGTTTATTTTATCACACTTTTTAAAAGCAATTTCAATGTTTCCCACAATCGATTTGAGGTTAGAAATTTTGACATTTTTGTATCATGAGAAATGAAAACATAATTTTAATCCGATTTTAGAAAGAGGTAACTATCATAAATGTCATTATTAAAAAAGATAACGATCAACTATATATGTTACGATATCACAGATTCTTTAGTGACTGATAGAAATAGGTACTTCATTATGACGCGGTAAATGGCCCAAAAATAGTTTTTTAAGTAATTGATTTAAAAGTACTATAACTTTATTATTTATTATCTATTTAAAGGATTTATTGCATGAAAAAAAATCGTCTTTTTGTGCTTAAACAGTTAATATCATTAGATTCGTTTACAATTAACACGCCCATTGACTGACGCATTTATGAGGATTAACCAATAAAGCTTTAAAAAAATGTTCTATATCCAAGGCAATCGACAAGCATCCATCTGCTTTATTTCGATGAAACTCAAAAACTCTTCTCGTATTTCATTTCTTTTTTCATTGAAGAAACGTACTCCAATCGACAGTTGTTCTTTGCCTGAGATATCACAGCTCTCGTCAGCCAAAACACTGTATGTATATGCCTTTCTTAAATCCTCTAAAATAATTTACTACGAATGTCAATATTTTTACTAGTTGTAAAATGGAGTTTTCCCGTAAATAAATAAATTAGTTTTTTGGATGCCCTGTAAAATTTTCCTAATTGGAGTTACACACTTTGTGTATTGTCTATAGATTTGGACAGTGGACACTTTGGAACATCTACTATAGTTTTTCTGCCATTATTAAGACATGATTTGTTAATACATTCATATTTATTTTTGTTCCTCATAGGGTTTTTATCAATTTGTCTTCCTTAATCACCTGTTAAACTTATATGGATGTTATCTCTATAACCCCGTAAATTACCGTTTGTGTTGCAGATAAATACTTCCTTCTAAATGTTATCTAAATATTTTTACCCTATAGAATACAGCGATAAGCGATCGACCCAAAGCGAAACCAGTCTCGAAAAAGGAAGGTAAGAATCTGCGGAAGCAACAGCTAGCTCAACAGCAAAACCAACAAATGCAACTACAGCAGCAGCAGTCCACCTTGCAACAGACATTACCCCAACAGCAACAAACCGTCATTCAACAACACCAAACACAAACTCAAGTGCAGACTTTCCAACCCAATCTCTACGCTCAACAACCAAGTCAGATCTTCGGTCAACTACAGTTGCAGACTCCGCAACAGCTACAATTGCAGGCGCAGCAATTCCAGCAGCCGGACGCCAAGACAATTGCACAACAGGAGATTCTGAATGTTCAAGGTTTGGACTTGGCGTCCTTTAGCGATGATGACACGGTGATATTGAAGAATGACAATCACGAAAATCTGCTGACTGCCTCTATTTTGCAACAGTTTCACAATACGTCTATACCTGCTTTAAGAGCTACATTTGTTGGTTCACCCGTAAGTAAACTAGACTTTGGTTCATCTGTAAAAAATTATTTATGTTTTGTTTTAAATTTACAGCAAAAGACTCGCCTCGAACTTTACGATCACACTGAAGAGGGTAACAAAGTTACCAAACTGGAATTATCTGATTCAAATCTTCCTTCTGTTGAAGAAGTTGTCCAACAACTAGAATCGTTTAACACGACCGAAGTTAGCGAACAAAGTCTTTCTCAGCACAACCTTCAGGTATAATAAAATATTAAAATTGTCTTTTAACTTTTACTCGAAAGATGTATAACCTAACAGAGGAAGAATTAATAACTTTTCGATCATTTTGATGTTATTTTTTTTTTGTAGGTTCAACCTTATCCCAGCGCTCTCGACGAATCTATGATAGCATCTTTAGCGGCGCAACAAGACCTTCCTACCCAGACGGACCTATCGCGAGTAGAATATTTCGCCGTACCAACAAACGGTGCCCAAGTTCCTGTACATGCCTTGTATCCTTATGAACACTACCTCGGCGCAGGGCTACCTAAGGATCAACTCTTTCAAGCCGGCTTCCAAGCTGGTTATAGCCTTATGCAACAACAACTTGGTAATAATAACAAGTTAATTAACTTCAAATTCTTAAATATTATATATTTTTTTTATTTTTCAGCATGTCCAAATGCAAGTGGTACTGAAACTTTAACCACCACAAACATTGTACCAACATCCGTAGGTCCTGTGCCAGGAACATCAACTCAACAATATATAACGCCTCAACAACAACAACCTGTCTGCACTCCGGCCCAATCCCCCTGTAGTCACGTGGGCAGCGCTGCTGTTACTTTACAACAAACTCACCACTGCCAGATGCCTTGTAGTCAACACCAAACCCTTCAGCAAACCAATCAAGTGCAGGCAGCCACCCAAACTGCGCAAGCAGCTCAGGCCGGGGCTGCAGGAGATGCGAAAAAAGTAGTGAAGACCACTGGTGGCGATGGCATAAAGTTCAAGAAGGGCAGAGTATTGAGGCATCAGAATCAGGTCCAGAATTCTGGAACGTTCCCGCCTAGTCAGAATTACCAGATAGATCACAATTCTGCAATAACTCAGTATAGCACCAGCCAGCAACAGTGTCCCAATAACGTAGTCATACCACCTTGCATGGATGTTGATTCTGAAACCGAAAGCAACCACGATACTGCTTTAACATTAGCGTGCGCCGGAGGTCACGAAGAATTGGTAGAATTGCTCATAAGTCGCGGTGCCGACATCGAACACCGCGATAAGAAAGGATTTACGCCGTTAATACTTGCTGCAACCGCTGGACATGAAAAAGTTGTCGAGATCTTGTTGAATCACAATGCAGACATCGAGGCGCAATCTGAGAGAACAAAAGACACTCCTCTAAGTTTAGCTTGTTCCGGAGGACGCTATGAAGTTGTTGAATTGTTGCTAAACAGGAATGCTAATAAGGTAATTTTTAAAGAAAATACAATACCTTTCACATCGAATTAATTTTGCCAAAAATAGAGACTAGTTAAATTTATGTATTGACATATCTTGTTATAAAGCCAAGTGAGGACATATTTCCTATTAGACATATTTACTATTAAAACAATACTATTTATATTTTTTTTTCTTCTTCTTCTTCTTCTTATTCTTCTTTGTTTGTGACTAATAAATGATTTCATCACTTGTGTTCATATTGCTTCACACATTTCTACAAAATTTATTTTCTTTTCACAAATGTAAGTTATTGGGATGTCATTGTTTTGATTATTTTTTTTTGTGTCTCGTAATTCTGGAAATATTAAAAATAATACTTTTTGGTCATTAAAAAATGTTTATAAATATAATTGAAATGATAGGAATCCAGCACACCAAAACCATCGATTTTTATTTACAGGAGCATAGAAATGTGTCCGATTATACTCCTCTCAGCTTGGCCGCTTCTGGTGGTTATGTTAACATCATCAAATTGCTTCTCAGCCATGGGGCTGAGATTAATTCTCGTACCGGATCCAAATTGGGCATTTCTCCTCTTATGTTAGCCGCTATGAATGGTCATACGGCTGCTGTCAAACTTCTTCTAGATATGGGTAGCGATATCAACGCGCAAATAGAAACGAATAGGAATACAGCTTTAACGTTGGCCTGTTTTCAAGGAAGGCACGAGGTCGTTAGTCTACTACTTGATAGGAAGGCGAACGTCGAACATAGAGCAAAGGTAAGATGAATGAATAATGCAAAAATCATAGCCACATGGTGTAATATGTCTACAGTAGTATTTAATTTGGTCCTTTATAGTTCATAAAAATTATTAACTCAAAAAAAGAAATCATTTGGAGCGAGGTTTGGTGACCTAGAAGGTCATTTGATCGTACCGTAAGTGCTTATCATATGTTCTGGGAATGTTGTTCGCGGAAAATTGGTCACCAACCATTCATTGTGAACTAGGAATCAATCTCGAAATTAACATCTGGTAGAAACTGCATTGCAGGAGTAACCTGATTTTGAATTAAATATACTTATTTTTGTCCGTTAAGTTTACCATAAATGAAAAAAGGGCTTATGTGGTCTCCTAAAATACCAGACCAAACATTGAATTTTTGAGGGTTCTGTTTGCATGTCGGAATACTTAATTTTCCTAAAATCAATACCTCAGAGATGGAGTACGTTTGTGTTGTGCTATGAAAAAGTTGCCTCCAAAGAACCAGTTTAAAATTTGTATTTTTCCTATTTAGTGTAAACCAAGAGCAGCATTATAAAAATAAAATTTATGAACACCTACAGTATTTTAAAATATGGCTTATCTGCAGCAACTAGGTTAACGTGCGAGTGCCAAACACTAAATGAACTTAAGAAATAATGTATATGTTCACTAATTCGAATATGATGTGATCGGCGTACTTGCACGGTATGGCTTGTCTACTTTTTCCCAGCCTATCGAGAGGAGTGAATGTGTTATTAAATGGGACTCCATCCTTTGTTTAAAATATATTTATTATATTCGAAAATAAAATAAAAAGACCAAAATGGTACTCTTCACAAATAAAAGAAACTCTATTGAACTAAACGCCCGTACTTTGCAGAAATGAGAAAACGGTAAACAAATCATTTATGTATCTTATGATTGAGGCTTATGCCCTAGAAGCGTCATATGGTTTCATAAAACGTATGTTAATAAATGGTGTAATTTTCTTTGACACAAAAATCACAACTTTTAAGACACGAAGTTTACAATGTACACTGTATCTTTTCTGCAATATATTTATAGTTTCAAAAAACTATTGAAATTGTTAATTTTACTGTAGTCTGTGATAGGAATAATACACCTTTAATTCTTTTATTAGTTTAGTTTTTTAATAATATATGGTTTTGTTATTTGTTTTAGACTGGACTCACTCCTCTCATGGAAGCCGCAAGTGGCGGTTACGTAGATGTGGGTAGAGTCCTTTTAGATAAAGGAGCTGACGTGAACGCTACTCCAGTGCCCTCATCGCGTGATACTGCCCTCACGATTGCTGCAGACAAAGGACATGTTCGATTTGTGGAGCTGCTGTTATGCCGAGGAGCCCAAGTTGAGGTTAAGAATAAGAAAGGTAACTCCCCACTGTGGCTGGCCGCTAATGGAGGACATCTACCTGTCGTAGAGCTCCTTTACAATGTCAAGGCTGATATAGATTCTCAAGATAATCGTAAAGTATCATGCCTGATGGCTGCTTTTCGAAAGGGTCATGTAAAAGTTGTGAAATGGATGGTACATCATGTTACGCAATTTCCTAGTGATCAAGAAATGTTGAGGTATAATGCTACTGTGAGTGATAAGGAGCTTCTAGAGAAATGTCAAGAGTGTGTGAAGATTATACGTGCCGCTAAGGAGACGCAAGCAGCCAAAGCCAATAAAAACGCGTCTATTCTATTAGAAGAACTAGAGTCAGAAAAGACTCGAGAAGAATCTAAGCGTCTAGCGGCAGCCCGTAGGAGAGAACGCAAAAAGAAGAAGAAATTAGAAAAGAAAGAGGAGAGGAGAAAGCTCTTAGAAGAAAATAAAAAGAACGAGAATTATGATGAAAAGGAAGATCAGAAAGAGAAGAGTATCGAGGAAGAGAAAACGGAAGAGGAAGAAAATGTCCCAGAAGTAAATCCCGCAATTCGTAACGGCGATTCGAATGATAAGGAAGAAGGTGACAGCGGTATAGATGCCAACAGCCAAGGAAGCTGCTCTAGTGCCGATCTCAAATCGAAAGATAAGAGAAAGGAAAAGAAGAAGAAAAAAATCAGCAACCTGAAAAATGAGTCTCATAACCGCTCAAAAGCAAGTTCAAGCAAAACTTCTGAACAAGAATCGCCTGAAAAGATCGACAAAAGCCAGGACGGCAAAGCCAAACAGAGCTTATCTGTCAGAAAAGCCATCACTTTTAATCACATCAAATCTCCAGCTGATAGAGACGATTTTGAAGCTACTGGTAATGAAGTCTACGTTTCCACTAAGAAGATAAAATCGTTTTATGAAGAACCTCCTATTCAATCTACTACGAAGAGTTCAACCAGTCCTAAACAATCTAGCAAGAGAGAAGAGGGCTGGAAGGAAGTAATTAGAAAATCATCCGTTCAAACCTTAACAGCTACGGAATCGGGGGTGAAAAAGGTTTCTGTTCCACTAAACGCAATTTCTAGGGTCATCGGTAGAGGTGGTAGTAATATTAACGCCATTAGGGGTGCAACAGGAGCTCACATAGAAGTTGAGAAGCAGAGCAAGGGACAAGGAGAAAGAATTATTACCATTAAGTATGTATTAATTTTTACAAGTTGTACCAGGAATATTTCCAGTATAATTATTATTTTTCTTCCAATTCTTACTTCATGAAAATCTTTTTTTGCTTTTCTCTTATGTTACAATTCTTGAATTTTTTTAACATTCTTATTGTTGAGACTTGAAAAAACTTCAAACCTCAATGATCGTGGGTCTGAATTTATTTTTTGTAGTGCTTGGTTATGAATTATCGGTACTAATGAATAATTTTTTAGGGGATCACCTGAAGCCACAAAACAAGCTCATAACCTTATAGCTACCTTAATTAAAGATCCAGATGTTGACATTTTGTCCATGTTGCCTAAGACAAACAAAATTGCTAACCCTACGACCACACTTTGGGACAAAACTCAAATAGGCGTAAGTGAAACATTATGATTTTTTTTTATCTGGGAAACTAATTTAAAAAAAAAATTTTAGACAAAGAAAAATGCAGGAAAAATAGTTGCTGTAAGTTCTAGTTCAACTGTAGTTCACCCACCAAAGGTAACTCAATCGATTACCACTTCTGCTGTTTCAACCAGTAGATTTTCATTGACAACTGCAGCAAAGCCTCGAAGTACCATTGCCTATACTTCCCTAGTACGCACCACAGCTCCAAGACTGGTAGCTCAAGCGGAAAAGAATGCTGCGGCGCAAACGCAAAACCAGAATTTGCGGACTGCCATTTCTCATCCTTCATCAAATGTTAGTAGGCAACCGTTAACCTCTAAGATTATAACATCGTCGGTGAATCAAACTTTTGCTGCGAAACTGACAGAAACTTCCTCGGCCGGTCAATTGTTGATCAACACCAACCACAGTATGACCACCAGCAAGCCAAGAGTACTAACTGTACCCCAACCTACCGCTGGGCCAGTGTCGCCCCAATTGCCGCCTTCAAGTTCCAGCAACACTCAGTCATCACCAAATAGGAACGTCAGACCTCCACCAACAGCTTCAGCCCCTCCTAACATGCAACATTTTCAGAGTCCTGGCAAGATGACGCCGATGTTTGGCAACAACGCCCAGAATAACAACACTGCCCCTAGTATCGAACCAATAGCTAATAGTATGAGAAGTTCAACGCCCAATGGAGCTCTACTTCTAAATGTAAGTTATATTTTATAGATTGACAGTGCCTAGATAGCACAAACTGGTGTTTAAGACGCATTGAATAAGACATATCAGACGTATTTAATATGTCTCTTGTTTCCTGAGAGATGGATTTAAGATATCTTAGAATATATCTGATTTTACAAAAGGCAAAATATAGTTTAAAAAAGAAGAACCAACAAATGACTACTTTTATATGTTTTAACAGTGTTTTCTAATTTTCGTTTCATATCTTATTAAAATAAAAACGTGAAAAAATGACCAAAAATCCAAAGTTTGGAAGTATTTTACAAATGGTTTGCCTAAAAAAACTAAAATACAAATGCAAATATTGTTCTCGAAGTGTTTTTGAAAAATTACCTATTTGTCTTCTATGTTCAAAGTCAACTACTTTTCCGAACATGTCTATCAGACTACTCCAAAAATTATTTTTCATGAAAAGTCCCATCACTACTTAAAATTATAAGATGGTTTATATTTTCATAATATCCAACAATACTTTTACAGAATTCTGTGGCACCACCCCCATTGGTTCAACCTGAAGAAACGCCCAACATCCAAGCGCCCTCTGAATATTCTCTGTTTTATGCCGGAGGTGATCATTGGAACAGAAGAGAACAGGAATCTCAAAAACCTGTTAACTTTGCCGCTGTTACGGGTGGCGGTAATACCCAGTCAACCAATCAACACAAATTTATCGATCAGGAACCTCCTCCACAGGTAGACGCCTCCAAAGCACCGGGTTACAGAGGAGCGACTGTTTGCAGTCCCGTCTCCTCGAAGACGAGCAGCAATAGTACGACTCCTCCTAATATTTCTTCTAACAACTCTTTTCAAAATGTAAGTGTACTGTTTCTAATTTATACTAAAACATTTTTTTAATTACATTTAGAGCTGATTTTTTCACCGTTGAGTAAAGTTACATTGTAAGAATACTTGTCAGATTAGCAAACTACAACCTATAGCCTAATCAACAATTAGTTATTTTCAACTTTACTCAGAGGTAAAAAGACTGGACCTTACCTAGAAACTCTTGTTTTAAAGGTATTTGGTTATCGTGAATCTTAAAAAAGCTGTGGATCAATTAAATGCTATAACTCAGTTATTACAAAAATATTACTCAAATTATTTTGGAAAAAATATTTTTAGAAACTTTGAAGAAAGTTAAGCATATTCGTAATGGGACATGTTCAAAAATTTGAGATTTTTTTTTTAAATAGGCTAAATTGCAATTTATTTATTTATTTTCGAGTTATTTATCCTTAAATAAATCAAACTATTCATGGTGACATGTGATCCTAAAATTTTAAAATATTTTCCTTTTTTACCAACTGATTATAATAACTGGTGATAGTGCCTAATTATTACATTATAATTTCCAAAACTGCATTATTCAAATTGTGTTGAAAGAACACTTCATAAATTAAAATAGGTATTGTATTAGTTATTTTATTGGAACTACAAGGAAAACATTTCCAACACCACAATTAATTGCTGATAAATACAAAATCACTATCAAGTTCCTTGTTAAAGCAGGTCAGAAATATAAGTAACCTTATTTTTAATATTGCTTTAGACCTACCAAGAACAGAATAAACCCGGTCCTAATCCATTAGCACCAATCGGTAGTAATGTTACTCACAATAGACCACCTCCACCTGTGTCGCAAAATAATCCCGATATTTTCGGAGAGTTGTTCAAACATGGCGGTAACAACATTCCAAATATGCTTAATCTATCAAACGATGGTCATTTGTTGCAGTCTAGCTTCAATGCTATGCCGAATTTGAATTATTCACAGCCACAACAGGTGAGTCACAAGATAAATATCAATTTATTTTTAATATATATGAACGATGATTTTTGTACTAAATTTGGTGAAAAATTAAATACGGATTTTTAAAATATTTTGAGTGTTGGTCATTTTGAATAGGGGTTTGATAAAATAAAGGCAAATGTTAAAGGTTTAAACTCTTTTACAAGTCAATGCTATACACAGAAATATTCATAAATATAAATTTGTATATTAATAAGAAGCATATAAAAAAATAAACAATATGGTAAAGATGAGACTCTTAATTATATCTGCATGTGGGACAAAATAAGGAGAGGTGAATTGGCTGCCTGCTTCTGTGATTGGAAAGATGGATACATATCTACCACAATGGGCTGGCACACACTGTTCTACCTCTGTCTAGTCTAATCAAGTACATTGCTTATTCTATACCATTAGTACTACAAAATCGTTAATTGCTTTTATTTCACAATTTTAACATTATCACCTTCAATATACTTCCCACCATGATCTTTATACTGCTCCATGTGAATTTTCCATTGATCATAGTACTGTTGTTAATCATTTTTTTGAAAGCCTGTTCATGGTCTCTGCTCAAGTCTGGTTTCTTTCAGTGATGATTTAACCTTGGGTAATAAAAAACTTAACAAGAGGTGAAATCCTGTGATTAGGGTGGATGTTCTAATACAGGGATCTAAATACTTCAAAGACAGTATGGTGTGGCCTGTACGTTGTCCTGGTGAAGAAACCATTACTTTGTTAAAAGCTGCCTGCACATTCAGCAACATCCAAACACTTAACAGGTGGTTAGAAATAACCATCTGAAAAGATCAACACACTGATCTTTCCAATGTTTGTTTTTGAGCTGCAAGATCGTCCTGGTCGCATTTGGTCTGTGATCACTCCTCGTCCCTTATTGATCACTTAATAAAAACTCCTCATTTCCTTCTTTTAAAAGTACACTGGCGGATTTTTTAAGTTTCACAAGGAATTTTACATTGCTCTCCTTAAACACATGAAACTATTTCCGGCGGAGTACAGATTCAATACAGACTTCAAATTAAGGCTACATCTAAATTAAGTGAAGAGGAGCACAGGCTTTACGATGATTAGCAACAGATAGAGATATCACTAGTCACGCTCGTGTTCCGTTTGGCCTTGATGCTCTCAGTGTTTGTCTGCAGAACGTTTTTTTGTTTAAACCACACCTTACTACTTTCGATTAAATTTTTATTTTTTGTATTGTAATAAAAAAATATGATGTGTCCAACACATGACTTTCCTATCTAGTTATTACGGGCTTTTTTCGGTTATTTTGTACAACCTATTGTAGCACCTCTATAAATATTTAGAGGTTAACTTAATATATACATTTTCCACATACATCTAACTCTAAAATTATGAAAAATTTAAATTTTATAATTTTCCTCCAATTTTTCCATTATGGTCCATTTTAGAGAAATCATGTAAAAGAAACAAAAATTATAGAGATCGATATGGCAAACATCTTTTAATTCAACAATTTTCTTAAAAATCATAATTTTTTACATTTTGTAAAATTTCTCGAATACGGACCATTTTAGAAAAATTTTGAATAGAACAAAAATTATAGAAAATAATATTAGAAGTAACTTTTATTTAAAAAATGTTCTTCTCCAAACGTAAATAACAGATATATTCCATAAAATATAAAAACGGCCTCCCATAAAGTACCCCCAGATGTTTCGCCTTCGTACAAAATCTAATCATTTCACCTTAGGCCGAAATAAAACTTAAGTTTAAAATTTATGTTTTTTCCTTTATCCGGTTTTGAGTTTTCTTTAAAATTCGAAATTTACACATTTTCTCAAATATTTCGAATACGGTCCATTTTAGGGAAATTATGTATGGGATGAAAATTATAGATAATTATATTACAAACAACTTTTATTTGAACAATTTTTATAAAAAAATAATTTTTTTACATTTTGTCAAATTCCTCGAATACGGACCATTTTAGGAAAATTTTGTATAAAGCAAAAATTATAGATAATAATATTGTAATTAACTTTTATTTGAAGAATTTTCTTCTCCAAACGTAAATAACGGATATATTCTATAAAATATAACAATGACCACCAATAAAGTATCCCTCCAAATGTTCCGACTCTGCCCAACATCTAATCAGTTCACCGCAGGCTGGAATTAAGCTTAAGTTTAAAATTTGGTGTTTTTCTTTGAATCGGTTCATGAGTTATAGTGGATACAGACACACACACACACAGACAGACACACACACAGACAGAAACACACACACCATCCCGAAAATAGTCAAAACGGATTCAGGGGACCGCAAAACGTAAAAATTCGTCGAAAACTGGAGGTCGAAAAAATCATGATTCCTATACTTTCCTTATATCTGTATACACATAGAAAAGTAAAAAGATTTAATATCTGAATTATTGTAGCATCAACAGCAGACAGCTAGCATGTCCCGCTTAAACCCAAAAGCGCCGGAATATTCAAGTTACAACATGCAACAGAACAAGCCATCGCCGCACATGTATAACGGATACCAGAACAATATGTACATGCCCAAGCAGCAGCAACAACAGCAGCAGCAACAACAACAGCAGCAGCAACAACAACAACAACAGGGTGTAGACAACTACCATCGCACGCCTGGTGTGGGGATGAACTCAGCGGCGCAAAATCGCAATTTGTGGATGCAAATGCAGCCACCTTTTACACCGCAACAGAGCGAGCAACTCATTAGCGGTATAGCGGGAATGACGTTGCACAGCATTGCCAAGTTTACTGCTGCCGGTAATGAGGTTATGGAGAATGGCGCTGAGCTCGGTAAGCATAAAATCATTTTCTGACATATTTAAACAGTTGTTTTTAATTTTTCTTTTGCATTTTATGTAAGCAATTCAGCAGAATCCCTAAATCAAGTAATTCTTTTCAGCTATTGTGAACAACTCTCCCAACATGTCGCCGAACATGCCTCCAGTGACGCACAACTACCACCCCGATAATATGTACGGGATGGAGGACAGAAAACCACCGCAACCGATAGGAACCGGAAGAAAGGCATATGCTAATCAAATAGAAAACTGGAGATCCAATGACAAAAGCGATAAATGGGCGTTGGGCGGCAACGCTGAATATTCTCTAAGAAATCCACAGATGTACGCGGACGATTTGCCACCTATAGATTATTCAGTGAGTTTATAATTCATAATAGTTTTTATTAAATTTTGATTTATGTAAATGTATGTTTATAATTTATTTTCAATTCGTTCAAAATTCAAAACTTGTCCGAGCATGAAATTGTTCATTTGAAATACGTATAAAATTAACGGTTTTTATTATAGCGTCAAATGCCCACATTGGATACTACTCACAACTTCATGAACGGCCCACAATATTTTAACCAGCCACCAATGAATGCGGTTCGTCATGATTTCATGCAAGACATCTCAAAGTTGGACCTTTCGTCTTGGGAGAACACTCCAAGACCGATATCCGAGCTTCAAGATAAACAGCACGTAAGTCGTCTTGAAAAATATTGAAAATATTTATAACATATTCACATACAAAGTAATAATTTATATTGAAGAATAAATGTTATCTGGAAATTAACAGAAAATACAATACTTCAGATATTTACCAATAAAAATGCTTTTATCCCAAAGATAATTTATTCAGAGATGTTACCAGTAAATATTTTATGTAACATTTAAAATCAAGTGCATGTGCCTCAATTCATGTCATAATTTAAAATATCTTCGTTTTTGCAAATATACTCTATATTGTATACATATCGTTTACATTAAATGTTAAAGTATCTACATCTAAAACACGTCACATCATTTTCGCTGTCTACATACAAACTTTTTGAAATCAGATTCTATTATTACAAACTTGGATCGTGTTCATCCCGATATTTTTCAACTTGAGATATATTTTAAAGGGTGATTATCTGTTTAATGCGATATGATTCATTATAAACTATGAAAGGGTAGCAAAACCAATTTTTACCTGATTTTTATCAGTATTAATATTAGTAAAGATAGATGATGGAGAAAGTTAATATTTATAAACGAGTTTGGCTAATTAGTTTCTGAAAAAGCCGTATATATGTTAAATATTATCTCTCATATTTTAAAAAAAAGTCACTTAAAAAAAATACTTTTTACATTTTGTCTACAAATATCAGAGCAATTGTTTACTCTCGTACTTCTTAAATAAGTTGCACAACTGAACATTGGTTGTCCAGTTTATAGCGATAATCCAAAACAGGATTAACATTCCAGGTTCTCTTTCTCTTACTCTCATGATATCTCTTACTTTGGTTTAATTTTTACAACTAGCTTAAACAGTGCCTATAGTTGTGGAAATATCTCAAGTTAAAAATCAATATCCCTTACTCTAAATCATATTTGGACAACGCTCCCCCGGGCCGACCTCTCCACCAGCTTCAATCCGGCCCGCGAGAGAATAATGCGCCAAAAAATTACAGAGTTAACACACATAGTTTATTTGTAATTGTGTTAAGGATACGCAGTGGAACGCCACTGTATTATTCAACTCATAGTGACTAAAATCGATAAATAATATTAAGCGTTTTCAGTGGAACGCCACAGATCGTGTCAGAAATAGTTTTTATAAAGAAACAAACAGATAAACATTGAGGCCGCCCGATGTGTTTGAAGCTCTTGCGTACGATCGAGATTATTCTAGTTGCTTATTGGAGGTAATACATACCGCAGCGTGCGTCACCTCATTACTTCTTAACAACCGATAAAGTTCGCATCGCATATTCACGTACGATTGAAAGTACGATGCGGGAAATATTCAAGCTAAAACATTGAAAAAAGCGGAAAGTGGACACAGAATGTCGTCAATTCCAAGACAATGGACTCATGAATACTTTTTTTTATCTTGCACAGTGGTAAACCTGTGTTTGTTGTGCAATGAAACAATTTCTGTTTTAAAAGAATACAATATGAAGCGGCATTACTCCAGCAAGCATTTTGTTCAATTTAGTTCACTCATGGGCCAGAGGAACGTCTAAATGCTGACCAAATGGAAAAACGATGTTGCCAGATTTTCGACGTAGAAATGTCATCTGTCAACGCACCTTTCAGTAATTAGGCGCGCATTTTTAAATATCCTATGATCTTGTGTGTTAATCATTTTATTTATTTCAATTAGTATTCTTAAATTGGACATTTGTTAGTTGTACTTTTGAATTAAATGTGTTATATTTTTGATCATCAACACGAGTTTGTTTTCTGACAAAATTATTAATATCCAGCCCAGTTTTAACGCTCTAGAGTAAGTAGTCAGTCACCTCTTTTTTTAATATTATGCATGGGGTACCGTCTAGTGATACATACTACATGTACAATTTCCAAGGTTTTAATTGTCTATCCATGTGCAAACTTTTTAAATGATATTGCCTCCCCATACCATTAGATTAATTTATGGTCTCCCTCGAACAACACTTGTTAACTATCTTATGAGAAGGAAAATACAATCAAATTACGACTAAATATTTTTTTAAAAAATAGTACCCTTTTTTTAGATCATGTTGAGACTTAAAATATTTATTTAGTCAAAATGGATACACTATGGGGGCGATTTTCAGAAAACTAAGATGGCGCATTCACTGAAAAACTCCCACCACCATTAGTATAAAAATTACATAAAGTAGAATTATAATTTCAAAAAAGTATTAGTATAATAAAAATTACTTTATAGAAATACTTCTTCGTAGAGAATATTTGCTTTTCTTTTTTTTTTTTATTTACTGGTCCATTATTTGATTAAACTTTTTAAATTTTTAATTATGCACTTGTGTTCTTTTATCTGGCGTGTAATGTAAGGTACTAACATTGATTTGTGTGACATGTTTTTCTTTATTATTTTGGATGAATTTTTTAATGAATATTTCTGGGAAATATTATTTATTAATTCATCAACTTCCACTTTGTTGGTTTCATTTTAATTCCTGTTAAATAATCATTTTTATTAAGAACGCTCACAGAATGTATATGTTTACAAATATTGGTATTAATTGAAAAATCAATGCAAGAACACTGAACACATATACTACAAAAGTTACAAACCAACACACAACAAACACCTTTAAATTTAGTGACAATATGAGCTAAATTATTTTTCCTGTCGGAAACTTCCATACTTTTATTGTCTATTTTTTAACTTCACATGAATCAATACATGAAGCCCTATGCCTACTGATTATTTGCATTAAGTGGTCATTATTTTTTCCTTTGTTAATTTTATAATTCGATCTATACCTTTATCTCATAAATATTTTAATGAATTGCTTTAACCAAACATTATTTTCTTTACTTCTAAATAAATATATTTTACTACTTTGTGCATGCTTTCTAAATGCATGTGAGTATTAATTTCTGAACCTTTACGGTAACAATATGCCCAATATTTTCAAAATACTTCCTTTCCAAGTAGTCATACTGTAATACATATTTTTAGTATCTCCGTCACTAATTAATATATATTAAAGATCTGCATATCTTTTTCAAGTATTTTGTCACTTAAAATTTAAACAAGTTTTAAGGTGTTTTAATGTTTTATAGACCCATTGCCTTTTATCTGAACTTTTTATTATTGTCAAATTCTGCTGCCATGCTCCATCAATATGCAATGAGCAATATAGTTATTACCTAAACCCATAGTTTTAATCATTGCATTGAAATAGCATTGGTTACGTCAGACATGACATCAGGCAAGTTCATTTGTTCAATACCTTTTTTAACACAAGAGAAAAACCTCATAAATATAGGTATTCTCTATTAGAAAATAAAAACACCACTGGATACCCTGCTCCATATTCATCTAATACTAAAATAGTTGTTAATTAAAAGTCATAAGCAAGCGTTAAAACAATTTAAATATTTCCATCTGTGTTGCATTTAGAAATAAATACCAAGCAAAATTCATTATTTACATTCACTTTACTTCTAAATTAAATTCAAAACATGCAAAACTAATTACCGATTTAGGGAAACAGCAACAAATGTTCCATTCACAAAGATCAAATCTAGACAGTGTTGTTAAAGCTAGTTTTATAATTAGTTCCGAAATAATGAAAACATTGAAGTAATTTTCTGAAGGTCAGTTTGTTAAAGAGTGCCTAGTAGACGATGCAGAACTTTTATGTCCAGAAAAATAGAAAGAGTTTGAGAAAGTGAGCTTATCGCGACGTACTGTTCGTCGTATAGATATGATGCCTATTGACATTGATACATTAGCCCAGTTAGCTATTTTTATACGAGGTGTTGATGAAGAAGTTGTAGTGACAGAGGAATTACTGGCTTTACGGCCGCTATAAGTGACCACTACTGGAAAATATATTTTTGCCGAGGTGCAAAGTACTTTTGAGCAATATGGTTTGCAGAGGTGTAAATTAGTTGGAGTGTGCACGGATAGTGCACCTTCAATGATCGGTTCACGAAAAGGTTTTATCGGAATTCTGAAGGAAAAAGCAACTGCTATGAATGTGCAAGAATTGCTGCGTTTGAAAATTACCTCGTTTTGCTCTTTTTACTCGAAGCCGTTCTTTTATTACATCTGTGGCTTCTCGATGGGATCTACTCCGTGGTCTTTTAATGCAGAGCTGATAAGTCGAGTATGATCTATTTACTCCGAATTAAATTTTAGAGCTTTCGGAGTAAATGTAATTTCTGTGACAATTGACAAAGTAAATGTACTTTTTTGAGATGTCTGACGTCGTTCTGTGTCTCTTGTGTTGCAGTTTATTCTTTTTCATGTGTTTGGTTATTAAAAAAAAAGATTTATAAAAAATGTCAGACAGAAATGAGAACATGGTTTATTTTCTAGTGAAAGCAAAAAGCGAAAAATACCACAGCTAAAAATTAACTTAGCAATTTGCAACAAAAACCACGAGACGAGAGATCAAATTTGATTTAAGTTTGTTATTTTGATGAAAACCAAAAACGGAAAACCCAAACAAATCCATAGCCGTTCTTTTGTTCCACATAAGCTCGATTTGCTCTATGATCACGTGACTAAAAAATCTACTAGCTCTACTCCGCTCCTGGAGGTACTTTTCAAACGTAGCAAAAGTGATTTAATAATTCTGCATTTCATTATTCACCAACAAAACTTGTGCTCTAAGTCAATTTGATTGAAGAATTTTATGGATGTGTAAATACCATTAATTTCATTAGATTCAGGGGCTTAACCTTAACCATCGCCACAATGATGTGACAACATATTTATGCGAAGTAAGGTGACTAAGCAAAGGTAAAATGCTAAAAAGGTTTTAGGACCTTAGAAAAGAAATAGTTGATTTTATGGAAATGAAAGAGAAAACATTGCCCCAAATTTGTGATCCAACTTGGCTTTGTGACTTGGCATTATTGGTAGACATTACGGGACACTTAAACGACCTGAACTTGAAGCTTCAAAAACAAGGTCAATTCGTAAATCAGCTGTACAGTCATCTTATTGCTTTTCAAAACAAAATTCGCTGGTGGGAAACACACATGAGAAGTAAAAACTGTTTTAATTTTTTAACATTATCCGGTCACGAAAACATTGAATATATGGTCTTTATGCTGAAGAATTGAAACTACTGTTCGAGCAATTTACTAATCGATTTTAAGAATATGGGTATCACTCAATATTTTTGCAAATCCTTGTAAGTGTAATGTGGAAGATGCTCCTCTTTACCTACAAATGAAGTTGATCCATAAGACTCATATTTGAAGTCTAAATTTGATGATGTAGAACTAAGCGAATTTTATAGAACATACCTTTCCAAAGAAAAGTATTCACAGCTGAGAGTTTTCGGACAAAAAATAATTGCACATTTGGAAGCACATATAAATGTGAGCAGCTTTTTTCACTCATGAAAATTAATAAAATAAGCATCGTGCTCGGCTGACATATGTTAATTTAGAAAACACTTTGCGCGTATGTATTAGTAATATTGACCCCCAATATTGATCATCATGTTTCTCAGCTTCAAACTCAAGTCTCTCATTAATTAACTTCCTTTTTATATGCTTGATTAAGCATAATCATTATGCTATTATAATTAATAAATAAAAAATGTGTGAATTTTTGTCGCTTTTTTATTCACTACTACCTACTTGCCTACGGACCGCGACTTAATAAAGTCCGGAAATTACGTTCTCGGCTAAGCAAAGGTTCCCATTTCTGCTTTAAATTATTGAACTGAACGAACCAAAAAAGCATTTTTAAAGAACACACCAAAGTTTACAAAAGAACGTGCTCTGCACTTATTATAAAGTAAAAGAATTAGTTAATTTTGAATAATAATCAAAAAACATTTTTTCTTATGCAAGAAAGGGACAGGCCCGGAGTTGTACCTTTCTTGAACCAAACAGTTATGGCGGCAAGTCCAAAAAGTTTAATATTTTTGCCATTTATTATCGCAGCTGCCTGTTTCTTGCACCATAGAATAAATAACTCATCAACATGAAATAAAATTTTATTCCAATGTTTTTTTTTTTTTTCAGGGATGGACCAACAAGTGGAATCAGTAATAACCATACACGAAACACATGAACTATAAGCGTATTTTAATTAAGTCCAAAAAACGTGCGAAATTTAGCTTCACTCTTTGTGATTTTTGGAATACCAAGTTTTTGCAGTAGAGTCTAGATCTAGTTTTTTTTTCTTTACTTATTCTTTTTTTTTGTTATTGGTATATTATAACGATGGTATTTGGCCCTTTATACAGGTCAAAGTCATTCTGACAAGAAGTGTTTTTAAACAGTCTTCAATGCATTCGGTGTATATAAGAAGAATAATTAACAGAAGACCCAGTTACATTGTAGTTATTTGCATGTTGATTTTTCTTTTATAATCGCTTATAGTTTGGATACTATTTTATCGAATTTGTAGCAGGAGGAGTTTTTCAAAAAAAATATATATGGATAAAGCTGTGGGGTAGCGACTAAAAGTCTTTCCACCCCTCAGCCGGGAAACATAGACATTAATTATTAAAAATTATACTAAATAATATGTAAAATGTAGTAGTTGCGCAAATTAAAAAAAAATGGTTATGAGGGATTGGCGATTAAGGGACAACTATATACTTGTGATTCTTTGTTCTCTTATCGAATATATATTTTCTTTCCTACGTGGTTAAAAGTACGGTGCTTGTATGCCACTCATAAAATGTTGCGCCTGGTACGACAAGCACTACGCTCTGCGAGTGTGAGGGGACTCGAATTGCTCTGTCCCCTCTCGCCCAAATGGTAGGACTATTAATTATACGGAATATTATGTAATATTTGCTTGTACATGAAGACTTAAATATATCTTTATGCACTGTATTTTTATTTGTCTTATTTAATTTCCCAATCCAAATTTGTTTTTTTTTTTTAAATTTATATTATAAATAGGGTTACCACCTTTTTGAAATGTGAATAAAGGACTACAGAAAAGTCGCCGAGCTTGTAACAAAAAAATCCTCCTCGACATTCTACCGAGCTTCTAGAAAAAAGGTCGTAAAAAATATTAAGCTTTAAAAAATCACAGACATTTTGCTTCAAAAAAAGGACAGGTGGCAACCCTACTTGCCCATATTAAGGTTTTAACTTTCTAAAACTTTTGCACATGTTAAAATCAATTTAACAAGTAGGTAGGTAGGCACGCCTTAGTCTGACTTACTTAATTTGATTAGTTTGAATATAGTTGAGTCTACATTACCTTCAGTCATTGTATGTAAAAATAAAAAAAAATTAGTAATTCAACTATTCAACTATTTGCTTTTGGACTGATCATGTTCAGTACTTAACAAACAAAATAAGAAAACTTGTATATAAATTTTATTTAATTCTTAACGTTCTAAATAAAAAGTTATTACACTTGATATATATTGCTCTCATTGAATCCTTAATTAGATATGTCATAATTGTAAGGGGTGGCTCATATGACAATGCCCTACATCCTTTAAGTATCATTCAAAATTATATCTTAAATATAATAAATCATAAAAGTCGTTTGTTTTCAACAACCCTCTTATACAACGAATCCACTCCAAACGTAAGATCACTATACTTTCACTCTTACCTGTACTATTTTAAACTGAAAAATAAAATTTTTGTAAACCACTCTTATATGACCCGAAAACAAAAGAGAAGAATGCTAAATGTACCATTCTTTAAATATCATGGAAATAAAAGATTCTTTTCTTCAATTGGGCCAAAAGTGAAAATATCAGACAAATAAAAAACAAAAACCTTTTTTCTAAAGCGATCAGAAAATTTATATTTGATGCACCTGGTGGAACTCAGTTTCCTTTTCTTGCGTCTATGTTTAAAAGGAATCTCACAACTACTTTCCTCAAAATGAATAGGGCATGGATGACATTTACAGTTTAAAATTTTTAAAATAACAGAAATCCCATTTTTCTCTTTCACAGCGTGTGAAGGTGTATTCGAAATAATAATTTGGTTTAACATGATAAAGTAGGGAAACAAAAAGAGTTTTTATAAAGTAAAAAATTACCAGTGGCGTTACAATTAAAGGATTAAGGATCCTTATTCAGATAAATATTTCTTTTATATCTTAAATTCTAGAAATTAATTATTATGCTTTGAATGAGAGTGTTCCCAACTGCATTAGTTTTTGTAATGATGAATATAATTAAAAAAAAAAAAATAGAGAATTTGTTGAAGCTGGTTCGAAAATTAGATTTATAAGAATGATTAGGGTTGCCAGATGAAAGATACTACATCCATGATAAGTTTATTAAAAAAAAACCGGACAAAATCCGAACATTATAAAATTTCTTCTAAAAAAAAATAAAGGTGATATTTTTCACCTTATTTAGTTAATGACATATGCTTTTACTAATTTCATTTTACTAATAAAAAAAAAGAAAAAATAATTTTCATTTCATCATGCCGCCATATTCGTTGCCTTTGGCCCCTTTACACTACACATTTTATCGACGATTTTTTAATGACAGCATTTTTCTAATCTAGTTTATTTATAGACAACTACTTTAAAACCCGAACATGTCCGGGCAAATCCGGACGTCTGGTAACCCTAAGAATGTTGAACAATCTATTTAATATCTTTAATTCTAGAAATTTACTCCAGCTTTAAAAAGTATGAGAGTATCGAAATGTTCTTAAATTACATGTTTAAGTATATTACTGCCTTAAATACACACGTACGTGCGGAATTTTACTTTTAAATACTGACTGATATACTGGATTTTTTAGGTTTAATAGCTATTTGTGTATTAAGAGCGGCAAGTGCTACTTTGCCGTTTAAGATAAAAAGTAGCCGGGCGACGCGCAGCGGAGTGCGGCATTTTATCGTAAGCGGCAAATAGCTTTCCGCTCGAATTTCACACAAGATCACACGATTTTAAAAGTATATAGTTTTATTTTGCCGAATTCAAATCTTACTACGTTAATTTGACAGACACGGCTAACTTGATTAGCAAACGAAAAGTATCTTATGTGTATATTGTGTTGCCTGCTTACTTGAAGATTAATTTTATGATTAGCATAAAAAATATTTGTCAGTAAGTACATCTTAAAAATAACTTACAAGATCATCGGTTAGAATACTCAAATGGCAAATTAAGTTTTATTTAATTTTACAAACAAAAAATTAAATTTAAAAAAATAATAGGTAACTAGTGACGATTGAACTCACGACCATCAGGTTCAAAGTGAAACGCGCTAGGCTCTACACCAACAAGACATGTTAAATATGAGTGTTAAAAACAGGGTAATTTAGTTTTAATATTTTAATTATCATTTAAATATTAAGGAAAATGAGTTGGAGTATTAGGTGTTCAACTAAAAGATTTAGATTAGTCTACATTTTCTTTTAAAATACCGATTAGCTTTATAATAACAACCTTTCTAATGAAAATAGGCGTGTGCAAAAGTAACTTTCCGCCTATGTGCGGCAATAATGTCAACCTATGACAATTCATGGAAAACGTCAACTTTCCAGTTAGATTTGAATGTACAAAAGTCTACTTTGGATAGTGATCGTAGAAAAAAGTATGCACATCCAGTTTTAAACTTTTATTCAAAAGATTAATTTATTCCAATAGATTACAGTTTCCCAATATGCCAAATGTCTGAAGATCTCTTAAAGTTGTTCTTTGGCTGTATTCGCTCACATGTAGACCAAAACAATAATCCCACCGAAAGGCAATTTCAGACAGCACACAAAAAATATTAGTGGGTAGAATATGTCGAAGTACGTAAAATTTCTCGTGAAAATTGTATTCCTCCATAACAGTTCTGAATTTTAAAATGTTCATCCATCAAATCAACGGATCTTCAAGAGACTCCAGGGCTCAAGAGCCTCTGTGGATGTGTTAGTCGACCGTCTTCAATGTTCGCAAATAATATAAAAGAGCTATTTCTTCAAATTATTACCTTATTTGAGTAGAATATGTAGTGTTTTCAATGTTAAAGTAATTTGTAAATAAAAATATATTTGCAAATTTGATCGTTCACAATTTTGATCAGCATCCCTTATAGAACCATAGAGTATACTATTGATTAAAACTGTTGCTAATAAATACACAAACACTAAGATGTTTTACCTTATTAAAAATAAAATTAAAAAATGTGACATCACAATAGCAAAATTTGTATCTTTTTTAATTGCCAATAAACATAATTTTAATATTGGTATTTTGCCGTAATTTTCTGTTAATACTTATAAACCCTTCCATTCACACATTTTTTTTATCTATGTATTTTAAAGTTTTAAATCCTTTGTTTCCGAGAGAAAAAAAATCGAAGAGCTTAAATTTTGAAATATCATAATGAAAATAAATGCATTTCTCAACAGCACTATTCCTAATATGATCCCCAAATTTAAGCTCTTAATGTCTTGTTAATGATTTTTTTTTAAATTCGCCAACATTAGTGGCTAAAACGCCTCATTAAGTGCTGCCTTCTGTTGTAACGTGACTGTAACTATCGTATCGTACATTCTCAGTCATCATTCGTTTCTTGCAACGATTTACACCAGTTTACAGCAGAACATAGCACTTAACGAAGCATTTTAGCCACTAATTTTGGCTAATTTGAAACATTTTTAAATTTGGGGATCATACTAAGAATAGTGCTGTTGAGAAATGCATTTATTTTCATTATGATAATTCAAAATTTAAAGCCCTTTGATTTTTTTTTCTTGGAAATAAGAAGGAATTAAAACTTTAAAATATATGCCTATTCTAGATATTATTTATTGTCTAATTTATTTTGCCAAAATTTTAATAAAAAAAAAATTACTTTTTGCAATATCTTTGTCCGAAAATTATAAGGGGTGCTTTAATCACCTTAAGTTAAATTGATACTAAAGAAAACGCCACTGGTGGGTGTAGTGAAATCTTAAATGATAAAAGAAAATAAATATGCTAGTGTACCTGTCTAGGTGCAACATTAAACTGTGTTCTGACTCCTCTCCTGTAGTTACGCCCCTGTTAATGCTATACCTATCGTGACCTCTCGTACCTGTGTCTGTATAAAGCTTCCTCCATGATACTGCCTGCCTAAGCGACCCAGAAAACAACTGGAGTACGCAAATGACAACTAAAATAAATCTGTGGGAAAGCGCTAGATTTTAATTAAGTAGGCCAAACAAAAAAACCAAAAACAAAAAAAAATACAAAATCAAAAAAAAACAAAAAAACAAAAAAAACAAAAAAAAAACAAAAAAACCAAAAAAAACCAAAAAAAAACAAAAAAACCAAAAAAAAACAATAGTTTTTAGTTCGGTCATTCGGCGAAAATCGTACCCAGAACCATATTAGGTGTATTAATGTGCGTTTTAGGTACCATCACATATTGCGAAGACTTCCACCTCCTGCAGGTTTCTCCCCCTTTGAGAGTCCCATTACTGGGACTCGGAAAAGGGTACATCTTTCGGTAGGCAACAGACGTGAACAAACAGACAACTGACGACACACGTTGCACACTGTTGGCTCATTTGGCCACCGTCAAAGGGGTCCAGATAAGCACTCACTGAGTAACGGACAACAAAGCACCAACAAACCGCGAATGTATGAAAGAGATAATGAATGCATAAGAGTTTTAGGTCCTCAACCGACTCTTATTAAATTACGATAACGCCTCAACTTTCACCGCTAAATCGAGGGTATGGGGTGCCAATCAAATGCTATTAACATGAGGACCAAGCAGCGGATGAAAAAGCTTGTAGTATGAGAGCCCACTGCAAATTTCGACCGTCATCTGATAACGAAATGAAATATGCTTCAAAGACATGTAACAACATTGTACTTTACCAAATTGCACCTGTGCCAATCCCTATCCTGAGCAGTGGTTAAAAAAAATTATTTTATATTCAAAAAATCACATAAAACATAACAGCGACAATTATGTTTTCCCTGAAAATTGTAATCCTAATTCATTGTGAACCTAGCTTTTAAACCTGAATTATTAATATTTTTACCTACCTCTTAAACTATGTTTATGTGTGAAAGGAAGAAGGATGACATTGTATAGACCAGCCATACTCAACCTGCGGCCCTCCTAGCTTTTTATGTGGCCCGCAACAATATTATTGGTCGCAGCGCTAAATAGCATGCTAATTTTTAAATAAGCGTTTGGAATTTTGTGGGGTTACTGCAAAAACAAGATAGCTCCACTTTTGGAATTTTCGAGTTAAGTAGGTACACTTTCTACAAGTGTGAAAGAAGTATATATTCACGTTAAACAGATAGCCAATAAAAACTAACTCCATGTTAATACATTAACAATATGGACACACAAGATGGAGTGGCATTTATACCAAAACAATCATAATATTGGGTTCAATTGATAAATGTGTCTACCAAAACCAGATGATAGACATATAACTTATTTTTGCTAAATATATTTAGTCCGATTCTTAATAGTGTTCCTGCCAAAACAAGGGGAACCAATAAGGTCAAAACGTACCTGTATTTCGGAAATCACTTAAAAATTTTTTATGTAATTTAGGTGATTTTACTGAAAATCCACCTTAATTTTATAAGATGATCTTTTTTTCTCGCCATTTCAGGTTGTGAGCGACGAATTGATTTCGACCATAATTTTGGAATTTTCGAGAAAATGAGTAGTGATTTCCAGTGAAAGCGTACCAGTATTTCGGGAGTGGTTGCCGCTACTTATTTTTGTTGACTGTGTTTATTGAAATATTACAACATTGTGCCCACGCCATTTGTTTTGTTATGACTAGAGCCGCCTCTGGCCTTTCTCGATTGTTAAATCTACGAGATGATTACGTCACCCTTTCTTTCCGCGATATAGCTAACCTTAAACAACCACTAGATAATAACACGTGATGTTCGAATCTCCGTGGTGAACGAGTGATTGGTCAAGATGTAACGGGTGATTGGTCAAGCTGTAACGAGTGATTCGTCAAGCCGTAACGAGCGAATCTTTATGTGAAAATTCGTAAATAAAAGTATTAGTACTTTCTAATAGACAACGTATCGAAAGATTCAGCTATCCTAAATACATTCCACCAGAAAAATAGATTTAATTTATCAATGGGCGAGGATGGGGAATTCGACTTTATATATCAAACTCGCACAGTATTTCTTCAGAGAGATGCATGAAAGGATAAAACAAAGTTTTGAAAATACTTACAAAAAAGTGCAAGAAAGATTTACTAAAATTTTGCAAAATCAGATACACCTGATGAATTTCACCATTATTATCACAATCTACCTATATCCAATAACGTTACTGTAACTTCGACTGAAAATAGTGACACATACATTGAATTATGATTTGTATGTAGAGCTAAAATAAGCTAAGTGTCGTTTTTTCTCTTTTTTTACCAATTATTAATAGATTATTAGTTTATACTTTGTGGACAATGTTTTGAATACTTTCTTCATTAAAGTTAATAAATGGTTTTACTGATTTTTTATTCAGTTTTAAACGTTTGAATAGCGTTTTATCGAAACTCTAAAAATGTGAGTTATCTTGTTTTTGCAGTAACACAACGGGATATATTTGTTTTGTGTTTTATTTATTAGAGGTCCCCACTAACTAATTTTAGATAGATGTCCTAAAAAAAGGTCATCATCCAAAAATATTGCGGCCCGTGTAACATAGTACATATACAAATGTGGCCCGAAGGAAAAAAAGGTTGAGTATGGCTGGTATAGACCATTTGCAGAGATAGTCAATAATAATTATAAACTTTTGTTAGACAATTATTTTAAACCATAATCATAGTAGTTTTTTGTCGTTTCTATGGCAACCTGTAAAAATGAATGACAACAATAGGCATAGAAATATATTTTTAAGTCGGCAAACATTGATTCATATTTTTAATGATATGTACCTACTAATCGTGCATAGATGTTTTTGTGCGATGCTAAGAGGAAGAAAATGTTTCCCTTTAACGATATATATCAAGATATATTTGAATGTTATTTTCTGGAAAATTTTAAGCGTACCTAAACAAAATTAGCGTTGTCATGCCTTATGTGATTTTGTTAATATAAAATAATTTTTTTAAGCCACTTTGCTCAGGATTGGGATTGGCACAAGTGCCATTTGGTAAAGTACAATGTTTTTCCATGCTTTTGGGGTATATTTTATTTCGTTATCAGATGACGGTAAAAATTTGCAGTGGGCTCTTGGGCTATTGGGGGTGGATGGAAGGGTTTAGTAGGTTTCGATCCAGTTTAACAGGATGGGAACTTATTCGACTCAGGCCTATTACTGCGTGTGTGCCTGCCTAAGTCGAGGCACTGCCGCCTTATCACAGCGGGTAAATAAATATTAAATTTTGAATATACAGGACGTTACAGATATTATTAATACAGTACACATTTATTTAATGAACAGTAAAACAATTACTATTGACAGTAAAATTTTATTTAAATAAATAAAAATGTATAAATAGTATATAGAATATAAATAAATAATATTAGTAATACAGACAATAATTATAGGCACAAAAACAAATATCGATACATATTTTTAAAAAAATGATTAATTTATTGATTTTTGTAAACGTGGCTTACTATTCCTTATTCCCTTCTTGGGCACACTTTCTGGCTTTGGGGGAAGCACAGGCTTTGGAATAGGAGGAATCTCTGGTGGATCTTTAGGAATTGTTATGTTTTGAAGTTCTATAAGTTGTAATTTTAAGTCCATTTCTACTAGAGTGTCAAGTTCTTCGTTGTAGTAGTTACTTCTTCGAGGATTTCCTAAAAGAAAGTACAATAATTATATTAGATAAATAAAAATCGAATTTCACCATCAAAGAAGCTTGTTACTTTCATTCTCAGCACTTCAGATACTAACTAAAGGTATATACTTCAGGGACTAAAATGGCACGTTTTTTACCTAGGAATTAAAAATTTACTTCTAATTCCTAGCGATTAAAAATACAATATACTTAATGGCACTTTTACTCCCTATGGCTTAAAATTACGTACAAAGTACAATATACGTCAATTAGGCATTCCAAACTGAATGGCTACCAGTGGGTTTTGACAGGTTATGATATGGCAAAATTATGGCAACCCTGTAAGCCTGGTGATTTGACAAGGTCAATGAAATAAATAGTTACATAGATTGATCATCCATATTTTTCAACATAAATATAAGCTTATGCCTTGAAGTAAAAATGTAAGCAATTATTTTTTTTTTAATTATCTAAAGGCTGAAAATTGGTTTTAAAACACATTTTTGCTAAACCGATTCAAATTAATAAATATTTGCCAGGCAATATGGCCGCTCGCAAACGACCAGCTTTGAGCAATCTATATAACTATATAACCCTGTTAATGACAACATGATAACAGGGTTGCCATATCTAAACTGTCAGCAGTGTTGTTCCTGGTTGTACAATTGTACAAAAAGTTGTACAATCAGGTATGTGGTTATACTGTTGTACGCACTTTTGAAAAAAGACAGAAATGTTGTACAATTTGAAATTGCTAAATATTCATGTAAAATCGGGTATATAAAAGGTTTTCTTCGCTCAAAAAGTCTACGATTTGTTAAATAGCATGCATTAAAATTAATAAAAGAATAAAAGTTTAAATTTAGCGCCATTCGTGACTAATCAGTACACCGTTTTACATCAAAAATATATTTTATACTGGAAAAAAGAAGAATTTTAAGCATGGGAAAGTAGTAGGCATAGTCTGTCAATAAAAAAGAAGAAGATTAATTAGTGGTTGTACAATACCAGCCCTGGTTGTACAATCGAAAGTAAAAGTGTACAATTTTGACACTGAAAGTTGTACAATTCAACTTCAACACTGACTGTCAGTCCCCACTGGTAGCCATTTGGACAGGTCGTTGGAATGCCTAATACTATAACAACCTTGCACTGACATCGTCATTGCTTTGTTATTAGAGTACCGTTACGTGGTTTTTCATAACTTTGATTTTTTTGTTTTTCTTTTCTTAAAGTGCATAAACCATGGGACTGAAGTATCTTTTTATCCTTCGACGAATTGTAGCCCTCCCTCCGGTCGGGCTACAAACTTCTCGCCTCTGAATAAAAAGTGTCACTTCAGTCCCTTGTTATAGAATACTCCGCTGCCATTAGCAACGACTTGTCTAAAAAGTTTAATTTTGACGTTATCAAATTATTAGTAAAAAGTCAGGTTTTCTGACCTTGAGAAAAACATTATTTTTTATCTATTTTTTGATTTCGTGTTCTGATATAAAATACTTGCCTGTCATGATATTAAACGCATCTGTCCATGTAGCAGCAATTTTTTCAGATTCGGCTATAAAATTTTCTTGCTTTTCAGAATTACTTATGATAATTGAAAATAATAGGACTGGATTTTTACATCTAAAAATAATTAATTACCTACCTATATATTTGAAAATATATTAACCAAATTTTAAAAATATAAATGATCGTTTGTGCTTATTATTAACTATTAGCCATTCTTAAACAGGGTGATAATTTAAACATTACAATTAAACTTAAAATTAAAAACTAAAGAACTAAAGATGATATCAGAAAAGTAAAATCTAATAAAACAAATTATTGTGAACTATTAAAAATATTTAATTCAGTTAAACATATACCTATACCATCTTCTGTTTACCTTGTCTACCGCGACCTTTCCAGATCTATTCCGTTATTTAGATACGTAGGGGTTGTTATTTTCTTTGTTGGGGTAGATATCGCATAGAGTTCTGTATTTTGTCATTTAAATTTACCCATTAGTATTGTAGAATCACTTTTTAACATTTTCTGATATCATTATAAGTTTTTAAATTATCATTCCGTATTTTATATTTTTAGTTGGAACTTTTCATATTAGAAAATCAGAAAAGAAATATTATTTTTTTTAAATATATAACATTTTCCTCGAAGAAGTTTTTCCTTCCATCCAACCTCGAATTTTAAATTATGTTCATCCATTAAGCACTAGAGTTTTTCGTCCGCTAAAAAACTGCTAAAATGTTTTGTTTTCGATAATATAACTTACAAGGTAGTGGCAGTGCAGACTACAAGCTTTGTAGTGTCATAATTTGGGCGAACTACTTCATATTCATTCATTTTTCAATCACTTGGATCACATGGATATTAAACTTTCTAGGTCGTGATTTGTTTCCTCTCGTAGTCAATTATATTCAACAAACGACTATAGCTAAAAATCTGTTGATATCTAGCAAATAGCTGCACTAACAACACTTTACATGGTTGATTAATAACTCACATCTGGAGTAAACATATTTAGTTCCAATCAGTTACTGTTCATGATATATAAGAACTGATAAACAGCTCTTAAATGATATATGAATGGTATCTACTCTTTTGATCTTTCTTTTATACTCTGCCACTAAAATGGCATGAAAATTTTCCAGATCCCTGAAACATCCAAGTCTTCAAAAACTCCATGTACATACTTGCCTGATGGCAATTGGAGCAAATAGTACTCAAGATCCTGCTTTCGAGAATTTTTTGGTCCAGTTATCAGAGAAAAAATGTTTACACAATATAGTATGATTTCTTGTTCTAGATTTGCATAAAAAGATCAAAGCTATATTTGAAAATAGCATCTAATCTTACTATTTTTATAGAACAATGATTATTTCCGTAAATGTCTGCCACTTCTACCACTAACCAATTTTTAACTTCCCAGTTAAAAATTTTCATTATATTATTACATAAATATATTATGAAAGAGTTGTAACTGCTTTTCAGAGAATATTTTCTGCGTAAATTTAACTGTAAAAATAAATGATAAATAAACTAAGCACGGCACTGTACAAATTCCATATACGCGCTACACTTCAATATTAGATTAGATTAGATTAGATTAGGAGTTGGACGTTATTTGTCCATGTCCACCGCGACCTTTTCAGATCTATTGTGGGACTTCGTTTGTTTTAGAGTATGTCGTCTAGCCTGGTATTTTTTATTAGACTTAGTAGCTTTGACAGTGGCTCCCGCATGTAGTTGCATGCAATTGGCTTTTCTTCGCCCAGTGTTAGAAACCTCATTCCAGTCAGGCCTTCACATTGGCACAGGACGTGGAATGATGTTTCCTCTTCTTCTTCATAGAACCTGCACAAAGTTGCTTCTTCTGCTGGATTTATGACACTCATGTGCCTTTTGAGGTGACAGTGTCCAGTAAGAAGGCCTACTGTTATCCTAACGATTTGACGCTTTTGATCCAGTAGGTCTTTCGTAAACTTGGCCGATGGTTCCTTGATGAAATGTTTGGCCTGTCTCAGTCTTGGATAGTTGTTCCACCATTCCTGAGACTCTTTTTGCATCCATTGTTTAATGGATGCATTGCACAATGCCTTAGCAACTCCACAGAAGGGTTCGGGGGCCTGTCATGGCCTTATCTGAGCCTTCTCGGGCTAGTTCGTCGGCCTTTTCGTTGCCCTGATATCCCTCATGGCCTGGAACCCAGGCTAAGGTCACCTTATTTTGACTACTTAGCTCTGTCGGGTCTTCTAGACAGTCTTTCACCAGTCGTGATTTGATTTCTGGTGAGAAAATTGCCTTTAGAGCTGCTTGATATCAGAGTATATGGCAATAGTTTTGCCTCATATTTGCTGATTTAATATTTCTCTTGCACAGTGTTGTATGGCTATTAGCTCAGCCTGGAACACTGTTGCATATTTTCCTAAACTCAGTAAAATCGTTGATTTCGACTTGGGTCCATAGATTCCAGCACCGGCTCCTTCCTTGGTTTTTGAACCGTCTGTGTACCAGACGAGTTAAGCCTGTACGGGAGGTCCCTGTTTCCAGGATTCTCGGGCTGGTATTTGAATTTGAAAATTTCTTTCAAATTTGTATGTGGTTATGGCTCTATCAGTAGGCATAGCTAGAATATTATCCCTTTTTACTTGCTGATATAGCCTTGTGTGGTCGGCGCTATGTAGTTGGCTTATTGGGTTTTGTCCCTGCATTAGCCTGTGAATAGCTGACCTGGTTTCTCCTTGTATGAAGATGTGCAGTGGCGTAAGATTTAATAATACCTCCATTGCTGCGGTCGGCGTAGTGCGCATGGCCCCAGTAGCACTTAGACAGGCAAGCCGCTGAATGCTAGTGGGTTGGCCTATTGCACTTGCCTGCGCAGTTTTGGTTACCCACGCCACTGCGCCATAGGTTATCATGGGTCTTATTATCCTTGTGTATAACCATATGGTCATTTTGGGGTTTAGACCCCAGTTTTTCCCACATATTCTTCTACAGCTTACGAGAGCTATTGTAGCTTTATGTGTGAGTTTTTTGAGATGTTGATTCCATGTCAGCCTTTGGTCAAATATGACTCCGAGGTATTTGGCTTCTGTGACGAATGGGATAACTGTGCTGTTTAGTACTAGTGGTCTTAGACCTGTAAGTACCCGTTTTTTTGTGAATGGTACAACTGTTGTTTTTTGTGCGTTGATGGACAATTGTTCCTTTTTGCACCAGTTGTTCAATATTATAAAAATAGAAATTTTTGACTCTGTTACTACGAGAGAAAAAGATCCATTCACATACCAAAATAAAAACAGTAAAATAGAGTCGTGTAAACTTAAAATGGGGCTGTGAGCAATAGTGGCTCACGGGGATTCTTATAGCAGGATTAGTACTAGAATGTTACGAAGCTATGGTCACCTTAAGATAGATAATAAAAAAACAATGAACATAAACTTTTCTTAACCAGGGGACGAATTGTCATATACAATTCATACCCAGAAATCCAACCCCTTGGAACCCGGCAGCAACCCCCTATATTTTTTAAAAAGCAAGCATGATCAAGTAAAATATTTGAACGGTAAATTTATGCAGAATTTAACAATATGACTATTCATTGCCTTAGTTTTAATTTTTGCGCCCTGTAGCAGGATAAAAAACTGTTACGTATTGATATCCGGTCATGTGGCCGGAATCCCTATGCCTGAAAGCATTAATTCATGGCGGACAAAAAATCAATCCATGAGCAACTTCACTTTGAATTTCACAGGTCACATGACCTAGCGCCGAGACCTGGTGCATGTCTCTGTACTCAAAAACAAATTCTGGCATATGCCACATTTTGCAGTCAGCTGAGGGCCCGTATGAGAAAGTTAGTTTTGATATATGTTTGCCGTTATATCGGATGGTTTAAAAAATGGAAGAATATTCCTTTGGTTTCAACTTGAAAAACTGTTTTTGCCTTTATGTTACAGTTTACATATATTGTTTATATTTTGTCCTATTTAAAGGGTATATTCCTTCTACTGTAGACATCCCTAGGAACAGAAATCAACGTCTTTTCAGAAAAACAATAACTGTATGTTCGAAGATAGAAACGAAAACATGTTAAATTTTCCGAATATATAGTCGGTTAAGGACTTTATCCATTTAATAAAATAAAACCATCTTGCACAGTATACCTTTCTCCCGCTTTACAGACCACAGCAGACAATGGGAAAAACCAGACTAGAAAAATTGCCCTGCCTTTTTTTATAATCTTAAATCTAATAAAGCCATATAGTTACTTACATATTCGCATGTTTACAATTACGCCCTATAGCTACATGCGTAATATCAGCTATAATTATGGTATCCACCAAAACCTTTTTATCTGTTTTTTCGTTTTCGATATTATATATGTACAATTCTCTTTCGTTTCTGCTTAATTGTACAAATTTTTTTCCATACGCTTTCTAAAAAAAGAAGAAAAAATTATGTAAGCCCAAAGGCCATCATCAGGCCTAGAAGGAAAAAAGTATACGTTGGATAAAACATTTTGTGTTAATAAACCTTATATAAATTCGAAGGACGCTAAATTGGTAGTTCCCACCTTATTTGGGCATTACCTGCTGTACTTCTAGACTAGCAAAGATAAATCTGGCAACGCGGTGATCGAGCCCAGTTTCGGTACATTGTACTCACGGTTTAGTATACTTTTAATGCGTAACGGGTTGTTCTGTCAATGATTTTTTTTTTTACGAAAAACGTTCAGATTAGGTGAAACTAAAACTGTTTTTTCTTTAATTAGTTGTTAATAGTGTGTATTAACATAGAACCGAAAGTTTATGAATTTTTCTTTGTGATAAGTGTGAAATCTTACCGAAATAAAGTGGTTTTTGTTGTTACGTTAGGTTGAAAATGAGTGCGATAATCTTATCGCCTTCCACTGCGGCCCAGATGGATCTATTGTGGCTCATGTCTGACTTATATTAGACCGTACAAGCCACACCTTTTGATTAAAGTCCTTTTAATGTGGTTACCCAGACGACAATGTACTGTCATCAATACCGTGAAAATGCGTATATCTTTCCTACGCCATTCCAGAATCTGAGCAGAGGCGTTCATGGAAGGGTTGGTTATAAATGCCTTCGAATGAGTTAGCCCTGGGGTACCTCTCCAGTTCGTGAGCTGCGCCCTCCGTTTATTTTGATATAGAGATCCAGTAGATCAGTTGATGACTGATCCCCCATGCTTAGCCACATATCCTTCTGAAGGTCCAGAGGGATATTCTGGCTCTGTTGATGGTTTTATCCAATTGGGGGTTCCGGGTGAGTTTTTATATCTAGGATGATCCCCACATATTCCACCTCCTCCGCAAAAAGATTGGTTTCCACAGCCAAGGTAGGTTGTCGAAGCTTGTCATGCTTTTTTCTTTTGGTACTTTCACCTAATTATGATAACCAGATCATCCGCATAGCATTGGAAATCCACCCCCTGCCGAGAGAGAGACCATCCAGCAGTTTATCCACCCGAATGGTCCACAGTAGGGGTGAAAATTCGCCGCCTTGTTCATATCCTCTGGCAGGCCTGAAAGTGACTCTATCTCCTTGCAGTGATAAAATGATGTTCCAGTTTGCCAGTATGTTTTTGATCCAATTACAGGTCAGTTTGTCGATTCCTCTTCTTTCAATAGAAGCGAACAGAGACTGAGAAAGGGCTTTATTGAACGCCCTTTCTATGTCTAGAAAGGCTCTTCTCCAATATGCCTTTTTTGTTGTTACAACTATAATTCGCGTAATGGATGCATTGGATATCCTCCCGTGGTGCTTTTAACTCGACTTTTAATCAATTAATTAAAATAAGGTAATTATGCTTAGTAACTGCTGTATTTCTGGATGTAAATACAATATTTATAAATCATCATAAATCATTACTTCAGCAACCTGTATAATTCGCCTAAGTTCTAAATATATTTCAACTTAAAATAATTATTTCCACGTATCATTTTAAGTTACATTAAATATCAACTCAAATACAATAATTCAAAAACGTTTAATAAACTTTTTATTTGACGTTTATGAATAACAACAATATAGAAGTTAGTACCCTTATTGCAAAGCAATAACATAAGCGACATAAGAAATATACATATTAAATTTTAAAAACATTGATATTTAAAGCACTATAATTAAAACCGAAAATTCTGAAAATAACAGGGTTCTCAGAAGAAATTATCAAAGAAAAGCAAAACCACCAGATGAGATTTTTTACGTTTTCGGAGGCCCTATCTCAGTAATTAATAACTTAAATGGTCAACAACATAATATAAAGATATCAGAAGGTAAAATAATTTCAATTATTAATTTATACAAGGTTTGTTAACAATAAAATAAAACTGACCAAGTGCGAGTCGGACTCGCGCATGAAGGGTTCCGCACCATCGTAAAAGATTAAATACTATGTTGGTACTTTTTAAATACTTTATTAAGCAAAAAAAGCCAAAAAACACGTTTCTAGTAAGGGAGCCCCCTTTAATTTTTAATTTATTTTTATTATTTGTTGTTATAACGGCAATAAAAATCCACATTCTGTGAAAATGTCAACTGTCTACCTATTACGGATCATGAGATACAGCCCACTGACAGACAGACGGACGGACAGCGCCAGCGGAGGCTTAGTAATAGGGTCCCGTTGGTTACCCTTCGGGTACAGAACCCTAAAAAATGTTGTCCAACGTGTACCTACTTGTTGTAAGCATAGGCGCCGACTACGAAGGGGGTCAGGAGCCAAGGTCTTATCGAAAATAATCCCGGGGAGGACTACCAGAGAAACGTGAACATTAAATTTATTGTTTCCGTAATTCTGCCCTTCTAAGCCAAAAAGCGGTATATCAAAACAAAAAGATTATTTTTTAACTTTATCGGATAGCTTGAAAAATGTCGCATCAGGTGAACTGAAAAAAATAGCCATATCCCAATCAGAACATTAAAAAATAAAAAAGGAACATATCTCAACTTCTCTTGTTCTTACTAAAAAGTTTAGGGGTATGCCATTATTACTTAGCTAAATGGCTATATATTCTTATACGCAATCAGAGCTTCAAAAGTAATATTCAAAAACAAGAAATAATTTATAGCAATCCAGTGGTACCTAAAAAAAATTTATCGACTCGATGCAAGTGGTACCTAAATACATTTATCGACTCGAGGGAACGCGAAACAAACTTTTAGAAAATGTGTTTTTTCTCGAAACTTGCTTTAACTGAGATACCGCTTTTTGGCTTAGAAGGGGAGAATTGCTCAGTGGAAATTAGAAGAACACTTCGAAAAAATAGAATACATCATTGGGCCTCGGAGGGAAGTGAGTACCTTTTTTTATGTCGCGTCACGGTACGGCCCCCCGGAGATAAACAAAAGTCGGCGCCTATGGTTGTAAGTTTTCTGTTCTACTAGACCTGATGATGGCCATTAGGCCGAAAGCACGCGTTTTAATAAAAATTGTATGCGGGAACGAGTTTGTCTTTTTATCTCATAAAAGAAAAATATTTAACATACAGGTGAATTTAAGAATGATTTAAATTGAACCAATACACAAATATTTACCTTTTCAAAAACTTTTGGGAATTTTTCTCCTTTTTTCAAAACGTTCATTCTATTCTGACGAAGGAAAGGTTCGTTTTGTCGCGTGTAAACTTCTTTTAATTCTTGAATGCAAGGGTGACTTTTTAACAGTTCCTTCATTTCTTCTTCTTTTTCATCCTAAAAATATCTAGTTTATGTTATTTATTTGTATTTTTGTACAGGTGCAAATGTGTATATTTACAAAGTTGAATGTTGATGAAGTAGATACACCTACATTCTACGAATTATCGACTAAATGAAAGAAGTATTTTATTAGATACGAGGTAAAAAATTACCTGCCAATGTTTCAAAACAGCATCGAAATTCATTTCACTCATATGATCAGTTAAAGTCTTGAAATCCAAAGGCCGGTTTTTCAAAACCATTTTGATTTGTTTTTTCAATGTTCTCATTAACTAAAATTGAACACTTTTGTAAAAAAAAAAATAACTAGGTAATACATTTTTTGTACCTTAGGGACTAAAACATGCAATTTACTCCCTCATTTTAGGTACCGAAATGCCACTTTTACTCCCTTGGGACTAAAATATTTTAGTCCCAAGGGATTAAATAACAAAACCAATAGAAACCATAGCAAACTACTTTATTCGGGAGGTAATATAACAAGACCTCTACTCTTTTTTTTATTATTACACGTGTGATCTTCCCTCTCGGGAGTAAAAGTGGCACTTTAGTCCCTTGGTACATAATATACTATTTATGTATTTATTGTAAAAATAATATATATTTTTTTCTGATTATTTAATCAATAGTAGTTTGTGCAACAAGAGTGGACATGATGACCACATCGCACAAAGACCAAGTCTGAGTACGATACGGACAATCCACTCGAGTTGTACAGTATATTTTTTTTACGACGAAAATCTACAAATTTTAAAAATTAGTTTAGGTTATTGAGATAAAATAACTAATTTAAAAAGAATTTATGACGTTTACTAATTTATTAAATAAAATTAACTTGAAAAAAATAAGATTAAACTCGTTGAACCCGAGACTTCTCGCATAATAGTCAAAAACGCTAGTTTCGGCTCCATCGGCATATCTAACATTTTAGTTACAATACTCGTAATTAAATCGATTTCATATATATGTAGTTTTATTAAAATTTACGATTTGTTTGTAAATATAGGCGAAATAAAAATAGAAATGCTATTATTTATCGATTCTTCACAATAATAACTCATTTTAATGTATATTTAATATCAATAACTAAAACATATTCTGAAAATTAGTTTGGCAGAATTGTCACTTTTTTAAAATTTTTAAAAACAATAGGTTTGTTCCTCAGATTTATTTATCTGAGGTTTGTTCCAACCCAACAGAAAACCGTACATCGTACGATCATCGTCATGCGTAGTAAATAAAGTCCGTTCCATCCGAGAATTGACGATTCATTGTATCGTCCGGTTAGCATTTCAACCAAACATGGGACCAAACTAAAAATTAGTATCGCTTGGGTTGACATGCGCACTGCGTACAATGAAGGCCCGTCTTTTTTGTTTGGATTTGAATTAAATAATTGTTTTTCAGATTTTCTGCTTAATTATGTTTGTTTTTGAATAGTACCTAATTTAATTATGAATGATGAAGAAGGTGATGATTTTCTCTCAGACTTATCGTCTAGTGAAGATGATTTAGAACTTGCTCTAAAAAACATAGAGTTAAAAATTGAAATTGTCAAATGGCATCGTTCGATACTGAGTGGTACATAAATTCGTTCCATCCCGGTAGAGTGTGATCCCATTCACTAGACAGTGCCAGGTTAGCGTTTGCGCATACCAAGCTAGTTGAACAATCCCGTGTACCGTTTCGAAACGGTACAAAACTCTTGGTTGGAACTATGGAGGGTAGAGAAAAGGAGGACAATCTTATATGGATCTTTATATTAAAAAGTGGCCACCAAAATGTATACAATTAAGATGGCGCTCGTGTAGCCAGGGGGCAAAATCCAATGCTATATAGTCATATAGATTGCTCATTCATAATTAAATCAGACAGGAAGCAGTACATTGAGACCTCCGTGCCATTTTAATATAAGAATTATTTATTGTTTATATTATTATTTTTCTATTGTCGTGTATTGTCAAAATTTATCTACGATCACAGAACACTTACTCTTCTACGATCAGTCACTTTTCACGGTGTAGTTTTTAGTTTTTTATGGTTGAGCAATATTTATTACTATATACATCATTGGTGTCATTGTGTGATCTAAATTATCGACTGTCGACGTCCCCTGGGCACAGAAGCGCCATCTTAATTGTATACATTTTGAGGGACACTTTTTGTATACAGAGATTGTTCTCCTTTCCTCTACCCTCCATAGTTGGAATAAACCTAATACAATACGCCAGTTTAGTGTGATGTCATTTTGGTTCCACTGACTTTTAATTCTAACCAAACTTTTAACAAAAACATCAATAAATTTTACATATTGTAAGGGGTTTTCTCGCCACAGAGAAAACAGTTCCTTACGAATGGCGCTGGTTACGGGCGGTTCTCGAGCACCAGATTTTTGGTGATGGTTTACTCCACAAACTTTCGAAACGGCGTCGAAAGTACTCGGGTAGCTACAGATGGAGATGAAAAATTCCAGGGAACAAAGGTCACTTAGACACAGGTAATAGTAGGCCACAAGTAACGGGCTTTAATCGTTGCTTGGGCTGGTACAGAACTTATCACTAGCTGAAATACAAGGGGGAAATTTGTAACCAGTAATACGGCAAGTTAACATTGACACATATATTGTTTTGAACTATTTACAACATAAAAAAAGAAATTATATATTTCAACGCCCACCCCAGTTGTGGTGATAGTCAATATGACCCTAAACAAAAAAAAAAAAACAAAACGGATGGTATTGAATCCCGACTAGTCTCAATCAGACGTCAAAATTGTTAAAATAAAATGAATGTTTCGGTCGCAGAAAAATTATTAACTTGGCTATTTAGTCGGTAATTAAACTAAAACACAATTTCCCATTTCGGTAAGGAAAAATTAGCTAAACGGTCATAGAGAGTGCGAGGAGACAGGGACGCGAAAGAATTACTTATAGTAAATATACGAAAAGAAAATAAAAATAAATTTATACCCGGAGTAGCCTATTATCCCAGAATGAGCTGATCGTCATCTCGAGCCCGCTCAGACAGGGTAATGAAGCTATTTAAGATTTCTGTAAGTTGCAATTTGCACGAAAAAAAAAATAAAGAATACAAACGGAATAAGAAAACTAACGCGGATAGCACCTAATCCAAGAATAAACTGATCGTCATCACGAGCCCGTTCAGACAGGGACAGGATATTATTTAAAGTTATTTAAATTGACGGTGAAAGAGAAAAACAAAACTTTTATCGGAGGAAAGGAAGTTACTAACGCGGATAGTACCTACTCCAAGAATGAACTGATCGTCATCACGAGCCCGTTCAGACAGGGACAGGATACTATTTAAGATTCTTTAAATTTGCAGTTTACACATTAACTAAAAAAAAATAACGCGGATAGCACCTACTCCAAGAGTGAACTGATCGTCATCACGAGCCCGTTCAGACAGGACATGATGCTATTTAAGATTATTTAAATATACTGTAAAAGAATAAACAAACTATTAAAAGAGGGAAAACGTTTCCTCGAAAACTCCGTTTATAAATATTCCCAACTTACAACGCAGAACTTACTAAACAAAAGTATTTATTAATAAAATCAAATTAATTCCCGATTTAACCTACCAAAAGAAAAAAAAATAATTTCTTAGTACAGACTAACGATCAAAAGTCTAAATCATCGGTATTACAATATTAAAGAACTAAATCCTATCATTTATTATTTAAATCAAATTCTATTCCATTTAAAGAAGCGGTATTATTTTTGCCAAGAAATAAATTCTAATATTTATTAATGAAATCAAATTAAATGTTTTAACTCAACACTGAACTAAAATGTTCCCATTTCTACAAGCTAATTCGATTTTTTTAAAATGAAATACGGTCTCAATATAAAACGTAAAAAGCGAAACAAGGTTTTTTTTTACCTAACGGATTTATAAACAGGAGAAAGAAAAGAAATTATCGGCGGTGAATTGATTTGAGAAGGCGGCTAATATTCTAAACTACTGGAAATCAAGTATCATTCGGGACTAAAAATTTTAATTTTATCTCGGCCCTCGTTCAACTGCTGATTTCCTTTCCCAATCAGAGACCCCACCAACGCCAGTCCCGCCGCGCAGCGATACTCGATCGGCGTTCGCGCATGTTCAATCGCGTTTAATATTTATTAAAAATGAAAAATGAAAATAAACTGATTGAGGAAAAATTGACTTCATTACAATATACATTTTTACTGTTAAGTTTTTTTCTAAATATTGTTGGTAGGTCATGAAAATTAGTTTAAAGGTATGGAATTGGTAACTAAACGATTGTAAATTTGATGAATGTTATCTACTTACTTTAGGAATATATTTATAAAAGTGAAAAAACGATATAATTTAGGTAAACATAATGAACAAAACGCACTCAAAAAATCTACTGTCACTTAATTGTCAGTGGAACCATAATTACATCATCACTAAAATGGCGTATAGTAGCCGGGTGTTCAAAATATGAACTGTGATTGGTGGATTTCACATTTGTGGAGTGTTCTTACTATGTAGAATGGATATAAAATATTTTCGTTCAGTTAAACGCAATTACATACTTTTTCGTTTTGTAGTATGTGCGTAGAATAGCTAATATCCATGTGGGTATAGGAAAAAATTTTTTTAATGTTTAAATGAATAAAATCTTAAAAATAATAGAAATAAAATGTTAATGAATACTTATAACCTCTATTTTTGTGAGTCTATTTTCACTGATATTGTCAGTGGAACATAAATTACGTCATAACTAATATAGCGTATATGAACAAGGTCGATACTATTTACAGCACAATCCTCAAAATGACCACCCTCACTACCATGCGGGCGTTCGAGTCTTCACTAAGCACATGGTGTCCATAAAGAATATACACCAAACCACCAAGAAAATGTAGATGGGTAATTAGTATTACAAAATACCAAACAGCTTGATAACAAGTAAAAGGAAAACAAACCATGCAGTTAACATCAGCTAAGAGAAAGCCACCAAAGGATGGTGTGTAATGAACCTAATGAGGCCAAGTGCTGAGGAGCTTAGTTCACACTTCTGCAGATGAATAAATACCTGGGGGGCTATTTTCAAACTCGAGAGATAGTGAATTTTTTTAAGATTTTCATGAGAAATGTCATACGTCAATGTGAAAACAGTATTAAATTAAAATGCTTAGGAGAATTTGAATTCACTCCAAATAAACCAAGAGAAACAGTCAGCGAGTTCTCACTGGCTTTAAAAAATACTGTTTTTACGTTGACGTATGACATTCTCATGAAAATCTTGAGAAAAAATTAATTCTCTCAAGATTCTGAGTTTTATAATGGAAAATTAGTTGCCCAAGGAGATTATCGATGAAGATATCCGCAGGGCCCCGAGAGCCAGGGCGGGCCCCAGGACAATTTTTTAGATCGGGCCCCGTGACAAAAAAACAGCTCTTCAAACAAAAACTTTTCCTCTTCTGGTTGAATTGAGTTTGAAAAAAAAATCCTCAATTCTTCCTCTGCTTCAATTGCTTTTTCTAAAAAAAAAAGCAAAAACTTTTCCTCCACTACTTCAATTAAAGTTTCTAAAAAAAAAATGCTTCCCACCCTAAAACCCTAAAAAATTCAGTTGTCGGGCCCCCTTTATACCGCTGCCGGGCCCCCATTTGAGTCCGGGCCCCGGGAATTAGTCCCGGCTATCCCCCCCCCCCTTTAGTCGGCCCTGGATATCCGAGTCGCAGGCTGTTCGGGAGCAGCTTGTTTTCTAATCCTTATTCACTCTATGTTTTCTTTCCAACAAAAATGAAAACATAAATAACGATCCTTTTTTTATGCATTTTAACTTTTGACAGAACAGGCTAATTCTTCAATGACAACTTATTAGACTTAGGCAACTTCCCATACATTTTCCAGTAAATACTGTTGCCTACCTATATTTTATTATTCATTTTTATTGATTATACATAATTTTCTTTAATTTAAGAGATAAAAATATATAATAATAATAAATTAATGTTTTACTTGTTTTACAAATCCATATACTTTTATTAAAACTAACATATATACTTTTTAATTACGAATTTTATTAAAAATTGCATTTGTCAGTATACGCAGAAATAGTCCATTAGTACCAAAACGAATTGGTGGTGCTGTCGCGCACGGAGCGAATAGGATTATACAGTAAAGTATCAAATTTTGGGGTTGGATTTTAAATAATTAGAACTTGCTAAAAATTTTTTTATGGACAGATGAAAACACGTTTAACAGCCACTATTGGAATGATGAAAATCCACATGTAGTTCGAAGATCAAATATTCAGCATCGATTTTCTATACCAATAGAGATACCTGATCGCTTAAATAGAATAACCTGTTTTTACAAAATCAATAATTGATAAACTCGCTGGAATATATACCACTGAACGTTAGAGCAAATAATATGTATTTTTAGCATGCTAGGGCTCCAGCCTATAGTAATAAGCTCGCTAGGGACTGGTTGGATGAAAATTATCCAGATCGTTGGTTGAGTAGTGGTGGTCTGATACCTTCACCACCTTGCTCGTCTGACCTTAGCCCGTTAGTAATTAGTAATAACACCGAGGTTAATTCTCGGGAAGAGCTTATACACAGAATGAATTTTGCCACCGATATGCTGAGATAAAATTAATTTGAAATTAGAAGAGCTGTGTATTCGTGAAGATGCTCATCATTTTGAACATTTATTAGGTATAGATAAATTAACTTTTGTTTTTACGGATAACTTTGCTTCTGTGTCATAAAAAACATGATATTTTTGGAATACTTCTTCTAAATTTATCATGCATGGCGTTCTTTGAAGCGATATTCCTGAAAATCTATCAATATTATCGAAGTGAAACAAGAGTACCTTTTTGTCGTAAAAAGATTAAATTTTATAAGTATGGTCTCAAAAATTAAAAATGTGTAGGATACAAAAATTTACTACTTTTACACCACTATCCCTTCGTTGTGGCGTCCTAGTTACAAAAGGATAAAGCTTTTGAACTAGTTATCACATTCATAGCATCAATTTTTATAGAAATCGAAAATTTGAAGTATTTGACGTAGACATTTCCTGTCTTTTTTACAATAATAAGGAAGGCAGATCTAGCCAAAAGTCAATTAACGAGGATATTGATGTAAAAAACTTCCTAAAATACGAAATAGTATTGCAGAACTATCTTTTAGTTTAATTATCACAGGATTTGTTTCGGCTGAGCTGAACTCAATAATAATATAATGCCCATCAAATACAGTAATACAAATATAATAAATATACTTACTTTAGGATAATCTTCAATAGTGGAAACCTTCATTTCTCTTCTTGTTCTTGACAACAACCACATGCTTCTTGAAAACAATTCTAAAAAAAATGGCATCTTTGGTGATGTATTAAACACAATAGGTTGATAGAATACACTTTTAGAATTCGGTCGTTCTTTACCGATGTCCAAGACGTCAGCCAAAATTTTCACTACTCTAAAATTGTAAAAAATTATCACACATCGATTTTAAATCAAGAATATTTATTTAGTTCACGTACTTTTCACTAGTTACAAATATGCCAGGTTCGTAAACTCTTTCTTCAATTTGTGATTGGCAGAAATTTTTTTTGTGATTGTTTTTGTAGTGCCCTAGAATCGAAATAGATTGTAACTACCTGGGAGTTTCAAAAAGTAGTAAAGTAATAAATAACAGTCGATCAAAAATAAAATTATTGAAAATATTTTTTTTAAACAGCTGTTAGATAATAAACAAATCAAAGTCAAAATAAAAAAAAGTTTTGATGATTTCTTTTGAATCCTTCGTGAATTATTATTGACATACGAGGGTATTAGTAAACGTACGTAGGTACACAGAAGATTTAATATTTTATACTTACTAAGAGCTTCCAAAGTTAAATAGCTGATGGTTAAATTGTCAAAGTCATAATTGAAACTAGTTTGTCGAGATTTTGGCGAACATACTGTAGATGATTTCCTCGAATTTACACTTTTGTCGCTCATAACAGAAGCAAGTGATAATCTTAAAAGTAATAAAATATAATGCCTTAAAATACCAAGCAATTTAAACAAAAATTAATTATTGTCGTCTATATTTTTATCCATTTTCAAACAAGAAAACTCGCCAGAGAATGTATTTTAAATATTAATAAAAAAAAATGTTCATTAACGATATAAATAAGGATGAGTCGGGAGAAACGGCACGAACTCCAATTTGTTTTAATAAATTTGTGAAATAATATGCTTTCCTGATTTCAAAAATATCTTATAAACTTTTCGAGTTATTAATTGTCAAATAAACAGGGTGTTTTCTAATTGAACGTCAGTATTTAAGTAGGCGGTTTTTGGAACCATTTTAGGAAAAAAACTTCATATGAACGTATGTTGTAAACGTCTTATCTTTTGAGATACAGGGTGGTACATTTTTTAAAAACAAATAATTTTTTAATATCTGTAATACCACCATAATAGGTATTTTTTATAAAATTTGATATACAGGTATTTCGTTTTTATTTCCACCAGTGGCGTTTCTGCGGAATCTGACTTACATATTTTGGCAGACATTGATAGATTTCTCTTTAAATAAAAATTATTTTTAAAATTCCCATTAATTTCTAAGCAAATTTGATCACTTCCAAACCTTGCAGGGTTTCGCTTAAAAAAACGAAAACGGTTTCTCTGCATGATCATAACAATATCGTTAATACTGACAATATCACCATGCAGAAAAATAGATTTTATTGTTTTAGGCGAAATACGTGCGTCGTACTAAAAAATTCAAGAGATCAAATCTGCTCATAAATAAAAAAAATATTTTTTAATTGTAAGAATAGTCAATGGCGTACCAATGATTGTCTGTAATAATATTTAGGACTATGTTAATTGGGTCACCACTGGTTAAAATCGAGATTTTTGTTTTGTGAAATATTTAGTAATATTATTGATTTTCTTATAGACTAGCCGGTAATTACAGGTTTTTAACATGTTCTAGCCAATTATCTAGGACTGTTCGCATGCAGAGGCGTCACTAAGCAAATTTGATTTTTTATTGAAACTGGATTATTTCGAACGATTTAGTAAATGCATGCAAATTGTTTTCTGTTAAAATTTGAACAAAATTATCCCACGGAAAATAATCTGCATACACCTCCTTCGTGTAGGAAGCCCCGAAATTATCAATTGAACATGTGAAAAAAACCTTATTTTTGTTGTTAAATGGACCACGAGAAGCTACTTTTCATAGTCTCGGCGTGTAATTACTCGGAACAAATGTATGTAGTTGGACTATGTGAAAACTATTGGATAAATATGAGCGAAAAAAAAAATTGCATACATTTCAGAAGTACCGTCAAACGGGGTGAAGTCGATCAAAAAAATAAGTTTTTTTTTTTTTTAAATACGGAAAAACTAATAACTGGATTTTGATGAAATTAAAAATATAACTTCCTTGATGCTTAAGTCATCGACTGGTGACTGGAGCAAGGTTGTAGATGGAGCAGCATTATTTTTATTTTGAAATAAAGGGCGATCGACTTCACCCCAAGGTCCGGGGTGAAGTCGATGACCCCTTTTAAAATCCATATTTCCTACTTCAGGACCGTCCAGGATGAAGTCGATCAGTGAATAATAAAGAAATATAAATATTTGCAAAATAATTTTGCAATAAAACGCATATTAAAAAAATATAAACGTTTATTCTTTGGACGAGCTTTACACAGCCATTGATTTCTTCACAACATAAACCTTAAATAAATGCATTATACTTAAAAATAAAAACATAAAAAACAAGACTAAAAACAGAATTATAAAAATTTATGAAATGAACGAAAGCATAAAAATCCCTTACTGCAGCGTTTTTAGTTCTTCTCTAAGGCTAAGGGAAAATAAATATTTGCCTCGCTTTACTAATTTTAAATTAGGTTATCGGATAATCTGTTCCCTGCTTATGACAGACTCATCCGAAACATTTGGAAAAGTGAAAAACACATATTTGTTTGATGGATGTTTACGCAGTGTGCTTACAACTATTTGAGTCCCTAAGATTTCAATAATTTTAGCGATATAAAATCGATCTCTCTTGTTTGTCTCATATTTTGTGATGATAAAGTCTCCTATATCCCAGTTGCCGCATGGATCAAAAGTGTTGGCTGCCGCAGCGAAACTTTCCCCAATTTCATAATCGTCTATGTTGATATTCTGTTCCTCCACCTCCAGTGTCTCTAAGTCATCTGCTCCCTCTTCGTCTTCGCTGTCGCTTGTTTGTCTCTCACGCGTTTTAGATTGCTTGCAACTCCTTTGGTTCTCTTCTTCCAAATCTTCTGTGCCTATGCTTTTGCCAGCGGCTATATTCAGTCTTTTTCCTCGCTTTGGGACATTATTTGACCCAGTCTTGAGCTACAGTCATTGAAGTTTATGCCTTGTTTCGTGCCTCCGGTGTAGTAGGCTCCTTTCTTTTTACCTTTGCAAGAACAGCATCGGGATTGAAAGGAACTAGGCCGCATGCTTTAAATCCAGCTAAAATATTATTCATTTCGCGATTCCCAAGCCGCTCTACCGCGGTTTTCAACATCCTGGAAAATACAGTTTTTGGTAAAATCTCCCTATTTTTCAGTTTTCATTCCTCCAGTACTCTTTTCCATGATGCTTTAAGTGTACGAAAATAAGCCACGTCCAGTGGCTGGAGCATGTGGGTTGAATTGGGGGGGGGAGTAAGACAAACTTAATATTGTTGTTTTCGCACTCTTGAATAACACTCATAGTAATGTGACTTTGCAAGTTATCTCCAATAAGCAGCTTGGTTCCTTCTAATTTTCGAAAATATGGGAGTGCTACGGTCCTGAACCAATCAGTAAATGATTCAGAATCAAATCATCCCTTTGGAGGCCTGTTGTACATTGCTCCTGATGATCCCCTCCTTCCATCCTTCATAAAGGTGTTTAGCTTTGTACACCGTATAAAAGGGGAGACGAGTTCCATTAGCAGCTATTGCAAACATAACTGTTGTGCTGCTTTTTGTGGTGTCAAGTGTCCTGTAGGCGTGTTTGCTTCCTTTCTTCATTACCACTTTTACAGCCCCGGGATCGTCAACGAAGTTTGTGTTGTCGTAGTTCACAACGTTTTGTGGTGGGATATCCCTTAAAATTTCCGCCACATTTCGGAAATATTCCTCAATAATCTCGTATGTTACAGCGGCTCTCACTCGCTTTGTATTCTCCGCAAGCTTGATTGTAAGCCGGGGATGTCTCTTCATCAGGCCGTTAAGCCAGCCTTCTCCTGGCATATTCTTGGTAAATCGCTTTTCAGTGATGCTGCGTTCATTTAAATATTGCTGCGTGATTCGCCTAATATCAATGGGCTTTAATGGGAAACCCCACTCAACAAGGTTTGCAAAACATTCACTAACAATGTTTAAGAATGTTCATCAAGAGCAGGTTGACCACCATATGTCAAGGGATGTGCCGCATGAAAGTGATCGTTCAGTGTCGTATATGGCACTGCAAAGCTTTCTGACGCACTGCATCCAGCGCTCTCTCTAAATACGCGGGGTTGTAGTTTCTTTTGACATAAGCACCCAGCTTCTTCACGTATTTTCGTGGCATCTATAAAAATAAGGAAAAAAATAATAACATACGATTTGTTCCCCCTCTGCCCGACACCCCTCATATGCTAGCAAACGAAATTCACATGAGAAAATAAAATGATGTGATAATATTCAAGTATATTTATTTGCATACGATTGCGGTATGTACAACGCTGTATACCTACTCGTCAATATACCTCTATGATTCTTATAGATTTTGTATGACGTCAGCAGTAATATACATGTTTGCACCGAATTAGTTTTAATTTTAATACATGCTGCGCCATCTCTCACATTGACTATCAAGTTCCGACTCCGCGAGTACCGTGAGGGATGTGACGATATGGGGTGCGAAGTGCAACCAAGAAAAGAGTCGAGAAACTTATCTCGAAAGCGACGAAAGCGAAATCCCGGTGCCAGTCTGCACCACTTTATTATTTTTAATAAATCTATAGTTCAAAGTAATTTCTAGTATTTAATTTAAAAGGGATAAAAAATCCCGAAAATTCGAAAAATAGATTCGGTTTTTATCGAATTTGTGATATAATTTAAATATTATTTTGTATTGTTACATTGTGGAGTTACATTATGGAGTTAAACCCAAATGCGACATCATCGTCTCACTGGGAAAACATGCCACTGTATTTCAAGCTGAAATACATGCAATCGAATTGTGTGTACAAGAGAATTTAAGAAGGAAGTACAAAAAATAAACCATCCTAATTCTCTCAGATAGCCAGGCAGCTTTAAAGGCTCTTGATTCAAACAGAATTAAGTCAAAGCTTGTCTGGAACTGCCTTGGAATACTAAATGATCTGGCAACCCACAACAAGGTAAAACTGGCGTGGGTACCAGGGCACAAAGGTATCCAAGGAAATGAAAAGGCTGATGAACTCGTCAAAGAGGGATCAGATCTACCATTCACAGGACCCGAACCTGTATTTGGGATAAGCAAAACCTCTGCTCGACAGGCAGTGAACAGGTGGATAACCATAAAACACCAAATTCACTGGCAACAGATAAGAGGGCACATAATCAGTAAGCTCATGCTAAGGGGACCAAACCCACGCATGGCTACACTGAGGCACTACAACTCGCAAGGCCTCAAATATCCACCATTGTGGGATTACTAACGGGACACTGCTTGCTGAAACACCTTCATGTAATGGGATTACACAATGATCCCTCTACGTGTAGACTTTGCATGGAAGAGGAAGAAACCTCATACCATCATGTGATCTTCGAATGCGAAGCTCTTACTGGGCGACGTTTAATTCTTTTCGGCCTAGAACCGGAAAGAACGCCCCAGGAACACTTGGTAGGAAACCTATTAAAACTAACCAAAGACACAGGACTATTACAAAGATAGTACCTGAATACGGGGAAAGCAGGGGAATACAATAGACCTAAGAGGCCGCAGTGTTCTGGGCCAAACCTAACCCTACCTGCTTACAACCGATAAAGATAAAGATTGTTACATTGTTATATTTTTTGAATATTTGAATTTTGTCATGCACTGCTTATGACAGGTAAACTTTAAACTTCTCGTTCTCTCTGCGCTTTATGATGTGTTATCATTGTATAAAGGTGTTATGTTTCATTACATAGGGCCAGGCGCCACTAAAATACCCAGTTACACCAATGAACTGGAGTGGGGTAGAAAGCCAATGTGCATATTGTATCAATAGAACATGATGCGACTCTATGGGCGCAGCCATTTTTATTTCTCATCTCACTCGGGAGTATTTATAATAACCATTTTCTGTTTCATATTGTTATTGTTCAATCCACAAGCTGGTGGATCAGACAATAACAAAGTGAAATAGAAAATGGTTGTTATAAATACTCCCGAGTGAGATGAAAAATAACCTGTCTTCGCCCATAGAGTCGCATCTCAAGCCTTCTACCACACTCAAGTTCATTGAGTTACACGCAGGCAACGTAGGCAACCAATAAAGCAAATTTTATGTCGGTGTCGCCAGTATTATTAGGGAGTTTTAGCAAACAGCCGCTAACCATCCGCTAACGTTACCTTAGGGATAGACTGTAATCTACTCCGTTCAATGTTTATGAAAAAGGTCACAATCTAAGTTTAACGTAACGTTAGCGGAAATCTTACGTACATTTGCTAAAACTCTCTAATGTTTTGTTTGTATTATTTTTAAATTATATCAGCTGTGACTTCGTGTGTGACAAAACATTAATTTGTATGTTTCAAAATGAGTGTTGGTATTTTTAAGTGTTTCCAATGTATAGGTATATAGAATCTCATTGATTCTACTTTTGTTCTTAATATAATTAATAATTAGGTATTATAATAATAGAGTTTATCTTTTTTTTTTTAAATCTAAGGTTAGAAATTTGTTTATAAAAATAATTGAATAACCTATGAAATAATCATATATCCTTAATACTAAAATATTAATTACTAATAATAGTTTTTAATAATATTTCTATCAGTAATATAATTATATATAGTATCTATGTTCTTTAATTGATATCTAACATAATGTTATGTAATTAATACAGATTTTTTTACAAAGTTTTTATGTATATTGTTTTTATTTGAAATTTAAAATTTTTCTTATTGCGAGCAAATCGGACCTCTCGCACAAGAATTTTTTTTAAGGATTTTCTAATACAACATTGCATATATATGCACGCCACTGGGAATACTTCGTGATATTATGTGTCTTGAGAATATTAAGAGCTTTAAATTTATGCAACGATAAGGCAGCACTCCACAGAGACGTTAAAGAAAAAGAAAAAAAGGTGTGAAATCCTCTCATTTACAAACTATTACGAGTAGATATTTATTAAATACAAAAAGCAGCAAATTTTCATAGATTTAATACAGAATGGCGCGTATATGTTTTTTAATTCCTTTTAAAAATTTGAAAAACAAATACCCTTGAAGATTCATAAAAAATTCAAGGTTTATCCATCCTAAGTTTTGTTATTATTGATATTTCCTAAAAATTTCACAAAAGTCGGACTAAAAACAAAGGCTCAGAAGGAATTATTAATTTTCAAGCTGTTTGCTCTTAAATTATATTCTATATCAGCTGTATAAAACATATATTATAATGATTATTATAAAGAATATCCTGATTACATGTAAGATTCAGATCCAGATTTTTAGCCAACAATAAAACAATTAATTTTTACACACTTATGTATGTATATCATTCTTTGCTGAATTTTTTAAATTACCTGTATAAATAATAAAAATAAAATCAAAGAGCTGTCTGAATTTTCGCCTAAAAAAATAAAATTTGTTTTTTTAAAGGAAACTGTGCATGCGACTGAAAAAAATCAAGTGATCAAGTTTGCTTAGAAATGAATAGGGATTTCAAAAATGATTTTTATTTTAAGTGAAATCAGTCTGCAGGTCAGATTTCACACAAATACCACTGGTGAAAATAAAAATAAATGTGGCACATCAAAAAATGCCTCTTGATGCATAGTGTACACCAAATTTCATTAAAATATCCAGAGTAGTATTACAGATATTATTAAAAAATTATTTATTTTTAAAAACTTTATCACACTGTATCTCAAAAGTTAAGATGTTTAGGACATTTTTAAAATGGACCCAAAAATTTATTATTGACATTCAATTAGAAAATATCCTGTATTAGTTAATGTAGTTACTGTAAATATGAAAAACTTAACATCGTTAAAGTAAGCAGTGAAAATGGCAACTATGGCAAATGGTTTACAGTAAGGAAGAAAAAGTATAGATATTTACTTAAACTATGATATTCCACATATTATGTAATTTTTAAATCAGAAAAAAATAAAAACATAAAGGGTGTCCCATTGAAAAAAATATTATTTTTGTTGCACGTTGTAACCCGTTATATCTGCATTCCAAGATGATAAAGGGTAAGAAATGTATGACGAATAACTCTGTATATATAATTTTACCGTTCTGCTTGTTGATAACTAAGTAAATTTTCCAAAGAATTACTCCTCATTGAATTAGTAGCTTCATCAAAATCTAATAAAATTGTTAATCTTCTAACATCATCTTCCGGCAGTTCAAATTCTTCTCTTTTAAATACGTTATTGTCATTTAGGCTTACATTACTGTTTAGAGCTTCTTCGTATAAACTGAAAATAAAATTTTAATTAAAAAAAGTAGAAATCAAGTTTTAGTACACGATTTTTTAGTAGTGAATTTTTAAACACGAAAGAATAACTCAAATGTCGAAAAGGAAAAATTATTATTTTTATCCATTCACAATGTTTTTTCGTCACAAATATCATAATATTATACAGTAAACTTATTTGAACAGGACATTTATTAAAATAAAATATAAAAATATATAAGGCAAAGCATAAAAGAAATATAGACAGCAAGAAGCCTAATTCTTTCAAAAATTAAAAAAATGCTTTTACATGATTCTTAAACTAGGCAAAAAACATACATAAATCATACATGTTTATAAACAAACTACAAGTGAGGTTTTTGAAAAGAACAGAAATAGTTATAGCAAGATAGTAACTAACACACCTCTCATTGATGGCCTAAATATACAATCTCTGCTGCTATAATCAAACGGATTTTATTATAATTATCACAGGGAATAAATTTAATTGAACTTGATTTTTAATAACGAAACCATTTTTAAGCTATTGCATAGCTTTTATCGCGGGCTTTGAGTGGCGACCGAATCAAGAAATTTCGAAACACCGCAATCAAAAAACCTAACACCCCCACTCCGACCGGCACAGCGGTTTTATCCACATCCCCAACTAGCCATTCATAAAAGTGTATTTGTTGTGAAGTTCTCATCATCATCTTATAGTCCAGGAGACAGTGACGATTTTCGGTATTTATTTTCCCAGTCAGCAAGCACGAATAGAGAATTGTAGGATTAGCAATTCTAAGCAAAATTCATATATTATATTTAGAGGGGGGATCCGATGGGCTGAGGCCGAAAATGCGTCAAAACATATGAGAACACGGCCCTTTTTTTCCATTGATAAAAATAGTTTTAGTAGTAAGAGATGTACTGAAGTTAAGTAAAAAAATAGTCTGATTAATCTGTATGGATAATATATTTGGCAAGTGCATAAAATACACTTTCAAACGAGTTATGTACACAATTATTTCTACGACCCTAATTATTTAAAGAATGTTCCAGGTGTTTTGTATATTAAAGTGTACGCATAGGACACATAAATAAAATCTTATATCACAATGTTTCACCTTCATTTATAGAAATTAAACATAATAATTGAAGATATTACAGAAGAAAGTAGGAAAATAAATTACATTTCCTTTTACACTTTTATATAATAATTGTTTTATTTAGAATTCACGAATTACTTATTACTCTACATTAATTATAATTATTGTTAGTTTCGTTATGTCAAATCATTTATACTAGAGGTGTGAGGAAAATACAGTGAACTGTGGAACGCCAATATCGTTGGATGCGCGTGGTAGAAATGGTCCTATAATACTGCTAAAAACATAGCTAAATTTTCATGGAAACACTGTACTTTTGACATTTGCGATACTCAGACGCATATGCATTATTGATGTAATCTCATGATTTTACAGTAATAGTTTTTGCAATTTTAGTGTGATTTTTAGGTTATTATGGTTATTCATTTTATTTGGTTCTGATCTTTTGCGCTTTTAGAGTATTTGTCTTTTATATAGTTTTTAATTTGAATTTTAATATTGTGGTCTATTTATATTTGATTGCTGCTTTTCGACTAGTGCTTTATTCTTTTTGTGTTAAAATAAGCTTTATAACCATTAAGTACATGCTTCTAGTTGATATCTACCTAATCGTCATCGGGTGCTTGCAACAATGGGAAAAAGTGTATGGTTTTTTTGGTGTAAAGTTAGACGCCTTCATTTTTCAGGTAAGTTATTTGTAGTCATTTTTTACTTAAAAGGATAGTAATACGTCCTGGTTCGGGGTGTGACTTTTGGGTTTTAGCTATCTGAGCCAAATTGTCGGCTAAGTGTCCTCTTTTAGGGCACCCAGAACCGAAAACTATATAGGTATATAATATGTTTTTTTTAAATTATTTTTTAATATGTATGCAGCTTGGATGAGGGCTTTAGGAAGAGATCCTAAGACTGAACACTGACTGCTATAAATGCCGTTTTTAGAGCACATTTCATAGTAAGTGATTTCATTCTAGCAGCAATGAGGAAACGTTTAAAAAACATGTAATAGAAATATATGATACTTTGTATTGACTAACCTACTGGCCACTGGTCATTCCGCTTTTACTACCTTTTTTCATAAAGAATCAAATTATTTAAAAACAAATACATACCTAGCTATTTTCTGTAAATTACATTAAAATTTTAGTATTAATACTTTACTAATAAAACTTCAGTTAATTTATCTTATATATATATACACAACGGAAGAGTTAATTGGATTTTCTCCTTGTTGAGTTTCAAAAATAGTAATTTAACATAATTTAAAAACAAATACATGAAATGGGCAAAATAGGCCTGCAAAGGCACTTTGTAAACAATCTCACTTGTATCGATGTGACGTAATGCGCGAATTCAATCTGGCTTACTTTTGTTAATAGATTGGCGTTCCATTTTAAATATACAGTTCACCGGGAATAGATTATTTAAATATACACGGACCGGGAAAACAAGTACGAAAAAATTCACTGGCTCCTGGACTAGTACTGTATCGAAGGAATTTTTATGAATGAAACAATATACGACCCTCCACAATTGCGGTCTACTCTACTTCCGCTGTTGTCAGACATTATTTTTTTTTTGACAATTTAAAGACCTAACAGTAATTCAAGCAAACGCAATAACATTACTACAGTTAAAAACATCACAAACTTGGCATCAATATTTTAATTTTATCCAAATATTGCATTTCTGTCGAGGATCATCCGCGTTGACTTCAAAAATTGTGTAATCTGTATTGGTTATATATATATATATATATCTATAGTTAAAAGCACGTAAACTTGGCATCAATGTTCAATCCGATTATTGAGTTTCTACCGCGGACACCACCGTTCATTCTTCAAAAATTTTGTAAATAATCCTATCTGTCTTGGTTATATATCTATGGTTTTATCCGACCCTATTCTTACTAGTATGAAGCGGAGTTAAATATACGTCTGCGGACTGGAACGCTTATGCAATACAAGAACTAGAAGTTAAGTAATAATGATACTTTTATAGTTTTTAAATCATATATTTATGTGATTCCATTAAATTATAATGTAGGTATCATTTGACATGATAAAATTTTGTTTCCAATTTATTTTTGTTTAATTAAAAAGTAATAATTCGTAAATATTTGTAATTAAATGTTATATATTAGTATAAACGATTCCAAACTTATATCAAAATGTGCTCGGTGGCGCAGAGCGTACAGTGGTCAAAATTTGGATAGTGTGGATAGCAAAGTTGGTGGTTCGAGCCCTGAAACTTTTTTTTTTTCCTTAAACAGAAGGAAAAATATTATTGTTTTATTATTTCACAGTCTTGGTAATTTAAAATGTTAAGTTTTTAAAAAGTATATACTTATTCAATGCATAGTGGCGTATAACGAGGTTCATTCAAGTTCAGCTAATTTTAAAAATGCAAGGTACCAGTGGAGATTTAAATTCAAAAAGATAAACAAAATGGAAATATATTTTTTGTACAACAATATTAACTTCTCATTTATTCAATAAAAGAAAAAAAAATGTTTTCTTATCGGTCACCACGCTCAAAAAGTGTAACTTGAATTAATATCAAAGAAAAAACTTGAATTAATATCAAAGAAAAAATAATGCATAAATAAAAGTTGATAAAAAATGCTATGCAGTAGCTTTACCGCGGCAGTCCCCGAGTGTCACACGTATTTTTTTTTTCATGTTCTCGTCTGTCTTAGTCTCATTGTGTTTTGCCCCGTTCGTTCACTCTGTCACCTTTGTTCCTAGTACAAATTTCTATAGGCCTTTGATTGAGTGTGTTAATAATCTGAGGACATACGTCCCTCAATTAAACATATTATACCTAAATTGTTTCTGTAAATAAATGAACACCTGGGCCTAATGGGCGACTTTACATTCCAACGAACACATTTTTATCTCTTAAGTAACAAATACCCTCTCGCTCTAGATAATATGTCACTGTTCAAATGAATTCATATTCAAATAAACTCTGGAGGAAGTGGCAGATCTAACGCCTAACCCGCGAGTGTCGAGTCGATCTCCAGTAGGACCACTACGATAAACATATCACCAAGGATAAACCCACTTACCTGTCGAGCAATTCATGTTTAGAGAGGAACACTCTACCGAACTGCAAGTCCTGAGGCTAGTCGAAGGTATAACAAGAGGATTCAACAGAAATCAGTCAACAGGCACCATACTCTTGGATGTCGCTAAGGCATTTATCAGACTATGGCACGCTGGACTGATATACAAGATGGAGAAACAAATGTACACTGCAGGGATGACAAGGCTGCTCAGGTCGTACTTCGGTAGAAGGCAATTCTAATTCAAGACGGAACACATCCTATCTAGGCCAGAAATTCCGGAAGCAAGGGTATCCCAAGGGGCGATTTTGTCACCACTGCTGTATACCATATTCTCAGCGGATATACCCAAGACTGAACGTACTACCATGTACATCTATCTAGACGACACAGGGATATCAGTAACGAACACACATCCTGGACTAATATCAAGATATCTACAAAACGCAGCGGATGAGGTGGAAGAATGGTGCAGAAAGTGGAAAATCTAGATCTATCCCGAAGAAACCTAAGCTGCGCTGTTTAAGAAAAGATTGCACCAACAAGGAGAATAAATTACGTCCCATGAACACAATCCACAAAATAGGAGTAATGCTGGACCAAAAACTAACATTCACCAACCACGTAAACATGGTAGCAAAGAAGATAAAACAAGCCAGGGCAAGGATGAACTGCCTGATAGGAAAGAGAATCAAACTGCTGCTGAAAACCAAACTAAGACTAATTCAATCAGTAATAATACCAATAGTTGTATTCCTCCACGGCCTGAGGATACACCTGCAAGACCAACAGGAAGAAGATACAAACGCAACAAAATATCAGCCTACGATGGGCCGCAAACACCTATAGATATATCAGAAACGACGCTACATATTTAGGGATCTGGTTTCCACGAGGGTTCTAGACCTAATACATAAGAAGGCAACAGACACCTCTGAAAAATTAAGACTGCACCCCAATATGGAATTGATAGAACTCGCCGAGTACTAGAGAGCTGATTATAGAAGACACGCCAGGCCACACAAACTGCTGGAAGATGGTAGAAAGTGACCACATAACGGAAGGTGCAAAAATAGGATTTCTCAATATTTTATGATTCTCTTTCAGCATTCTCTTTCAGAATACTTACAAACGCGAAACAGTCAAGGACTGTAAAACAGACGACTATTTTCCTGGGTGGAGGTCCTTTTAGTCGCCAACGGAGACCAGGAGAACTTTTACAGGCGGCGACTTAACAGATCACATACACATAAGATACACAAATAGACGACGTCCCAGGGGAATGCCTTCTACAGCGCCCTATCTAAATGACGATAATATGTCATGCTTCAAAGCCCTTTTAGAAAAAATGGCAATAATGGCATACTAATCAAATGATTTTGAACTTGAGGCCCCTTCAGGTTAAGAAACGAATAAATGTCATAGAAGTAATTTTTTAATTGGTCCCAGACAACGGTCGCAAATTTCACATTAGGCATTCCAACGACCTGTCAAACAATAGGTGCCAGTGGGAAATTCTTGTATATCTAAGGGGGTAGCGACATAGTCTTGCAACTTGGACACTATTTTTATTCGAAGTAGTAGTCGCCAAGCCTGCCAATTTATGAAGAAATGTTTAGGTGGGTTTTTTAAATATTATTTGTATTGTGTTTGACATAAAATATTTAAGTATAATCCATTATTCATGATTTTACGTAAAGTAGATAGAATACACCGTATGTCGCCACCCTTAGATATACCAAACCTTCCCACTGGCAATTAATTTGTTTGGAATGCCTAATTGTGATCTGAAATGTGTGTCTGAAATGTCACTGTCAAATTAAAGTAAATATGGTTGATTGATGTCAGAAATACTTTTTTCTTGCTTTTGAAATCGACTTTTTGAGAATAACTATGATCTTTTTAAAATGGATATTAAATATTTTAGAAAATTGTTAATGGAATATCCAGATGTAGCCAGGTTAGTATAAAATATAAAGATCTGTTTACATTTTTAAGGATATATTTGTTATAGGTATAAAAAGTAAAAGTTAATCAGTGAATGACAAGTGGATCACACAGTAACTGGTATCTCTTCTATGAGTAATGTGGATATTATGGCTTATTTAGTGTTAACCCATGGTTAATGCGCTAGAGGGCAAATAAAGGCATTCAAAAGTTTACAGGCCTATGAGTCAGAATTTGTTTTGAAAACTGGAACCAACATTTTCATAACACTACATGTCAACACATATTTTTTAAAGTGAACTATTCATACATACCTATGTATTAATTTTAAGTATTTTTAAAATATTTTTTGTGAAAGTAATGTTAACTCATTGTGCCAAATTAAGATTATCCCTAAAGTAGTAGATGGTGTTTTAAATGTTATAACAATTTTGTAAATAGTTTTATTCTATTCTAATAAATAAAATGTGCTTGAATATTTAGTTACATTTTAATCATTTTGATTAGAAATTCATCAATTTTTAGTTTTAAAAAATCAGTAATAAAATTATTTTTTTCTAAAATACTTCGGAATTCATCTCTTCATGGTAATCTCTCATCTTTTTACCTTCAAAAACCAATAATGCATTTTCTACAAAACCTTCAGAATCAGCATGTAAAATAATAAGGTGTCTTCCCTTTCTTGTAAGGCTTTTCAGGAATTGCTACCTTTAATAGTACTCAGTGTAGAAGGATCCATAATTGTAGATTTTCAATACAATTGCTTACTGAACTGAAGAACTATTATTTACGAAATAAAGTAAAAAACTAAGTAATGGATGAGATATCAAATTATAATATGTCAGAACTGTCAACAATTTTTTTTTTTGGTGTGTCATCGGCTTCAACTGCTAAGGTTATTTCGCCTCGTGTTCTGTGTAGGCTTTGTTACTGTTTCCCAGCGCCACTTTAAGAACAGCACTGTTAATTAGAACCCAACAGTGAATGGTCGAGAGGGGAATCCTACCAAGGCATCAGAATTAATTTTAAATAATTAAATTAAGTGAAAAAATTCCGGCCAACGGTGGGATTCGAACCTGGGACCCTTGGATCCACAGGCAGAGACAACAATATCAATTATTAGCTGATGTCACATACTTTGATTACTACACTGAGATCAGTGGATTACTATACGAGGCAAGAGAGAGGTCCGACACGCCCAACATAGGGCGCGGCCATTTTGAACCCTGTGACACAGTTTACAGCTAAAGAATCACATCGCTCACTCTGAGTCGGCACTTCTGATCTCAATGTTTCAGTTTATACACTGTGCAACTCGGATAATACAATATATGACAACCGCCTATAATAAAACAGCAGTCTTCTGCGTATCCTGAATTTGTATCCCTGGAGTGGATGTAATTTTGGAACTTTCAACTAGTCCGAGTGAGCTAACTGATTCTTTAGCAATAAACTGTGACTTCAAAAATAATATTCACTGACACTGACAGCAGCAAGCAAAATATCAGGTGCGTTTTAATCATCCGCTTCTGCTTCCGGAATTGTTGGTTTAGTCGTTTTAACCTGTCAGATTAAAACAAGAAAACCGACAATTCCGAAGCAGAAGCGGATGATTAAAACGCACCTATTAAAAATATTGCGCCAAGATGTAGGCAACACGTAATAAGGGTTCAAAATGGCGGAGTTTTCTATCTCCTTTTAAAAGGCACTCAGAAAGCTGCGCAGTGCGACCATTCTCCGTATAGTAAAAGAAAATCAAAGTATGTGGCTGATGTTCATGCTAAAAAGTAATGTGTGAAACTGACTGTAATCTGACCAATCAGAAGGCTACAGAATTGCCAACTTAAATTCAAATCGCTTCTCTTAGTTTAAAAACAGAGTATAATAGTTCATTAACGGACGAACTAGGATGTACTCCTCTAGTTTCACTTTTTGCACTAGTTGCATAAATAACTATTATTTTACTTGTAATAAAAATTTTAAATTACAAAATTATGTTGCTATTTTTATTTACTTCCCACTGAATGTTTTGCAAATCTAAAGTCGAAAAATATATGTAATGTTATTTTAGTTTAGTTATTTAGGTAATATACAAATGTTTAAATCATTAAAATTTAACTTTTTAATGCAATAAATGTTTTTTGTTGGGAAACTGCTTTAATTCTTATTTAAATAAGAGCCTAAGCCACTGGTATATCGATCTGGAGTAACGGAGAAGGAATATTTTAAATTGAGGCAGACGATGACTAGTTGATGACGCCCGTGGCTTTTTCTAAGTTGAATCGTACTCTATTTATTAATCATTTTGTATAATTGTGTTTACACTTGTCAAAAGTATCCTATTTCATATATGGCTACCCTCAGTATCAAAGTGACCTTGTTATAATAATGTAGCAATAAATATTCCAAAACTACTTTTACGAGTACTTACTTACCTACATTATCAGTGTTACAAAAAATTAAACAATCTGTTTTTTATTTGAATGAAATGATTATTTGCTAAAGTGATAAAAGTATGAAAAGATAATAAATGACACATCTATTTACCTTAAAATGTAGGTTTGTATAACATACAATTCATGCTCCATTTTCTTATCAAATCCACCAGGTGCTATTATGTGCTTGTAAATATCTTCTCGGTTTTGGGTTAAATTCATTTCTTTTATCAGTTGTTTTTTCTGTTCCCCTTTACAACATTTTATAATCGTGTTGATTAGTAAAAGAACCCCATATTGCAATTTTTTGCCATTTGCGTGGCGAATGTAGGGCGTGAGACATGTTATAGGAACTGTTTCTATAATCTGCAAAATAGTATTAGTATTGTGACTTTCGCCGAGCTTACACAGCCTCGACTGTGGCAAGCTTCTGGGCTCGACAATAAAGTTCGCCTTTTACTGTCCTAGATTGGTGCTGCATGTATTGCTATCTCGGTTATTATAAGAGCTACATAATCAATTAAATGTTTCTCAGGATTATATTATAATTTTAAAACTGTTATTACATTTTATCAATTATCGCGAAAAACCAAAATGGTGCATACGGCAGCAAAAGAATATCTCTTACCATTTTCGAGATAATGACTACAACTTTGTTTTTTCATATTCACGTCATATTATATTTGTATTGCATTAAATAGAATTTTTTATTCCCTTTTCAAAAATTCATCACAACATGGTATTTTCTTTCAAACGAATGCTGAAATAACCAAATTTTGTTGCTGGTCTTGGTGCAGTCTAGTAGGCGAGCCAACAATTTGTTTAACTTAAAATTCGTTAATTATTGCTTCTTTTTGGTTTAATTTGTTATTATTTGGTTTACGTCAGTGGTGTCTCGTGGTTAAAGACATTGGCTATTCTGCAAGATTCTGCCTCCCGCCCCCAAATAAAAACCTATTATTTTACAGCTTTTATTTAGCTACTTTTTAGCAACAAACTTATGCTCATACGCGTATTTAAAAATATATTTTTTTATTATAACTTATAAACTACATCTATGTCTTTCATGTACAATGGAAACGCGCGCTGGCGAATTAAAACAAACTATATAATAATCTACAAATCCTAAATCGAATCGGTAAATCTAAAATGGTAATAGAATCCTGAGAAACACTGTCCATATAATCGATTGTGTAGCTCTTATAATAACCGAGATAGCGATACATGAGCACAGTGTAATTTTTTCTTTAACCGTCAAAATTAAAAATAAAACTAAAATATTTTTATACAATATACGAACAAAAAAATTAAACATAACATAGGTACTATATTCGAAATTAAATTAGCAGAGCAAAGTAAATCATATAACTGCAACCGAGAAACATAAAGGGTTAGTAACATATTCTTACTTTTTCTTTCCAATGAATAAATTCCTGATTTTTAATCACTAAAATTTTCTGCAAAATTGACAAGGCATATTGAATGTGATCTACCACAAAGTTTTCGCATTTACTTTTGAGTATATCTATCGTTTTCTGTAAGAGTTCTATGGGCATGTCAGATATAAATCCTAGTTGAAAAAGGTGACATATTGTGGCTAATAAAGCCAAAAGTTCTTTTTCTCGTAGAGTGTTGTCATTTATGAATATCTCAAGTAATTTGGAATGTTTTTCTGTCTCCACTAAAATAGAAGTTATGCAAAATTAACACAATAATAATTATTGTAGCACAATCTATGCGGACCATATCTATAATTTTGCGCAAATTACTTACAATTTTTGTACGCTATTCGCGATTTTTGTTCATTTATGTATATTTTTTAATTAAATATTGTGCTACCTTAAATATCAAGATGCACAACTCTATTATTTTTTATGCAATTTTAATTTTGTACGTTTTTTGTTTAAATTATGTGTAACATAAAAACACAATTTGGTCAAATAGTTTTTCGACAATTTTTTAACAAATTACGAAAGAAAAATACTTTTTAATTGTTACTTAAACTATACTAAGACTACTAAGAAGAAATTATTTGAAATTAAGAAAAACACTACATTTGAGCAAACAATATAGAAACCATTGGCAATTATGTATTTACCTTTGGATTTAAAAATGCGGATTTGTTATAGACAACAGTATGGGGACATAATTGAAGGCATTTCCATAAAACATTAAATGTTATTCACCATGGTGGACGGAAAGGTGTGTAACGCCGCAACACATACCAAATCCACGATGAGGTGCTACATATATGATGCTACTTCATCAGAGTTTATTGACTTAACAAAAAAGAGGGCATTCGAGGAAGAAAATTTAAATTTTGGTCTTTCCCTTCTACATGCTCGCATACGTTTTTTCGAGAATATATTACATGTTGTAAAAAAATGGAATGCCCGCCTTTCTGCTGAGGAGAAACAATTGGTGAATAGTAGAAAAAAAGAAATTCAGAATGAATTCAGACAACAACTTGGGCTTTTAGTCGATATCCCTAAAGCAAATTTTGGGAACACCAATGATGGGAATACCAGCAGAAGATTTTTTGAGGATTATAAAATATCGGCGACAATAAAAGGAATTGATAAAAATTTAATATATCGGCTCAAAATAATTTTGGATGCATTTTGTTGCGGATATAAAATAAATGTAGCTGAATTTGAAAAATATTGCCAAGAAACGGCTGAACTATACATGTCTCTATATGGTTTTTACCCCATGTTCCCTACACTGCATAAGGTTGTTCGTCATGGAGCAGATGTCATACAAAAAGCTATTTTTCCAATAGGCCAACTATCAGAAGAAGTTCTGTCGCAATTTAATAAATTATAATAAAATGGAAAGATTCGGTGTTTTTGATAAAAATTCCATAGAAAAGGCTGTAAAATCTTTGGTAGGTACCCACGAATACGGTGCGAAGTAAAAATAGTATCTGGACTCAATTTACCCAATTTTGTACAGTGCGTAAGCATACATTAGATGCACATACATCAGAAGGTGAATTAAACAATATTTTGAAAGACTGGGCATGGAATATCACAATGGAGAAGGATATAAAGAATACACATTAAAATGTATGTGGAATTCCACAGCTAAAAGTTTGCAAGAATTATATTTTAAGCTTGTTCAGTGGTATAAAAATCAACCAGTCGGTAAAAATGAGTTGTCAAAATGGACAAAAATAGGAGCAGAATCGATCGGTGTGAATTCCAAAAAAGTAAAAATTTCCAATCATTCGTGCCGCTCAACTGCCGTTTCACAATTAGCCAAATTTGGAGTTTCTGAACAAGAATTAATCAAAATCACAGGACACGGAAGTTCATCGTCAATCAAGCCATATTTACAAATGGATGAACAGCAACACCAAAATATTATAAATAAAATGAGAAGTTTTGATGAAAATACTGTAAATGTAGCAACATCATCTAATTATGTTATTAATCACGCAAATTCCGTACCTTCAGGATCAAGAGAAGAGCGGCTGCAGAAAAGTCAATATTTAAACAACCAAATAGGCGCAAATTGTGTTTTTAGCTTTAATTAATATTCTATTGTTCTATTATTTTAGTTGTATTCCTAATGTTTGTGTTCTGTTAATAAAGTATTTCTAATTTACTTATCCGAAATTAAATTAATTTTCACGGGAAATAATCTTCAAAAATATAACACGACCTTGATTAATACTCTGCTATTTTTGTTGTTGCTAAATTTCTTGAATATTTTACAATTTGATTTGACATGATTTTGGCATTAATAATCAATTGACTAAAGCCCTCGAGCTAATGCCAAAATTATGTCTCATCAAATTGATATTAAAATATTCTCGAAATTTAGACGCAACAAAAATAGCCGACTATTTATCAAGGTCTTGGTATATTACCCTTGAATATCAGTGAATATAGTAATAGTAGTAGTGACAAATAAATGCTTTGATATCGAAATGAGTCTTTATTTTTACCATTTTATAGTATACAATCCCAATAAAACGTAGTAATATAGTAGTTAGAGGTATACAATATTTTTGGCCAGGTTTTGGGTCTAAATACCACACTGTGCGTTCAGGGCCGCTGAGAGCCAGGCCGGGCCTCAGGACAATTCTCTAGATCGGGCCCCGTGATAAAAAAAGTCCTCAGCCGAAACTTAACTTCCCACTCTCATCTTGTGTCGAATTTCTCAAGCAGAACAAAACATGCTGTTGTCGGGCCCCCCTTACAGCGCTACCGGGCCCCCATTTAAGCCCGGGCCCCGGAATTAGTCCCGGCTACCCTCCCTCTAGACGGCCCTGTGTGCGTTGTTTATTTAAATATTTCAAAATGATTTATGGTAACTGATACATTTAATTTTGGTTATCATGCAGCCTTGGCTAACTCATTAGCAAGGACAAGAACTAGAAGATATCTTATACCACAGATTAACCACAAACCTTGGATTTGTTAGAAATGTGTTAATATTTAATAAAGATTTTAGATATTACATTATTTCATAGTTATAAACAAGACCGAATTTAATAAATAATCTTACAACTATAGGTTTAGCATTTTAATATTTAAGTAAATTAACAACTTTATAATCTTCTTACCTAATTCTTCAATAAAAATTGGATCTAACGCCAATTTTAATAAGGCTTCGTAAGATAGAACCCTCTCTAAACTACATGCGGGTTCATTTATATGAGGAAGTATTCTGTGATTCAACAAATAACTAATTGAAAATACTATCTTCAGACAATCATTATGTTGTACATCATGGTAATTCTTATCTGACAAATACGTGTCTATGGAAGGGTTGTTAATATTGATGCGTTTTAGACCGTATACTGTTGAAATTGGCTGAAAAACAAGAAGTATTTATAAATTGGTTGGACCCCTAAGCCTGAAATAGTTCGCATTTCTTAAAACCAAGAATTTTTAGCCGAAAAACAGCAGAAAGATTGATAAGAAAAGGAAAAGACAGTCGGGATTTCCGAAAGAAAATTAGCGTGTGAATATAGTACTTAAAAGTGACTTAAATATACCCCAAATCAATTAGCACGGATACCAAGATGTTGTCTTCTACTAAGAAAGATACATTTCGCATATAAGGGAGTCATTAGGCTCGTTTTGGTTCTTTCAAGAATTAATTCAGAATGAGTGAATTACACTCATTCAACTGAATAGGTTATTATCGCGACATATTCTTGAAAAATAAATTCTTTAACTGTATTTGAGAACTGCAATTGATGATTCTGTTTGAACCAAAATAAAACCAATATTTTGTTATGGACAATAACAAATACTTTACACTTGCTAACTCGTAAATCAAAGAAAACTATGGTTCTTATACGAACAATGTAGAAGAGTGCCCAAACAACATGAACTATAAAGAAGAAACGAAATTAGCTGATAAAGTTCTGGTCTGGTGTGCAATTTCGACTAGAGGGATAGCAAGATCTTATGTAAATCGAGTAAAAAGGAAGCTGCCTACCAAAACAATACTAGTAGCATTTTCAAAAAATTGAGAACTTGATCTCAAAACCGTCAAATTAGACGGGATAGATATAGAATGGAAAAAAGAAGTCAAATATCTACGCCTAGTCTTTTCTGTAATATACATAAGAAGAAATTAGTAAATGAGGCCATGAAAGCAACAATGATATGCAGGAACATTGCGGGAAAAAGATGGGGATATAAGTATGCGATGGATTTATACTATACAGCAATAGAAAGACCAATTATCACTTATAGGGCTTTTAGCCTGTAGTAATAGAACTTGTAGTACAAACACTAGCTTGTGTTTACATCACCGGTACAATGAGAATCCATCTATATTTAATGGTAGAGAACGTAGCAAAAAGGACAAGATATAGAATGATCAGAAGTGGAGTAATCAGACGAAAGTCCATGACCAAAGATACTTTGGATATGTCCCAGGACAAAATGAGAAAGGACTACAAATTTGTAAAAAAACTTCAAAACCACAGAGCAAAAAAGAGCAAAAAAATGGAGCCAAGAATCAATTGTGTTTGCAACCGAAATGCATGCAATTCAGTGGCATACAGATGGTTCAAAGCTGGAACCTAACACACATGTACACATACATTATTTAACATACACATTTATATAATTTCCATGCAACATAGCTTTGGTCTAAATAACCATTATTATACCCATAATGGTCATGTAATTTAATTAATTTGTATATCACTTAGGGAGTATAACAGTATCTTATACATGCTACGCCAAAAGTTTCCAGTCGTCTTGATAAAATCCCACATACTTGTTATAACACAACGGTAAATGTTATTCAAGTATTAATTTTTCAATTCTTGCATTCCCACCATCTGTCGAAATCACCTGATCTCTAGATTGAAATGAGTCAAATATCTTCCTCTTTACGCCACACATCCACGCTCGCTTACATTTTTGTTTATTTTCAACTTTTTTGTGCATTGTATCTTTTTCAGCTGTGTTACACAACTAGAAATCCCCCCCCCCCCCCCACGCAGGATAAACTTGAGCTTATCAGTGTTTTATTGTAGTTAGTTTCCTGTTTCATTTACCTGAATCCCAATGTAACATCAAACCAACGGTGGAGTTCTGTGGGGAAAATTTCAACCCTCTTGTCACACAGCAGCTCACTCCGTAACACAAAGACACCTTTTCGGGGAAATTGTCCCTCGATCCTGCATTGACAAACACTGGGGTTTCTGAGCATTTGAGCAACACTACTCAAACTACATTTTTTTTCAAATAAGTTGATTAGTTTTTCTGAACTTAAAAATAACAAACAAATATGTAATTACGCAATTTTACCAAAACAAATTAATAATTTTCTTGTTCCTGCACATCCTGATTCAGAGTCAGACTTAGATGACGAAACCACCGACTTAATTCGGTTCGACGACGAACCTCACACAGATAATTGCTCCCCCTCAGGTATTCACAAGCCTAAGCCATTCTGTCCCGGGAAATAGAGTTTCATTGCTTTTCGATATTAACTGACCCTTCTAAGGAACAGAGCGTACTTGACTTTGGGAATTCGCAGTCATCTGTGCTGAAACCACACAGTGTTGAGACGAGGATAACCATATCGAGGAGTGAAGTTGAGGCCCCATCCAGGGTGGGCTTCAACCCCTCTCACCCGACGTCAATATGCCTAGAATAATTGAATGAACTAGACGAGGAAAATACAGTTACAGCCGACTCAAAGAACACCTTGGTATACTAAGATTACTAGAAGATAATGAGTGGAGATTCAAATTCTCATTTAATTTGTAGCACTCCAGAATCCAAGGGCACTATATTTACTAGCATACTAAATAGAGGAGGGCGATATCTATGTAACTTGAAGCCACTTTAAATCCTACATTTCCTTAATGATTGGAAGGGATGTTATACACATCGATATTACTCCCTTGCTGCATTAGCGACAGAGGGGGACACAATAGATATTTTAGATCTCAGTGAGTTGATAACCTATGCATTACAAAACATAACAAGGGGGAAATCTATAGTTTATGTTTATATTAACAACTGCCTCACTAGAATAGTTGATTTTGTACACCAAAATTACGTTTGAGACGATGACACGAGTATACCTAATGTTTTGACCCGACTTAACATCCTGCCTTTATGCCAGAGTAACTCAAAACACCTTTTTTACCAAAACAAGTTAATTTTTAGGCATTTTTATTTCACAAAGTGTATGGTGGAAGGTGGAATAAGGATAAGCGAAATAGATGTTAAAGCTGTCCAGAACCTAATGAGTAATATTCTCGGAAAATTGCGCCTAGTTGAGGAACACGGTCCCCTTCATTTAGATAGTTTAAGTTAATAATTGTGTTAGTTACTAAAGTTTAAATAAAGTTACTTATTACAATACTAATTAAAATATTTTGTTGCCAAAACTACGTTTTATGGAAGATATTTAAAAAATGTTTACATTCACATCAAACACAAAATAACTTATTTTTCTTTAGTATTTGCAACCTAGATACAGAATTAAAAGAGGTATTCTAAAAGCTTACCAATCCACATGATTTGCATATATCACTCACTATATCACACAAGGTTTTACTTTTATCCAAATCATACAAAAATTGCTCTTTACTATCGTGTTTTTCTACAGAAATTTTGGCGATGTTCGAGATGTTAGACATGATTTTATTATTTTTAAAATGATGTTACACGTAAAAATAAATATTGTCTAATTCATAACAAATTAATAAAGCACTTAACGCCTAGCGTTTCCAACTGATAAAACGGTGAGA